AGTGTGCACCTAAGATTTCTGATGGTTGTCTCCTTGATTATAAAATGTGTTATCAATTCTGCATTTTAGTTTTAGATATAGTTTGTTCATGTCTTTTATGTTAATCATCCCTGTAAATATTAAAATGAATAATCATACTAGTATAACACCAAATAAATGACATGTAATAAAAAATTGAGAATACTCCAAAGCTTGTAAAATATATGAACTTCTGAATTACGTGCCGAAAATTATGTTTCGATCATATTTCAAAATTACTGGTTGAAAATTAAAAACGTTATTATGATCCGACCCATTCGAAACACCCCTAAATTAAACTTTCGTTCAACCATATGTGACTCATACGTTCAATCATGTAACGAAAATGTTTAAATGAATTAGTATTGCAATATTGCGGACACAACCAAGCGTTTCCATCCATTGGTTAGGCAGAATCACGATTGTGACTATTGTTACAATTTATTCTAAAAAAAAATCCAGCAACTTGCCAAAAAAACATGATGGATTAGGAATCGTATCTATGTGTTCATCAAAACTATGCATGCTAAGAATATTCACAGAAACGGGGAGTTTGAGCGAGAAAATGTAGGGTAAAAGATTACGAGAGCTACGGGAGAGAGTTTGAGAGGTGAGAGAGAGATGTCGGTGGATGTGAAGGTTGAGGTTTGATGGATGACAAGAGTGCAATTAATGAGATAGAGTTCGGTGGTAGGAGAGAAAAGAGTGTAATTAATAAATGGAAAAGAAATGATGTCTGACCCTGCATGTCTCTGGTTTCAGACGGGCAGTGGAGCGCACTGCACAAAGACCTGTCTTTAGTCCCATCAGTCAACATTTAAAATTTTCACTGTTTAAAGCGTAGTTGTCCTTTCAAACTTTCGATTTGAGTTTCGTTTGCAGTTAGAGCAGATCCACCCCACACTTTTTTGCCCAGCACCCTGTCAAATTAGCAGCCCAGCACCCAGTCCACACCCTCCAGCCCGTGAAACAGCCTGGCACCCAGCCCACGCCAGGCAGCAGGCCAGCCCAAAATGAACAGACCCAGAGGCCGGTCCGTTTCTTGGCGCGTGCACAACACACGGTGGAGATGGCGAGTAGCCGACAGCGTCTGCAGGCAGTGGGGCCTGCGGTGCAGGGCAAGTGGACTGAGTCTGTCAAAGGGCTACGTGGCCCTCCTCAGAGCCGTTGGATTTCCAACGGCTAGTTTTTGTAGGCCGTTGGATTTCCAACGGTAAAAAAAATTTCAATTTCAATTTTAAATTGGACCGTCCGATCAAAGATCAACGGTTCAGATTAATTACAACATTAAAATTTATTAAAAATTAATTAAAAAATGTCAAAAATTTTTAAAAAAAATACAGAAAAATTGTAAAAAATTAATTTTTTTTTCTATAAATACATAACCCTCATCTTCCACCTTACACCATATTTCAATATTTTCTACACTTTCTACACTTTCTACATTTGAATAAAAATCCTATCCGAAATTAAAACTTTTTTTTTTTTTAATTATTTTATAAAAAAATTATTTAATATTTTAAATGGACTGGGTGCCAGCACATTTTGTAGGGGTGGAGATCGTTTGTGCCAGCGCATTTTTAGACTAGGTGCCAGCACATTTTTTTTTTGGGTGGAGATGTTTTGGCCTATTACTGTTCATTGAGTCTGTTACTGTTCAATTAAGTGGATAAATGGGCTGGGTGCTGGCGCAAAGTGGATTGGGGTGGAGTTGCTCTTACGTATTCGTGAAAACGAGTGTCATTCAAAATTAGTAAAATAACTCTAAAAGGTGAAAGAAAAACTGATATGAAAAAGCATATGTAGCGGTGGGTTCGGTTCGGTTCGGTTCAGTTTAATTTTTTGCGAAAACTAGAAATCAAATCGAAATTACTGTTTAGTTCGGTTCGATTCAGTTTTTTATCGATTTGTGTTCGGTTCGGTTTGTATTCGGTTTGATTTTCTCGGTTCGGTTTCGGCCCGGTTCGGTGTTTTTTTTTTCTTTTTTTTTTTTCCAAGTAGCTTAAAAAAAAGTATATGAAAACAACTTGCAGACATTTTGTAATATCCACTATCCAGTTTGTTTTACATGAAGAGGAAAGAACCATTCAGATGCAAGCTTGCAGCAAAGAACCATTCAGATCCACTGATCCAGTTTGTTTTAACTTCAATCACAATCACCATTCAGATCCACAGTTGTACAACAAGCACAGTTTTACTGATGCAATTAATGACTTAGTTTATCCCAAACCAACCATTCATTCTGACTTAGTTTACAACAAGCACAGTTTTACAACATTCATTCTGATGTTAAAGTCTTTAACATCAATTATCAAATCAAAATCAACATGTATAACCAAGTTCCAACAAGGAAAGAACACATCGAAATCAAATATTACAAATTACAATTTCTGAAAGGTTCTCAAAACCAACAAGGAAATAACCAACATATCGAAATCGAATATTACAGTATAACCAACAGGTTCTCAAAATCCCAGAAAACCATCAAAATCTTCAATCACGATTCACGACAAAGAATAATTAATCAAATATTACAAATTTACAATTTCTGAATTCTGAAACATGGGTATTCTACTATTCTCTGATTCTGCATGCAATTTTAATGATTGGTAATTTGGTAAGCAGAAGTAGAAGCCCAGAAGGCCAGAATCGGTAAGCAGAAGCAGTCAAGCAGAAGCCCAGAATCGATAAGCAGAAGCAGAAACCCATATATGAGAGTATGAGACCAACCTTTTGCAGTCTCGAGACTCGAAGTAGACACGGCAAGAAGAAGCTCATGGCGAGATCAAAGACTGGCGCTGGCGGCGAGGGCAAGGTGTGACCATGTGAGAGATTGAGACAATTTGAGAGTGAGAAAGGTCCGTCGGCCCGAACTCACGGTCGCCTGGGATTCAAGACTGAGAGAGACAGAGAGTTTGAGAGAGACAGAAAGTGATTGAAGTTGAAGACCGAGAGAGAGAGAGATGAGGCTAACCTTTTGCTGTCGACTGTCGAGACTTGAAAACGGCAAGAAAAATCTGACGGCGAGATGAGAGAGAAAGACTAACGACGAGGGCGAGCCGGCGAGGTGTGAGAGATTGAGAGTGAAAAGGGTCGTGCCGTAGCGAGTCGCCTGAGAGATTAAGAGAGACAGAGCGAGAGAGAGAGAGGAGGCTCAGGGCCTCAGGCTGCGCGAGACTGCGAGAGGGTTACTAATGGGTTTAGGCCCCTAGGGTTCATGAAAGAACTCTGAAGAAGAAGAACTGAAGGCAGGGAAGGGAACGAGAGAGAAGAGGCCAGGCCAAGGGAATGAAAATAAGGAGGAGGAGGGTTAGGGTTACAACTTACATCGGCGGCATACAGGGTTAAGGGTTTTGTTAAAAAGATTAAAAAATTAAAAATAATCTCACAAATCCTGGAGGCATGAGGGTTCGAACCCATGCCTCCAGCTTGTAAAGTTTCACTGAAACCAACTTGGCAACAGATTATGTTTTGTTATGATTGTATGACTAAACTATTTATAAATATTTAAAAAAATTATATATATATATCGGTTCGGTTCGGTTTCCGAGCCTCAAAAACCGAAACCGAACTGGTCAGATTCGGTTCGGTTCGGTTTGATAATTTTGGTTCGGTTTTTTTGCGGTTCGGTTTTTTTCGGCCTCGGTCCGGTTCGGTTGTCAGTTTTTTTCGGTTTTCGGTTTTTTGAACCCACCCCTATGTAGCATTTCAGAGCTGTTTGATCATTTTATTATTATTGAGAATAAAATAAAATAAATTTTACGAGTACTAATACAGTTTTCATTGTTATTTATAGCTTTTTCTTAGTCGTTCTTTTTATTTGTTTCAAAATCTGTATGCTGCTTTTTATATTTCTTTTTCATTATTTTTTCCCTCGTATGCCATATTTAGTTTTTCTCCCAATATGAAATATTGGATGGTCCACTGCTATTTAAATTAAACAAGAAAACTATACGTTCCCTATAAACGGAGGGAAATGGTTTTGAAGAATCCCATGCATGGGATAGGCAGCATGATGGATACGAAGTCACAAGTTCTTTATAATGCATGGCTAGGATTTAACATACACCTTGCGAGGATTTTTAGGGTTTGGCCGAGTTGTTCGGGGATTTTACTTGATTTAATCAAAATTCGTTAACTAAATACTAGTTGAAATCTGCGAGGGTGTTTTTTGTAATTTTAACTTATTATGCACATATGTTAAAGAAATTTTTAGCGTATAACATATTGCTCGGTTAAATAAATAAAAAAAAAAAAGTCGATATAGTTTTGTATATCAAGTGTTCTAATATAATTAGTTGAAAATATTTTTTTTTTCAAATTTTCAAGCAATTATGTTATTACACGTGGTATATCAAAATATATACCAGACTTCCTAGACCCATAGACACATCTCTCCATATGTTACAAGCCTATGGAGGGAGTTTTGTCTAGTTTTCAAAATTTAAGGGGCTTTATGAAAACACGAGAATTCTCAAGAGGTTTATTTGAAATTAAGCACCATTAAATTAACTAAATAATTAAAGTTTTAAAATGTAGCCTGTGGCCGCGCGAACAAGTAGCAGGAAGACAAGAATAGAGAAGAAAGGAAGACTATAAATCCATTTCATTCCTTGTCCGTCTTCGGGCTGGTTTGGTATTGCTGTGCTTTGAAAAAAAGCTGCTTCTGCTGTGCTGTGAGAATAAGCAGCTGTGAAATAAAGCAGCAGAGTGTTTGGTAAACTTTTTTGTAAAAGTGCTTTTGAAAAAAAAAAGCAGTATTAGAGTGTTTGGTAAACTTTTATGTAAAACAGATGTGAAAAAAAGCCAGTTTTTCAAAGCTAGGTTTTGTAGCTTCTTGTTTTTGGCTTTTTTTCATCCAAAACTGTGAAAAAAAGCTGAAGCTGAGTGTTTACCAAACACAAAAACAGCTCCCAGCTTTTTTTGATAGCAGCTTTTTTCAGAATCACCTCAGTACCAAACCAGGTCTTCGTTGTGTCTCTCCCGTCTTTGCTTTCCCATTCCATTTCCTTTCCTTTTGCTTTTCGGCGGCATTTCGTCGAGCAGGTTTTCTTCGATGTTTTTGTCCACGAATTGTTTACACTTGCAACAGACATGTATGGTTCATCTTATTATCCGTTTTAAATGTGTGCTTTTCTTTTAATGACAGAAACCATGATCAGGTTGTTTAAAGTGAAAGAAAAGCAAAAGGAAACAGCTGAAAACGCAAGGGAGAATGGTCTCGTAAAGAAGCAAAGTGCAGGAGAATTACGTCTTCATAGAGGTAAATTAATATGATTTTAGGATGTATATATGTTATGATTTGCTGCAATGTGGTACAAAGTTATACTCTTGCACGCATGGTAAGTTCCTAAATACACGTTTAACTCCAACGTACGTAAAGGCAAGGTTTCGATGTTTATCTTAATTCTTTCAACCAGTCCTTCAATTGTATTATGACACAATACGACGCAATGATGTTTTAGGATTCATATAGCAGACCCCACTTAATGGAAAAATGTTTTATTGTTATTGTTGTTGTAGTCCTTCAATTGTATTATGTTGTTGTCTTGTAGATATAAGTGAGCTGAACATGCCAGAAGAATGCAAGATTTCATTCCCCAATGGAAAGGATGATTTGATGGACTTTGAGATCACCATTACACCTTATCGGGGATATTATATGTAAGTAACCTTTGATCTGAAGCTTTGGATTTTGCAACTTCGATGTCACCTTGCTGAATCCGACATTTTGTGCCTCTTTTCGTAGGGATGGTGGGTTTGTCTTCACATTTAAAGTTCCCGCAGTCTACCCTCACGAGCCTCCGAAGGTCAAGTGCAAAACCAAGGTAGCGGATCTTTTGAGGGACAATCCAAAATTGTTCGGATTGAACGTGAGAAAATCGATCGAGGGAAACATATGGGTGGGAGGCGCCCATTTCCCTGGGTGCAAAACAGGCGACTTCTACTGATTCGGTTTATCTAGGGTTTTGCTTCTCCGTGGTCCAACCATGGTTGTATGAGGTTGAAGGTTTGTGTGTTTTTGGGGTGTTTTTTGCATTTCGGGTGAGTACTTGGTGGGGGATTGTCTTGTGGCACATTTTCAGCCCATACTTGTAGCAGGAGAGTGTGTACTAGTGTAATTTTGATCTTCCTTCCATTAATAACATGGCATCATGTTAAGGCTTGATTTTGACTTTGACTATATCAATTTAATTGAATCAATCTCGTGGCCGTTGTTTGTTGATTGTTCGATAATTTGGGGGTGCAGTTATTAATAAAACAACAAAACATATCGCGTCTCCCAAGTCAACCCCAATCATTTACGGTCTTGTCCTGTGGCAAATTTTCGGGCCATAATTTGGGGGGTGCATGTATAAAATCATAACTATTATAAACATGATTTAGCATTGGGCTCATTCGAAGTATTAGATTAAACATGTGAAAACATAAGAAACTTCAAAGAAATGGGACTACATAGTGGCGGTATCCCAATCCCTTATGCATCATCATGTGCTTTAATTTACTGACTTAATATTTCATGATTAGTTTAAAACATTATCACGTTAGTATTTTAGTTGTATGCAAGTTCTTCTCCCAAAGATGCATGAATGCAAATTGCAATCAGTTTTTCAGCGTGTTTGATTTGATCCATAACCTGTTATTTTGGGTTGGGCCTGGTGAAATGGGCTTTAAACGTTAGAACTGAAAGCCCATTATCTTACCCAAAAGCCGTTTTCTTTCTTCCACCTGTGCAAACCGAAATGCCCATGCGGACAACAAATCAGAAGAATGAGGATCCTCTTTTTTAGGATATCATAAATCTTTTAATCACCTTCGTTTATCGTATATCGTAAAATAAAAAATCATTGTAAATCTTTTTATTTAAAATTAAATATAAATAATACATAACAAAAATTCACCATACAATTTAAGTAATTGAAAAACTTACGACATCCGGAGAGAATGCTCGTTCAAAGTATAAAAATCCAACCAGAAACGTGGGTCCCATTGAAACGGCCGGACCCGCGGGAGAATTATTAGTTCATCGGGAAAAACAGTTATATAATCAAAATCCACGCGGCGAAAAGCGTTTCTCTCTCACACACTCGCAACGGAGACCGGCTCACCTGCGCTCAGAAACACCATGCAAAAGATAGGTCTTCAATCACTGATCGTATATATACCACGATCCTAATCTAACGGTCCTTGATCAGTTATTGCGAAATGACTATGAGTGCAACGAATAACAAACGCCGGCCTCAAGGCCTTTCAGTGCACCCGCAATGCGTGGTATCATTTCTCGGCTTCTTTTGTGTTTCGGCTAACACTGAGAGGAGAGAGAAGTAGAAGAGAGAGATTCTTCCACACAAACCAGCGAAAAAGCGAAAGCGCATTCCTCGTGATTCTGCTGGGTTTAAATCCCCTGCGACGCACCTGAGCTCGACCATTTACAATCTCTGCGGCCGAGAGAGAGGTAGAGGGAGCTAATTGGTTCGAAGAATGACGTCGGATGGGGCGACTTCAGCGGCGACGACGGCGCGGAGGAAGCCGTCGTGGCGGGAGAGGGAGAACAACCGGAGGAGAGAGCGGAGGAGGAGAGCCATCGCGGCGAAGATATTCGCCGGCCTCCGAGCTCAGGGAGACTTCAATTTGCCCAAGCACTGCGACAATAACGAGGTCCTTAAAGCTCTCTGCCTCCAGGCCGGCTGGACCGTCGAGGACGACGGCACCACGTACCGGAAGGTCGCCGTACTTTAATTATCCCAAATCCTTATTTAATTTATAGTTAATTAATTAATTTCTATTTCTTGTAGCTTATATCCGTAGAAAATTGTGATAAGTTCAATTAATTGGATTGTGTTTGTTGTTGTACAGGGTTTAAAGCCGATTCAAACTGATACGCCGGCCGCATCAACCAAGATCAGCCCGTACTCGTCGCTAAATCCGAGTCCAATCCCGTCCTACCAAGTCAGTCCGTCGTCTTCGTCCTATCCCAGTCCCACCCGCTTCGATCCTGTCGTTAATTCATCCAATCCAATTCACTATCTCCGCTCTGCAATCCCCCCATCTCTTCCTCCCCTGCGAATTTCCAACAGTGCCCCTGTAACCCCGCCGCTCTCCTCCCCGACCTCCAGACGCCCCAACCCAATTCCTAACTGGGACACCATTGCCAAACAGTCCATGGCCTCCTTCGATTACCCGTTTTACGCCGTCTCCGCTCCAGCGAGCCCGACCCGCCAACACCATCCTCATCCTACAGCTGCCACTATCCCCGAGTGCGACGAGTCCGATGCTTCCACCGTCGATTCCGGACAATGGGTTTGCTTCCAGAGATTTGCTCCTTCGCTGTCAGCAATGCCAGCCTCTCCGACCTTCAATCTTGTGAAGCCTGCTTTCCCTCAGCAGAATATTCCCGCGGATCAAATCCCGGACGTAAAGCCGTGGATCGGAGAGAAGATTCACGAGGTGGGATTGGATGACTTGGAGCTCACGCTTGGGAATGGTAAGGCTCGGATTTAATCCAATCCCGAATTCGGGAATTAGTAGTGTGAGCTACTGAGTTATGAAAGATGATGAGGAGAAAAGAGGTTGGTGATCTGCCACAACCCTTTCTGGATCAATCTGCATATTTCGAACCATACTTGTTGTTTGTAAGATCTGAAGTTATTTTATTTCTTAGTTTTTCCATTCGAATTTGTTTGAGATGATTTAATTTAGATATTGGTATTGTTGTTGTGTATCGTTTTTCTTTTTCAAATGTACTGTTAATTTATTTTTTGTAGAAATATTTTCCAAAACGTAATTTCGAATCAAGTATTGCAATGTTATAAAGATCAGGTATACACCACGCAACGTAGTGTGGTAATGTGAAAACACATGACATCGCGTTATTCATTTGGGAGACCTTCGTAGCATAGCCGGGTGTGGGTAACGCCTCAAAAATTTCCCTTGAGAGCAAAATATTGAAAGCAATACACCAAAACAATAGTGGATATTTATTACAGGACACTAAATGAAGAGCAAATTACAAAGGATGAGAAGTTTTTAGATACAACTGTGCAAGCATAACATTCTTACCTAGTTAGTTTAATGACACAGACATGATAAAAGCATGCAAAAACTACTAGAAAACATCTGATTTTTCACCTTCTTACAGTAACTTCTAAATTATGTAGATGTCGTGCGATTAGCGAAGTTTGGCTCAGTCAATTTGGTCATTTCTGGTCTCCGATCTTCATAGCTTCGGTTAGTTTAGTGTCATCTTCTCCTGTCTTCTCAATCTTATGTTTCGAGTCTGCTTTGGCATTTGCATTGCATTCCTTGAACCGGAAGCATGTTGCGAGATGATCGTTCACAATCCCCGCCACTTGCATAAATGAGTAAATGACAGTAGGCCCGACACAGCGGAAGCCTCTCTTCATCAAATCTTTGCTTATGGCTTCAGCTTTTGGGGACTTCACCGGCACTTGACGTGCATAACGGAATCCATTCCTTACGGGCTTGTGGTTCACAAAGCTCCAGCAGTAGTTACTGAAGGAACCAAACTCCTGCTGAACCTGCAAAACGGGTGAATCACATGGAAACCAATATTTCAGAAGGAATTCACCGGCAAAATCACCTTATGAATGTGAGCTTAAGCAATGGCGCAAGGTGCATTGACTGAATGGTGATTACCTTGAGCATTTGTTTGGCATTCTCCTCAATTGCACGAAGCTTTTGTTCGGACAGCACTTTGAGAGACAGCAATTTCTTCTCATCAAACTTTGCAATGGAGGACGGATCAAAATTGTCAAAAAGTTTCCTGCCAAGGGATGAAACCAGCATAAAAGTATAATCTCAAACAGACATTACTTTATCCGAAACGCTTAAATGAAATGAACCATGGCAGTTCTGATTCTTGTGAAACAAGCATACCTGAATATATCTCTCTTGCGTAGTATTTCCGGCCAGCTGAGTTCCGCGAGAGCTTGTGAAAGGACAAGCAGTTCAAACAGCTTCTTATCGTCATACACTGGAACCCCCCATTCTTCGTCGTGGAAACAAGTATAAATCGGATCTGTTAAAGCAAAGCATAACGTCAACTAAAGCGAGCAAATCAATCGAAATTGAACAAAATGTTGCAATATCTCAACTTCTAAGGCATCAATGTGTGTCCATCCCTAATGAAATTCTGGTCACCCAAACTAAATTACATAAATCAATGGTGATTCTTATCATTCTTAATTCTCAACTCAACTATATGCATGTTATAAGCGATTCTAATAAATCTTTGGCAAATGAAAAGAGCTTAAAGTTCTTCCCTAAATTTAGGCAACTTTTCCTAACTAACATTCCAAATTTCCCTCTTTTTGTTATCAATTTTCTAGGCAGCCAAACACCAGATAAACTACTAAAAAGAGCACAGCAAATTTACCAGCGTGAGGTGTAATCCAATCGCACCGTTTCAGCGGACCGGCGGGCTTGGCCACCTCGGCATCGTCGGAAGCAACCTTCGCCGGCCTCAAGCTCTTACGCCTCACAATCTTTCCAGGGCTCGCCGTCTTCGCAGAGTAACCGCTCGACGACGTGTCCGAAGAGCACGTGCTGTCCACCGAAACGTCGCTCCGCACCACCGGTTCCGGCAATTCAGGTACAGGTTTTCTTGGCCTCGGTGTCTGCTGCGGCGGCTTCTTCGCGCCGTCGTCTTTGCGTTTCGGGCCCTCCAAAACCCTAACTCTGTTCCCGCCGGGACCGAGTACGGCTCGTGGCTCGCAAGTCGGAGATTGAAGCTTACTGGCCACCGACATTGCCATCGATAGCTTCGAATTCGAGCTCCGCCGGTTCGATTTCGAGCTCCAAAACGACGGGTTCAGCTGAATTCTGTCGAAATGGAAGATTATTATCCTTGCGTGCTGTGTGTAATTTGCTTTGGGATGTTGGTTGGATGGGTAATTAGGGCGTCAGCGGAGGGTAAAATGGTAAGTTGGAAGTTTGAAGCAGAGAGCAGAAGTTGAGAGGAGAGAGGAGAGCGGAGTGCTGAGAGCGAAGGGGGCGCAAAGTGACACAAAACGAACCGTTTTCTGCAGATTTAAAACGGAAGGCTGGAACGGGTAATATACCGATAACAGCCGGTAATGCTTGCGTGTCGGTGACATTTAACCGTTTTGGTTTTGAAAGCGATTGAGAAACTTCCCCCAATATCCAATTTGCCCCAGGCGGAGCGACATGTCCCTTGGTTATGTTCGAGTTCAAAATTTTCCTTTCATACGTTAGATTAATTTAGAGTTTAAACTTCTAAACTGCATTCTAAAATTTGTAATAGAAATCAGGTTTTTTGTTTAACGTCTGATTTATTATATACACTTCTTAAATTTTTTTCGTATTCTTTAAGACTATTCTGAGCTTCTAAAAGCTGAGCTAATTCTATTTAAGCTTATGGCTGCTATTGTAATCATCAATTCAGAATTAACAAAATAATTTTTGGGTTTCTCTCAAACTCTCGCAAATTCCAGAAGACTTGGTTTTTTTAGGGTATATGTTTGTGTCCCCCTACGCTTGTGCTGCACCTCTTAATACGTGAATAGTGTATTATAATTGTTACAAAATATAAGGCGAAAAAAAGGCAAACCTAAAACTACTTAATTAAGAGAAGATAAATACTTTGGGTTGGTTTCAATTAATGTGAGTAAAAGCCTAATCAAGAAGGTTCTAGGTTTTCATGGGGTAGAGATGAGGGGTAAAATTGGTATTTTGGATATTCAAAGCGAACTACCAGCAAGCTGCAAACCGGGAAGCAGGAAGTGGCGGTTGGAGGAACAACCGACGCTTTAGGCCGCCAGTCGCATTCAGTTGGTAAACGTTATGCATGTAAATTGTGAAACGGGTTACGTTTTGTGCGTTTTATATGGTGACGTGGCGGGCAAAGGGGTTCCTTACCGTTGAGTAAAAGTATCCAAAGTGCAAACTCAGTGGGTAACCAACGGCTAGTCGGCTGTATGACTTGGTCCCACTGGGCCTCTTCACTTGGGCCGGTCTGGGCCTCTGCGCTGCTAATATGGAGTTATCAAATATCTACTATTAAGTTGCATGACTTTGAAAACTCTAATTGTAAATCCATGGGGATAAAAGGCCCACGAGATCGAGGAATATACATGTGAAGGTATTTTAAAGATCTTTCGAATGTTGGTATAGATTTTTTTTTATGGCTACTAACTGTTTGATGTAATGCATGCTAGGCATGTCTTAACAGGTTGTATCAACAACACTCAACAAATTCTTAAATTCTTTCTCTATATCATTCATTAGATCAATACAGCATGTATCGATATTTGTTGACATGTATGTAACATAATTTGGCTAACGACAACAAGCCCACCAAGTAATCGACGATATGACTTAGTGAATAACCTGAAGTTTTTGTGCGTGCTTCTCTCTCTCTCTCTCTCTCTCTCTATATATATATATATATTTAGATTAAATATATCATATTTTATTTTGTATTGCATTTGTAGCACCTCTCTAATTAAAAAAAAAAATTAATTGTGTTTGTAAAGCCCTACCTCTATTAAATAGGTGCGACTCAAAATAATGTGAGGGTCGATGAAAGAGTAACTGCATGTGCAATATTTGGTAGGGATAGGCAAAGTTCCGGCGTTGCTGCAGAAGTGCGAGAGTTGGGAAACAAGACAAGTAATATGGCATGATTGAACAATTTTCACCAATTTAGTCTTTCTCCCAGAGAGGAGGCATAGCAAGGGGAACTATAGTTGAAACTTGAACATGATTAATGTCTTATGCATTCATTCACAAACTAGTATGAAGATCACGTGTAATTTGACATGACAAGTAGTGCGTATGAGTAAAATTGTTATATATAACTAACATATAAATTAATATACAAATCATTCACATAACATGCATGTCCACATTATATGGTATCTCTAATATTTTCCACACATATTTGTAAATAATTACAAATTGCAATATGGCCAGTTAATTTTGACAATTATTGTCACAACTTTTTGGGTGTCATTGCATAAAACATCGTCACATAAGTCTCGTTTTGTTGCAACGTAGAATATGTTCTGTCAAAGCAAAACAAATAATTCCCCTTGACATTTTTCAGTTTATGTAGGGTGGTGTTTTCTACACTTTTTTACTTTCTACACATATTCTATAAATTTATATCATTTGATCTTCAGTTCATTACAATCGATAGCCGAAATTAAGAGGAGTTGTGAAAGGTAAAAAATGGTGTGAAGATAGCACCACCCTTTATGTATTGTTGTACGTATGTAATAATATATAGATCTGATCATGTTGTTTACTGTATACTTTTCTACTGGGGTTGGTTAGACGAACCAAATTAACACTACAGACTGCTAAACACATTTATAACTTCAATGCTTGGACACCAGTACCATGTATGCAAATAATGCATGCATGCATGCAAAATTATACGCACAAAAAAGTGATCCCTCTATATTTGATTTTTTCCAATAAATTAATCCTAATATACAGATATATATATAGACACACACACACACGTCCCACACACCACTATAGCAAGATGAAGATAAACTTTCAGTGTGCTTTCATCTTATAAACCACCATATATGGCTGTAGAATCGGCAGAAACCATGAATCTCCACCACGTTGCCGTCCCACACGATCCCACTCCTCAAGCTCCCGAAGCGTCTGGTCCTCCACCACGGCTTTCACGTCAGCTTCCTCGACTTCACCACAGAAGCTTCCACCGCAACCACCCTCCTCCACTCCCCAACCCTCCCCTCCGGTCCGGCCTCCGCGTCTTCGACCTCCCTCCTGCCTAAGAGTCCACCCTCGTTCACCCAGAAATGTGCCCCCCCCCCCCACCCCCTCCACCGCCTCTGGGTCATTCTTATTAGAGAAGACCCCTTTTATAAGCTCATCCCAATCCCACTTCACTGCGTTGAACCGTTGATTAAAGAGGACGAACTGTTGACCAAAGTTAACTCTGAATGCTTGGCCTGGCTAGACCAGCAGCCTCCAGACTCGGTCATTTTCATCGCTCTGGGCAGCGCGTGGGGGCTGGAGCTAAATCAGCAGAGGTTCATATGGTTGGTGCGAAAGCCGACCAACGCGGGCGCGTGGGCAGCGTTTTTCAATGTTGGAGGGGATTTGAACGATCCGAAGCCCTATTTGCCGGAAGGGTTCTCTGAGAGGACAGTGGAGTAGGAGTTGTGGTCACATCCCGGACCAGTCAGGTGGCGATCCTACGGCATCCGTCACCGGCGGATTTTTGTCCCATTGCGGGACGCGACAAAATTAAGAGCAAGTAGACCAAAAAATTGTATTTATTAATTAAAAATAGGGACAAACATTTCATATTTCCAACCCTACTAGTTATTATGCCACGTATACAAGTTTGATGCTTAACAAACATTAGGTGCAGATGTTAAAAGTTTTTAAGGACGATTACTAAGGCCCTTAATTTGAATTGTTTAACAAACATTAGGTGCGGATGTTAAAAGTTTTAAGGACGATTATTAAGCCCCTTAATTTAAGTTTTAAGTATGCATTGTTATTTGCATTTGTCATTGTTGCTCTTTGTGAATTATTTTAATTTAAAAACGATTTCCATTCTACAATTAATTGTATGATATATATTCTCTCATTTTCAAAGTTAACTATATTTATAATTTTTTTCATTTTGTTTGAAAATATATTTATGATTCATAAATTAATACCCTCACCTACCCAGATGTAGAAACAAGAAGGATTATCAGCAAAGTAATAATTAAGTTTCATACATCAACTGATTAGATACAAATGTTACATAGTATAAGTACGATGAATATGTACACATCATCCTAGTCTACACGGCACATCCTAAGTTCAATTCCTGCAGCTGGTGAATAGCACAATGGTGGTAAGATGGAGACTGAAATGCTTTTGAGAGTCTTCATGGCCCCTAGAAGGGTGGACTGTCGTGACGAAACCACCAACTAGTGTCATTTTAAAAAAAGAAAGACTACATCCCTTGATTCAAACACACAACACAAGATAAAAGTCTGTCTTCCATCTTTCCTGTAAACATAAAGCAAAAGAAAAAAAAAACTGTCACAAATTTTCCCAAAAGAAAAACACACATTGAACCCAACTTAAAAATGCCGTATAGAACAACTATACTTAAATGGAACTCACAAAAAGAAATGAAGAAATATCGTCTCCCTTCCCAAATCAAATGCCAAACACAACCTGCAAACATATAAAAACGAACGAAAAAACCCAAATCTAAATAGAGAGAAGTTGGGTTCATAACAGAGCCACTAAAATTTATATATATATATATATATATATTTCAAAATCAAAATAATTAGGTAAAGAAAAATAATGGAAATTGTTACATGCATGAACGTTGCATGGCTAGAAAAAAGAAAGAATTGGAATTGGCCCTGTCATCGCCGCCGGTTTATCCGATTGGACAGTTGACCAAATAAGATGAACCGGTGACGTCAGCATTGGAATTGTCGAAGTTGCTGACGTGGCTAAACAAGCAGCCGGCCGGTTCGGTTGTGTACGTGTTATTCGGGAGCGGAGGGACCTTGTCGGGAAGAGATTTTTTAGTGTGACCGATACAAAGGGTGGTAGACCATGTGTTATTATACAAATGGTGAAATATGTATGCTAAAAAGTTAATAACTTAAAAAATAAAATTGCTCACCACTCATATTAAAACACGTGATGTACTACTTATGTTTCCGTTACAATGAAAAATTTCTCCATGTCTGAAGAGCAAATGAGCGAGTTGGCTTTGGTAGATTGGAGTTGAGCCAAATACGGTTTGTTTAGATTGTAAGTGTAGTATTATTTTAAATTATTTAGTTAATTCATTACGAGTTATCATTAAGTTTGAAAAGTATTGAAATTATGTTTTATTTTTAAACCAAAATCGGATGGTCAGTCTATTCGATGTGGTCGGTACTCAATTTTTAAGCCCAATGCCCACATCTTTTAAAATTGTGTTAAAATAATAAAACTACAAAAACGAGGATTCGAAGAAAAATAACACCCTTCTATCCAACTCAGTGAATAGAATATAGATTATTTAGTCCAAATCTGTTGACCCAAAAGCCTAAGTGAATAGAATAAAGGATATAACAACATATAATGTCAAGGAGACTAAATTTGTAGACAAAATTTTAGAAACTAAATGATATAAAAATTGATGATTGAATTATTATTTAGACGTTAATAAACGTACTCATTCAGTCATTTACCCACTGTCGTCGATTACACGTTTGCCATATTTCACTTTCTTCCTCGTCATCATGAATCGTGTGGTAAACACAAATTGTCCAGAGAGAGACAGAAGCAGATATACTCATCGAAAGACAAAAGCAAAACAGTAAAAAGTAGATGAAAAAAGTAAGCTTGAAAGCGAAGCCCCATTGAAAAAACCTCAGCCCTTGCTTAGATTGAAATACAAGGTCATTCACACGACCAATATGTAACAGAGAGAGAGAGATGACGTTTACGTCAACCCTTGTATCATATGATAAAAAGAAATTCAAAAACTCTCCATAAATAATTTGAGACTTGCCACCTAAACCAAACCTTGAAAGGATCCCTCCATCCACCCACAAATTATGTAAACTGAGCTTCCCCTCTCACCTCTCTGTTTTTTGAGGAATTTAATGCCCCAAACACCATTTTCTAGCTGAAACATTGCTACAAGTGATCTGCAGGCAAAACATGGCAAAGCGATCGGATTTTGCGCAGAAGCTGTTGGATGATCTTCGCGTCCGCAAGGAGAAAATGGGTGCGTCTCAGAGCTCCAACCGGTCGAACTCCATGGCAATAGGTAAGTTTCTAATCTAATCTATCCCATTTAAACGTTTATTAATTTCACTGATTAGTCCTCGATGAGGAAAATGTTTAAATCTTCATCACTCGCACAGAGCACGAGTAAGGGCTACAGTTAAAGCAGCACGAACTGTATAAATTCATAAGCACAAAACCAGTTTTGAAGGAAAGAATCTTCTTGTGTCCTTTTTACTGCAAGTAATCATGCATCAAAAAAAGTTTATGTAAGGTGAAAAAATCAAATGTTGCAAACATCATAGACCAATATATCATCTTGTCGAGACTCGAGAGTGAATCCCACATCGGGAAAAGGACTTAGTGTTTGGTTTTTCAGTTTCATCTTTGAAATTTTTCTGAAAGTCACTTGATCAAACATATTTGCAATGATCTTGATAGTCTGTGTTTTTTCGTTAAAGTAACGTTTATTTGTGTACTTATTGATCAATTCCATATGCAGTGCAAAAAATAATGTGCGTTTCTTTTTTTTTTCTTTTCATGTGTTTATACAGATGCATATGCTTATTCCAAGCAAGCTTATAGAGGAAGAGGGGATGCAAGAACCAGTGGAACAGTAAGTAATCTGATGACGCGAAATTGTTGTATTCCAGTTATTTGAGGAATCGGAATAGAATGAACTTCGTTTGGTCCAAATGTTTTTATTTTCATTCGAATTACTGCAGATTGGCTCCAGAGGAAGTAGCAGAACACCGATTATTCAAGATGGTTCGAATCAGATTGTTGCTTACGGGAGAGGAGGTAGGAGCTCACAACAAATGGGAGATCTTTCCATGGCATTGGCTTTTGCACTTGAAAATGGAGGAAAGTTCGGGAGGGCGGATACATCTAGCAGAAGTTCAATGCTAGGATTTTTGAATCAAATTGGGAGGGGAGCCATGGAGTTCAGCAAGATGGAAAGAAAAGGTAGAACGAATAGGTACTTCGGTTCAAGTAACCAATTTCCTAACCTTTCTCATCTCCATATCGAAGAAATATCGAGAGGAGCACATAAATTGAATCAGATCCTAAAAGCATGCTCGAATGGTCTTAATGTCAATGGATTTTCAATAGAAGTTGGGAAGGAGTTAATGAAAGGGGCAATGGATTTGGAAGAGTCCTTGAGAATGCTCGTAAACCTGCAGGAAACTTCTGAATACATGGTCCGCTCTCAGAGGAAAAATCGGATCACATTGCTGGATGAGGATGAAGATGACGAAGATAATGCTGTTAAATTAGATGAGCAAAAGCAAATTGATCTGCCAAGGTTCTCATTTGACAAGGGTTCGAGACACGGGCGTAAAATTCAAGAAGTTGGAAGGACGGGGTTCATGCAGAAGATGACTGCAGCTCTGACTTATACTACAGAAGGTAGTAGCTTCAACCGCGAAAAGCAAGGGAAAATAACCTCCTCCCCATCAGTTACTCAGAGGCAGTCAGTCAGCTATAGCTCCGGCATCAAGAATCCATCAGCAGAATCGAAAGAGTCTAAACCAGAAAAGGAAAGAATTCCAAATGTAATTGCAAAACTAATGGGGTTGAATGAGCTTCCGAAAAACGAAAACGTGAAGCACAACGTGCATGAAGACTTGAGTTCCAAGTCAAAAACAGAAAGCCGGACAAGAGAGCAAACAATGCGCGAAAGGAGTAAGATTTCTGGAGTTAAGACCAAGGATCCATTGATGCCTAATACCACATTTGTTTTGCAAGCAGAAAAAAACATGCTCCCCAACAATGTCAGCCTTGAGTTAGTTGTTCATGATGGAACATCGCAATGGAAAGACCCGGAAGGATTTAAACCGGTAGCGAGATCAGAAAAGGCAACCATCAAATCAGATAAGCAGCAAAAAACTACTCAGAGCGTCAAACCGAATAAAGTTGTGGTGCACAGCAGTTCCGAAGCGAGACTTGTGACGCAAGGAAAAACAGAGTTCAAGGAAATTAGGGTTCAGACGGAAAAGCAAAACGGGAACAAGATTCCCCTGAGAAATCAGCATAAGTCACCGAACAATCATGAACTTCAGCAGCAATCCATGTTTTTGAAATCAGAGACACTGGAAGATAAGCGCGGAAGAGAGATGAAGGAGCAGCAGAGTCCACAACCAAAGTTGCCAGCAAGAAAACAACGAGGAGGCGAAATCATATCAAGGACTAAGTCAACAGGAGCAGTAGATTTGCAAAAGAAGCAGACACTTGCAGACCAAGCTAGACTACATAGGAAAAACACGAGAGAAGTCGCTGGTGCAGTGCAACCCAAAGGAGTTCCAAATGGCAGATTCCATGAAAATCTGGTCAGAAGCAAAAGCTCCTCTGATTTGAATTTTGGCACGAACAATTCTTCTCCAAAGTACCTGGATCCTGAACCATCAAAAGAAAAATTTGGCACTCCACTGGCTATGGAGGAGAGACCTGTTCATGCAGCACCACCATTGCAGAAGGCAAAATCTAGAAGAGTGAATAAAAACGAAATGCCTCGAAGAATCGATGAAGTGGCAACCAGAAGAAGCCATGAAAAACTTGGTAGCCAGAATGCAACAGAAAAAGTTAGAGCCAGCAGGCTAAAACAAGCTGAGCCGCGCATCGTCAAGTCCAACAAGTCAAGAGCAAGCATTCAATCAGTAGATTCAAAGCAAAACCTACATAAAGAAGCCAAGCTGGAGGCTCCCACTCTGTGTGATCCCAATGAAGTTGAATGTCGAAGCCTCGAAAAACCACAAACTCTACTTCCGAATGAAAGTGTAAGTCCATCTATACAAAATCTGAAAATTCATAACTTCCAAATCAAAGATACGTCTTCAGTTACAAAATTTGTGTAATTCAAATTGGCAGGTTATGCCGTATGATCAGCAAGATCAAGCACCTTTTTTCGATTATGATGAGTGCATAACTGCATCAACTACACTTAATGGTGAGTAGAACCTCTGCTTTCAATTCAAATTCCCATCTTACACGAGAAGAACTTCTCTGCAACGGGGAATGTCATTGTGGCAGTATTTCAAGCTAATCACTCACTACCATGTGAACAAGTGGCAATACTTAAGTAGCTCACAATGGCATCTAGTTGCAGGTAAGTTTTTCTCATCTTATACAAAATGCGAACTCATTAGGTTTCTAAAAGTTGCAGGAAACCGTGAAGCCGGCTTGGACATTTGTTATCCAGAAGTACGGGAGCAACATAAAGCATTCAACCTGAGAAAACAAGAGCCGCTGACAGAAAGCGAAAACCACTTGAAGCAGGTAGTGATCAAGAGCCATCATTTCCTCAACACAGCAGAAGCACTTTTCAAACTCGAAATCCCTTTTGGCATTCTTCACGACAGCAGACACGACTGCAGCCGGGATGTAGACATCAAGCTCACATTAGAATGCGGCTATGAAGTAATGAAACGAAAAGGGAGAAGGCACGAGCTCAATGTCCATCCCAACTGCACGAAGACATCGATAAGTTTTGTCAAAATACATTCTTTGGATGAGCTGGTTAGGCAACTGCATAAAGATTTCGAGACACTGAAGTTCTACGGAAGAAAAGGAAAGTACGAATGTGAGGTGGAAGCGTATCTTCCGAAAATGCTGGAAAACGATATGCATAACTGGCAGCCGGACGTGAATTGCATGTGGGATATGGGTTGGGATGAAACTATGTTTGCAGTTATTCAAGTAGATGAAGTTGTGAAAGATTTGGAGAGGCTTCTGCTCAATGGACTTGTAGATGAGCTTACCAGAGACCTCCGTCGTACGGGTTTGTCTGCAATACATTAACCTGTTGAATACGAACACCTACAAGTACCATTATCAACACGAAAAGGATTTATTACGCCATTTGAGCAAAGTTTGTTTTATTTTTTTCGATATAATTGGTTTTCGAAGAGATAAATTATAATGTAATCGTTAATTGAAGAAATTTCTTGTAATGAGTGTGCATTTTTGTTTTAATCATGAGGATTTATTCCACTAATCAAAATTGTCATCACCAAATTCATATTTGTTCTCGATTTACGCATGTCGTCCTTACACAGGGGTCATACTCTTCTCTGTATCGTTCCAATTTTGTAAGAGATGAACAGTAATTCCGCAAGGGTGAAAGCTCCACCTGAGCTCGTGCTGGTTACTCTTGTTGCTCTACAGCTCCCCGTTAACATCATCGCCATGCTCCGCTTGCTCTTGCTCCACGTGAACTGGAATTTCTTTTGCGAACCGTTTAGTTAAAGCATTCACGAAGTGTTAGGCAGAAAGCTTAGTTTTTAATGTTTGAAATCTTCTTTCTTTTCCATTATTGTCAGCATTATTCAAAAGGTTACTTGCGCGCCAATTATACCCAACTTCTCAAATTTTCCTTACCTTTGTGCGTTTGTTGGAATCGAGATCCTCTTCGAATCTCGAAGTTCGAAGCTAGCAGACATAGAGATGTGGGCTGTTCATAGAAAAAAAACAGATCTAGACTCTTAATTTGTATGAAGTGAATCAATGGATAGGTTAATATGAGTCGTAGAATTTAAAATGAGTTGTCGGAATCTCTAAATTTGCTGACTCCGAACACAAAGATCCAGAAAGGATCTCAATTCTTTTGTTGTTATTCAAGTGACCAAATTTGAAGCACTTTTTCCCAGTGTGCTTTATATTGTTGGTTATTTTATGTTGTTCAAAGTTCTTTTAAGCTGAAATTGTCGTCACTTTCTAAAACGAAGTGCTTCCTTCTTCCTTAGTGAGGAAGTAAAATTAGCTTTGCGTAACGTGGCTGGTTGATTTCGGTAGACCGTAGATTCACAAAAGTGCTTTCTTTTCATAAAATAATGGTTCAGAATTAAAGTGGTTTTGGATTGATTTTTTTGTTCTTTTGATGAGCATATTGAACTTACTGAAAAAAATATGTTTGTCGTTGCCATTACTTACGTGCTAAGGTGTTCTTTCTCTTTTTAAAAAAAAAGAAGGAAAAATGTTCTCAGGTGTCCGTGCTAGGAATTTTTTATCAGAATACTGCTATGTAGTGTTACGATTATACTTAAATTATAAGGTTGTATTTATTTTTAATTATTATATTTTAGGAGCAATAAATATTGAACTTACTTGAAAATGTTTTTAAAATAACCGAAAGAGCTATTAATGAAAATATTTTTGGAACCAATTCTTAGTAAAAATGCAAGTAAATCTTAAAAAAAATACTTATAGTGCTTCCTCTAAGTTTTTTGCAGGAAGCACTTCAAGTGTATTTTACCTAAAAATATTTTCTCTAAAAACGCTTTCAATCATTTTAAAATCGTTTATAAATGAGTCTATTAATTATGTCGTCCACGTTTTTAAACACGTGGAAGTTAAAATGAATTTACGATTTTGCCCCAAGTCTTGCACTTTCCTACCTTCTATTAATGTTCTCCCTCCACTCTTTCACCTTCAGAAAATTTAACAGAGCACTCGGTCTTCAGCCATGGCGATTACATTCCTTCATGCAGTATCACTCTTCGTTTTATCTGTTAACCTCGCAAGTAAGCTCTTAAAATGTTGATTGACTCAATCGTATTATCGAAAAAATATTTTTTACTTCAGAAGAAATAAACCCCATAATTTAAATTAAAGGATAAACTGCTCTGTTTTTTCAATGCAGATTGCCAATCATTTATCGGCGTAAACTACGGCCAAGTCGCCGACAACCTCCCGCCACCGTCATCCACCGCGAAGCTGCTCCAGTCCACCTCAATACAAAAGGTTCGGCTTTACGGTTCCGACCCGGCCATAATCAAAGCCCTGGCGAACACCGGCGTCGGAATCGTCATCGGAGCGGCGAACGGTGACATCCCGGGTCTCGCATCCGACCCGAGTTTCGCCAAGAGCTGGGTCGGCGCCAACGTGTCCCCTTTCTACCCGGCGAGCAACATTATCCTCATAACCGTCGGCAACGAGGTGTTGACATCCGGCGAGCAGGGCCTAATTTCTCAGCTGGTCCCGGCGATTCAGAATGTCCAAAACGCCCTCAATTCCGCGTCTCTTGGAGGGAAAATCAAGGTCTCCACCGTACATTCCATGGCGGTGCTCAAGCAATCCGAACCGCCGTCCTCTGGAAGCTTCGACCCCGGTTTCGGCGACGTTATGAAGGGGTTGCTTGGGTTTAACAACGCCACCGGTTCGCCTTTCGCAATCAACCCGTACCCGTATTTCGCCTACCGGAGCGACCCGAGACCCGAGACACTTGCTTTTTGCCTATTCCAACCGAATGAGGGGCGGCTCGACACCAACACAAATATTAAGTATATGAACATGTTCGATGCTCAGGTGAAGTATCCGCACCGGTTTTGTCCGGTCCAAGACCGTTATTTATTAGTTAAATTGGTTTTTTTTTACGAGCGATATTCAACTTTAAACTAATTATCGTCCCCAATTATGCGCAGGTGGATGCAATAAGATCGGCATTGGACTCCATGGGCTTCAAGGGCGTGGAAATTGTGGTGGCGGAGACCGGATGGCCGTACAAAGGAGACGACAATGAGGTTGGTCCGAGTGTCGAGAACGCAAAAGCTTATAACGGAAACCTGATTGCGCACCTTCGATCGATGGTTGGGACGCCACTGATGCCGGGGAAGTCTGTGGACACTTACCTCTTCGCACTCTATGATGAGAACTTGAAGCCTGGCCCTGGGTCTGAGAGAGCATTTGGTCTCTTCAAGCCTGACCTCACCATGGCTTATGATGTTGGCCTCTCCAAGAGCAGCCAGGTAAAAAACATGATATCACTGTCATCAATTTGGGATTTTATGGTAATTTTGATACGCTGATGCAACCGGTTTTCGATTAGGTTAAGACATGTTGACGTTTAGTTGAGAAATGGATTCTCTCCGGATTCCTTCCATCAAATCCACCAATTCAGACCCTTGAAATTTGATCAAACGATTAAAAACGTGGGTCCACTTTAAAAGTTATAATAATTTTAGCCGTTGGATCAAATTTCAAGAGTCTGGATTGGTGGATTTGGTGGAAGGGATCCGGAGAGGATTCCTTGCCGTTTGGTTGTACTACAAACCCTGACGGAATTAGCTAGGGCCAATCGAAATTGATTATTGGCTCGTTTGAATGTACTTTTAAAATGACTGAAAGCGCTTTTAGAGAAAATATTTTTTTGTTCTAAAAACATAATTTACTTACATTTTTACTAAGGATTGGTTTCAAAAACATTTTCACCAAAAGCGTTTTCAGTCATTTTAAAAGTATATCTAACACTATGTTATCGGCTAGTAACAAATTACAAAGGGATTGACATATGTTCTAAATGTTTTTGTTGCAGTGTATAAATTTAACTTGATTTATTTTGCTTTAGACCCCTACCACGCCCATCACACCCACCACGCCGTCTATGCCAACCACGCCGTCTACGCCATCCGCGTCACCTATGCCTTCGGCAGTACCCAAAACGCCGGTTAACCCATCGGGGCCAAATCCGAAGAAAGAATCATATTGTGTACCCAAGGCCGGCGTATCGGACTCTCAGTTGCAGGCTAATATAGATTATGTTTGTGGACGTGGTTTCGATTGCACTCCAATTCAACCTGGAGGGTCTTGTTTTGAACCAAACAACGTAAAATCCCACGCTGCATATGCCATGAATCTCCTCTATCAAACCACCGGCGGGGATCCTCAAAACTGCGATTTTTCGCAAACCGCCACACTCTCATCCAACAACCCTAGTAAGTTTTTGGTCTTGATATTTTTTCTTCTTTTCATTCATTAAACTTGTACCCTTTTGTGTTACGTAGGCTATGATAGCTGCAACTACCCAGGTGGGAGTACCTAAAGATGTATGGAGGAACCTGGGAAGACTCGGAATGTGTATGGAGGGATTTCAGTTAATCTGCCTCCCTAATATGTGTGTTTGCTTAGGAATTAGGTTTCCTTGTCAAGAAGTGTTTGTATATTTATCTTGTGAGGGAGTTGGTGTTTGATGTCATGGTTTTGGGTACTCAAATTTGTACTTGAGTCTTCTAATTATGCAATTCATGTTTTTTCTAAGACTCTTTCTACCTATCTTTTGTAATTTTTACGAGTTATATTTTACATACGTGTTATGCTGAAATTTGCAAGTAATAAATATTGCTTTGTGATATGTCATCTTGCTTTTGTTGTGTATTTTTGGTGACATAACAAGAATAGAGACCCATTCTGGATCTCACTATCGAAGCTCAAAGACTAGGCATTTCGGACCACTCAAATTGAGTCTGACAGTCTCCATTAACTCATTTCGCTAGCTCATTTCAAACAAACCAAGGACTCTGATTTCCCTTTCACACAAATCAAAGACCAGAATTTTCCTGCACCTTAGGTTCCGAATACCAAGGTTTGAAAAGGAACCAAATTCACGTAAAAATATCATATTTAATGTATTAGGCATGTTAAGTGACTTTTCTATAAGCAAAGGAAAGTCACCAGTAATGAATAAATAAGTTCAATAGCATACGTGAGTTAAGATAATTAGTTAGGCCTAACTCTTTTTGTATTCAAATACGAACTTTGTTATTAATATATTATAATTGTTGATATAAATTTTTCATTTTGATACAATAAAAATTATTTTATACTTTAAACTAATCTAAACAGGTTTCAAATTAACCAACCTTCGGAGAAAAAAAAAATGCTGGACCATAGACGTTATGGGTTGGTTTATTTGGACCCGGTTCAACCCCGGAAATATAAGTAACAACAGCTGAGGAAGAGGAAGCGATGATTGGTTAAATTTGATTTTCAGTTATAGTGGTCCGAGTATTCCTAAACAACACAAAGGGAAGCAGAGACGCAGAGGCAAAGCAACAATGGCGACCAGAGAGAGAGAAAGGGAAAGGGATCTCGAGCTCCTCATCCCAGTCGCTTCAGTTTCCGAAACCGGAGGAGATTCCAAATCCTCCTCCCCAGCAAACTCCCCACCTCCCACCACCTCCCATTCCCATCATCAAACCGGCCACGAGGTTCTCGTCTAATTTCATTTTCTCTCTGGACCTTCTGCATTAGGTTTATATATGATCGGAATATTTCATATCATATAAACACGGATGACATGTGGGAAATTTTTTTTCTTTTGGTAATTATGGTTGATCCGTATTCATATCAAATGATGAAATCTAGTATGGCCAGTTCGCAGATTGATTTTAGGTTGGATGATTACATTCTAACGTAACTTGAAATATCGTGATCTTGTCGTTAATGTTCTTGTTTTGTTACTTGTGTTGTGATGTGTTAGATCAAATATTTTCTCAGAATGTTGCATGATATTGAATTATATGCTTGTTATTTGATATAGGCCTTTTCGAAAGTTATTCAGAGCTGGGCTTCCAAGAAGTTTATGACAGGATGGTAACGTATTGTCTCTTCTAATCCCTCTTAATTCTTACTCAACACTGTTTAGTTCTTCGTGGCATTTGCACGCGTTATGATTCAAATGAGGCCGGACTTCCTCCGGGCATCTGCCGTAACGAACCCTAATGTACCATGATTAGCATTCATATGTTCTGAAATAACCCTTTTGTTTGTGGGGATGGGGAAGGAGGAGATTCCATGAAGCCAATCCCAGCTAGTTGATTTTCATATAAACTACACTATAAAATAGTCTACTTTACGGAGTGGGAATTTGAACTCGAGTGCTGGGGTGGACACTCTGCCCTCGCCAACTTACTTAACCTGCATTTACAACCTCGTTACATTCTCTTGAAATGTATATAAGTTAGAGTCTTTCGTGATATGTTTCACGATTCTTTATTTTCTTTGCAGTGTCATTCTTCTTCCAATAGCTATTACATTCTACATCACATGGGCTTTCATTAAATTTGTTGATGGTTTCTTCTCCCCAATCTACAGTCACCTCGGAATCAATATTTTCGGTAAGTCGAATTATTACATATATGTTTTGTAGATTTATCTCCAAGGAGTCGAAGAATTTGATTTTTTTGTCTTACCAACTCATCATCGTTCGAGTTTTAACATGATTTGCTTGGGTTAGTCAACATGGGTAAGTAGGCATATATAGCCTTTGAAGATGTAATCAAATCTTTTGAGCAATGCAAAAGGATGAATTCAATATATGATCTGCAATATGTTAGCTAGAAGGCTGTTTCATTCATTTTTCGGGGCCTGGTTTACGGAACAAAACATGTTTGTTGGTGTCAATCTGCAGGTCTTGGATTTGCAACCTCCCTCACCTTCATCTTCTTAGTCGGCATTTTCATGCAATCGTGGTTGGGAACTTCTGTTCTTACTCTTTGGGAGTGGTTTATTAAGAAAATGCCGCTTATAAGCTATATCTACGCTGCATCAAAACAAATTAGCATAGCAATTTCACCAGGTACTTGTAAACCATACATTGTCGTCTAAACCTACATGTTCTGAAACATTGATCCATTTTACATCGTTTTGCAGATCAGAGCTCGAAAGCATTTAAGGAAGTGGCGATCATAAGGCATCCAAGAATTGGGGAGTATGCATTAGGGTTTATCACTTCAACTGTTGTTCTTTCTCAAAGAAACGTAGGAGAAGAACTATGCTGTGTTTATATACCTACGAACCACCTTTATCTTGGAGATATTTTTCTGATCAGTCCCAAGGATATTCTGAGGCCTAATCTGTCCGTTCGAGAGGGGATTGGTACGATTCTTTTCTCTCTAATTATGAATCTCGGCTTCTTAAAATTGTTTCGCATTTGATTTTCGTTCGCTGCAGAAATTGTCATCTCCGGAGGTCTATCCATACCGCAACTTTTAACTACGGTGGATGCACAAGTCCTTACACCAAGAAGAGTTCCGCACTTTGAAGAGCCAAAAGTATGATCATATGTCTTTACAATGGTGAGAAATGAGAATGTACTTCACTGCTTGTTCTTTTCACCGTAAACTGTTTGTCCTTCAGGTTAATGGAACGATATAGATTTGTAACTTATGTTTCATGTTGCAGCAGAAGTTGTCAAACTCAAACTAAGTTTTGCAGAGAAAGTTTAGAGGCTCAAAAGCTGCCGGATCGTACCGGGAATGGAGTGAAGAACACCATAGCAGAATCCTGAAATGCAGAGAAGCCCCTTTTAGAAACAAAACTATAAACATACCACAACTGAAAGTATTTGTATACAAGGGACATATACCTCTCTTAAGTACCATATATTATGAATACCAATTTGTAAATGTTTCTTTTTATCTAATGTGATTTGATCAGTGTGAGGGGTAACAGTTGAAATGCTGCTGACATTGAAATTGGAACCAAACTACGGTTTGGTATCAGAACCGCAAAAGCAAACGGTTCCAAGTGCGCCACCCCCCCCCCCACCCTTCTCTTTTATTCATATAGTTTTATTTAGTAATATAACATGAACAACAAATCCGTTGTCGTCCAGCGGTTAGGATATCTGGCTTTCACCCAGGAGACCCGGGTTCGATTCCCGGCAACGGAACTTTTTAATTTTTGCATTTTCCCTCTTTTCTACGCAATCGCACTTTTGCCACGTCTCCAATCCATCTGAAAAAAGCACCCACAGTTTCACGTGACCGGGGTCGGTTCCCGGCCAACAGGATCCTCTACGGATCCTTTTGATGAGTATCTTCAGGATCTTCACAAATAAGATCCGACAATGATCCGGATTCGGTTCCAGGCAACAGAGTTTTTCAATGATTTCATTTTCTATACAACCTTACTTTGACACGTGTCAAACCATCCGGAAAAGCACCCATAGTTTTACATGACCCGGGTTCCATACCCGGCCACGGAACTTTTTTAATTTAATTTTTGCATTTTTCTCATTTTTTATTCCACCGCGCTTTGCCACGTGTCCGATCCATCCGAAAAGCCGCCCGCAGTTTCACGTGACGGGTTCGCCGAGTGGGCCCGGTGACACTTGGAGCTCGAAGCTTCTCCACTTTCCTTTTTAACGAACTTCCAAAGCTTCTGCCAATCTACAAATCTATCTTCTTCTTGCACCAAGAATATCCCCTTCTCGAAAACCTCACCAGGTACACATCATCTCCAATTTTTTTTAATATTTGTTTATTTTGTTCGATTAATTTCTTAATTTCCAGTCGGACTTGATTGCAATTTTGGTCGCGTTTCCTTCACGCCAGCTTTATTTATCGAATTTTTTTTCAATTGAGTGCGACGTGATGTTACAGCCTGAGATGACACACCGTTGGCAAAAGTATGGATGCGGTTTTGTATATAGATCGGAGAAAAATGATCAGCTGAAAAAAAGGGGAAAGAAAATGGCAATTTGATTGGATTTTCTGTTTGGTTCCCGGGAAACGCTAGGAAAAGAGAATATTTTTTTTGCTGCAATTTGATTGTTTTACAGTGCGTGAGAGCTGTTTGTCAAAATTTCTGTTTTTTTTTTGTTGAAGTTTGAAATTTTTTTTATTTTTGGTCGAAAATTCACACAATTCTTCAACGCAGAGAATTTGGTTGAGAAGTTTTTCAGCATAATCTGAAATGGCTTCGTCTGTTCTGATCTCTGATACTCAGCCGTGGAAGGATTTGAAGGTAATCGAGGCATTGCCTCTTTGAAATCGCGCAGTTTGAAAGTATCGTGATCTTTGTGTTAATTATACGTAATTTTTCGTTGTTCAGGCTCACGTTGAGGACATAAACAAGACCCATCTGCGCGATTTGCTGAACGATGTCAAGCGGTCGCAGGCGATGATGGTGTATGTTCATCTATCGGAACTTATGAAATCGTTAATCTTATTTCGAATTTCATATAATCCTTGTTTTGTATGAAATTATGAATATTGGAGCTTGATAATGTGTGCATTTACTCTTGCAGTGAGTTTGATGGTCTCCTGTTGGACTACTCACGGCAACGTGCCACGGTTGAAACCTTGCAGAAGCTCCTCAAGTTGGCGGAGGTAGGGTTGAATACTTCGTAACCAGTCCTTCTTTGGGAGGGTTTGAGTGAATATATTGTTTTCTAATCAATGTTTTGGGTTCCACAATGCAGGGTGCATCCCTAAAAGAAAAGATTAATCGAATGTTTGCTGGCGAGCGTGTAAGTTCATGTTTATCTTCCTTTGGTCAAGTGTTATGTGAAAACTTGTATTCGATAGCCTTATAGGATGTGTGGAAGAGACCAGCAAATTTCTCAGACCAATAATACATGATTCTTATGAATTTTTGTTTTCTGGACGGTGCTTTCAGATAAACAGCACAGAAAATCGGGCAGTGCTTCATGTAGCTCTTCGTGCTTCAAGGGATGCAGTTATACAGTGTGATGGGAAAAATGTGGTCCCAGATGTTTGGGAAGTTCTGGACAAGATCCAAAAGTTCTCTGAGAGTATTAGAAGTGGATCTTGGGTAATCAACTGAAATTTTTTAACCATCCGTTTTAGGTTCATATTGCTTGAATTCTGAAGTGATTGGCAATTCTGGTAGGTTGGAGCCACAGGAAAAGCACTGAAGGATGTTATTGCTGTTGGTATTGGTGGCAGCTTCTTAGGTCCTCTATTTGTGCACACAGCTCTTCAAACAGGTCAGAGTGATACATTTCATTTATCGATCTGCAGCTCTGTTCACATTTTCTTCTCTTTGCACTTATACAGTGTGGGTTTTCCTTGTGAAAACGGTTAAACTGTCTTCAGAACAAAGTTTAGCGAGTGTTCATTAGTTTGATTACATCTTACAGATCCAGAGGCTATGGGAGCAGCAAAGGGAAGGCAGCTGCATTTGTAAGCATTTATTCACTGAACTTTAATTTGTTAATTTCCAGTTTTATGTATCAATGAATTAGAACTTAAGACACTATAGTACGAATTCATTGCTTGGGGGTTTTCAATATTGTATCCATATGATACTTTATTTTTGTCAATCTAATAACTTGTTTTCTTCTGTCTGCAGTCTTGCAAATGTTGATCCTATTGATGTTGCCAGAAATATTGCAGGGTTCAACCCAGAAACTACCCTTGGTAAGCAATGAACTTATTTATATGCTAAGTATTTACTTTTGTAGTGACGTGGTGATCTAAGCTCTATGTGGGGTTTCTTATTGTACATATTCTTTTGATATTTGCAGTTGTGGTAGTTTCAAAGACTTTTACAACAGCTGAAACTATGTTGAATGCTCGAACTCTTAGGGAATGGATATCATCTTCTCTCGGGTTAGTGCATTGCTAACTCTTCTTCGATATATGAGTCTAATAGTTGTTTCAGATTCTGGGTTTGATTATTATTTGATGATTGAATTTGGACTCAGTTACTCTCACTCTATCTAATGGGTGAATGTAATAATTTCAGGCCTGCTGCAGTTGCAAAGCATATGGTAGCAGTCAGCACTAATCTTACGGTATAACTATTTCCCTTGCTCTATTGCCTGTGGTTGATTAAACATTAAGATTATTATTTATTTTAGTTAACTATTTTTCATTGGTCATTTGTCATTCTAAATTCTAAGTTTTTTCTTTTTGGTTTCAAATTTCCAATGCTGATGCAATTTATTAAGACCATTAGGACTGAGGTTATTTTTTTAGATGGAATACTTGGCAGACTTAGGTGCTCTAGTGAAAACCCACAATGAAGTTATAAGGTCTAGATATCCACTCATTTTATCTTGTGTCTTTCTTTTTCAGCTTGTAGAGAAGTTTGGAATTGACCCAAAAAATGCTTTTGCATTTTGGGACTGGGTTGGTGGCCGATATAGTGGTAAGTTATTTTCCTTTTTGTGTAGATAATATATGCAGCTACCTTGATGTTTAATTAGTATTTTTGAATTGCTGGTTGCAGTTTGTAGTGCTGTTGGAGTGTTGCCTTTATCTCTTCAGTATGGGTTCTCAGTTGTTGAAAAGTAAGCCACTCATAGCCGTCTCAATTATATTTGAGTCACTTTTGAAGTTTGTGATGCATAGATTTGATTTATCACACACCATGAGGCAATGCAGATTACGTTTTGATTATTTATTTTGTTTTTCTATCTAGGATTCTATCGAAATGTAGTTAATAGCTTAATATAGAAAAACTTAAAACTTTTGCTGCTCTTTGGAACAAAACAAAAGGTCATTGCTTTCTCCAGTAAATGTATGTACTTGAGATACATTTTTTATCTGTGTTATTTCTGAAACTGGATTTTGAGTCAAAATTATAGACACAGATTCCTCCTGCCAGAAAATAAATAAATAAATAAATACTTGAAGAAAATATTTTAGATAGGGTGCATAATGTGCTTAATTCATTAGTTGGTGAAATATGATCTTTGTGTATACTAACACGGATGTTATATTTCCTAATCAAAGGTTCTTAAAGGGAGCTTCTAGCATTGACCAACACTTCTACTCAACACCATTTGAGAAAAATATACCTGTAAGTACCTGAAGTTTGTATTGTCATAATTATTGTAGAACTAGCCCCTTGCCATACACTAACATGTGTGACAATTGGCTCTTTTATATTTTGTTCGTCTTTATTAATGATTTAAAATAATTCTTTGAAAAAGAAGTCACTAACTACTTCTCTACGTGGGGTGGTGTTTCTTTTGAATTTTATTTTACTACTTTGTCCCTTCTTTTCACCATTTTGGTGTGTTCCCTTTATATATAGATTTGATTGCCTTGTGATATAATGGGGGATGTGTTATCTAACGTTTCATCCCTGCTTCAGGTTCTTTTAGGTCTGTTGAGCATTTGGAATGTTTCCTTTCTTGGATATCCTACAAGAGTGAGTCTTACTTTATCCTTTCCAGACTTCATATTTGTAAGCATCAATGAGCCTTGTGTTTTTACTTGTTGCTGCTTATTCCTTAGGCTATCTTACCGTACTCCCAAGCACTGGAGAAGCTTGCTCCGCACATTCAACAGGTAAGTTCACCCCACTATCTGCATTTTTATGTTAGCGCATTTTTATGTTAACTGGACTTACAACTTCCAATTTTTTCTTCAATTTAGGTTAGCATGGAAAGTAACGGCAAGGGTGTATCAATTGACGGTGTAATTCTTCCCTTTGAGACCGGTGAAATTGACTTTGGTGAACCCGGAACAAACGGTCAGCACAGCTTTTACCAACTAATTCACCAGGTGATCTGAACATTCTTTTAGGTTAGCATGAAAAATGATATACATAACCTTTAGTTTTCTTGTTGTGTGTGAAGGAGGACCAAGCACATTGCTGACCTTCAGATGATTAATTTGGTACTTTGGTTTTTGTCGTGTGTGTATGGTTGCTAACCTTTTCTTCCTTAATTTCAGGGCCGCGTTATTCCTTGCGACTTTATTGGTGTTATGAAGAGTCAGCAACCTGTTTACCTGAAAGGTACCTAATCTATAGCTCATTTGAAAAGATAATAGCGGCCAATGGATTGTTCAAAGTTTGTATTCTGATGTTTAGTCAACGGAGTGCTACAGGTGAAGTGGTGAGTAACCACGATGAGCTCATGTCTAACTTTTTTGCACAGCCCGATGCCTTGGCCTATGGAAAGGTATGCTTTATGCTGATTAGGAGAGCACGTGAACATGGTCTATGATGTTTCTAACCAAAATCAAGTTTCTTGTAGCACCCAGAACAGCTGAAGAAAGAGAATGTTCCAGAGCATCTTATCACTCATAAGGTGTGTTCCTTTCGGCTTTAGTCATTGGCTTATAGGTAAATCTGTAGTACTAATTTATGAGATCTCTCACAGACTTTCTCTGGAAATCGGCCTTCTCTCAGCCTTCTGCTTCCATCACTAAATGCTTACAATATTGGACAGGTTTGTGATTTGTTCCATTTTCTACCTTCTGTAATGTGATCGGGTCATCCTATGGTTTGACTACTTGTGTGTTAGCTTATGTTATCAAAATCAATTTTTACGGATAATTAATTGCTTGATGTGTCGGCATTCGCTACACATTTGCTAACTCGTCAATTCTAAGACATAACATTCAAGGCCTGCATGTTTAGTCTCCGTGCTTGTTTTCTACTGGAAGTAGTCCTGGTCGTGTGCTATATGAAGTATAACCTTGTTTTTTGTCGGAATTTTATAAGTCTGTACTGCTCTTGCATTCTAATATCGACTTGCCCGCATCCAGTTGCTGGCAATCTACGAACACAGAATTGCAGTTGAAGGTTTTGTATGGGGAATCAATTCTTTTGACCAGTGGGGAGTAGAATTGGGAAAGGTAGAGAACTGCATTAACTTTCATCTGCTCGCTTTCCCCATTTAAGATAAGTTTCCTATTCGCCCCTTCATATTTTTTAATCCATTCATTTCGTGTTTGTGAGCGCAGTCATTGGCCAGTCAAGTTAGAAAGCAACTCAATGCATCTCGTACAGAAGGGCAACCTATTGAGGGCTTCAATTACAGTACCACAACATTGTTAACAAAATACTTGGAGGTATGCAAATCGAGTTTTCATTTGGAATAATAGATCAGCCGTAGGTTGTCTCGGGAGATTGTTTCCTGTTGGACAGTTTGAGATCCGGTTTGGAACGGAAGTATCATGACGCTAAATTACTTTCTTGTATGGCAGGCAACTAAAGACATCCCTGCTGACCTTCCGACGCTTCTGCCACAGATATAGTTGCCTTCTGCCGGAAATGTTCTATTTAAAGTAAGTTGAACGAATAAAATTTTAACCAACTACAACGAGCCACGTAAGGCTACCTGCTTCCGGTTTTGGTTGCAATTTTCTTATATGAACCTTACATGGAGCATATTTGTAGTCGAATTGATACGCTTCTGCGTTCGAAGAAATGCTGTCCAAGCATATTGTATATACAAAATAAAACCAGTTACTCATTCATTCACTGAATATATTTGCATAACAAGAAAGTAGACCAGTCACCTATGACTGAAACAAACCAACCAACTACATTGTCACCCAAGTCCCCGATCCCAAAACACAGCGAAGCAACATCGGCAGAGCGGTCTAAACACCGGTAGACCCAAACCCTCCGGCACCTCTGGCAGTGGAATCCAAATCCTCAACCTCCACAACATCAGGGGTGATGATCTTCTCAATGATCAGCTGAGCAATCCTATCACCCTCCTTGATCTCAAAATCAACATCAGAAAAGTTGAACAGCACAACCCCAACCGGACCCCTGTAATCAGCATCGATGACACCAGCTCCGACATCGATCGAGTGCTTCCATGCCAGCCCCGATCGTGGCGCTGCACACCAACAGAAAATACAGAAAACGCACATCAGTTCGGTATACAAAGAACCAAAATTTATCGAAATTGAACAGGTTGGGGACTCCGGTTTTTACCAATTCGTGCGTAGGTCCCTTCAGGGACTGCTATGCTCAGATCGGTTGGGACCAGGGCTTTTCCTCTGGCCGGAACTTTCGTCTCCGTCGCGCTACACAAAAATCAAAACAAATCCAGAGAAACCCACATCAGATTCCGATGATTTTTCTGACAAAAAATCGAGCGTGCGAATAAGGGGTTTTCGGAGTTTACCTCGAGAGATCGTAGCCTGCAGAGTGAGGCGAGCCTCTCGCGGGCAAAACCGCCTTTTCCGAGAGCTTCTTCACCCGGAAAAAATGGGCGGCATTTCCAGAAACGTCGCCGTTTTCGTGAAGCTTGGCGATCTTGGGAGTTGGCTCTTTGACTTCGTGGCTTCCGTTCTGCGCGTCTTGCTGGGCCATTCTGAGAGCTTGCCAGAGACAGCGGCGGCAATGTGGCGGGTATTGGCAATGACCGAATTTTGGGGGCAAATGGGAAGACGGAGTTTGTTTAAATAGAGAGAGAGTCGCGAACAATGGCGTTTCCCGCTCAATGGCGCCAAGTTTTCCCGCCATTTTTCTGTTGCCACCTACTGTGCGCAGACTCGAATAAATGCTCTCTCCAACCTCCTCACCGTCCTCCTCCTCCTCCTCCGACGTCAGCCTTAGGGATTTTGGGCCGATCTTTAAAAATGAGGAGGAACCTCAGCCCAATGGTCTGGAAAGAAAGATCAATAGCCCAGTCAGTTTTTTTCACTTAAAAGTTGGGCCCAACTTGGTCTGAAATTTATCCAAGTTTATTTATTGATTTATGGGTCATAGGGATTTTTTTTTTCTTGGTAATAAGCTTTTTTTCTTTTTAAAATTACAAGGATCAAGAGGGTTTTAACGAAAAGCCTACGGTACTGTTCACTTTAACAAAAAATTATAATTTTGCATTAAAAAGTCAATCCTGGTACTATTCACTTTACCCTTTATTTTGTCCTTATTATTAAAACTCAAAATTTTTAAGCTCTTTTCATTAGTTTTCCTAATGATCAAAGCTTTTGAAAAAGATTTACCAAATTAAAACTTTTAAAAAGAAGACTCTTAACAATACCATTTCATAAATGGCGACGCAAGAAATTGAATTGGGAAGAAAAGTATCAATAGATTAATAGTTAGTAGATACTATGGATTTTTTGACATCTCACTTGGTTTGAGGATCAAGCTTTAGATTCCAATCACAATCGATTCATTACTTTGAATCCAACTTATTTATAATCTGATTAGTGTTATTTTTTTTATACAATTCAAGTGCAAATAGGTTTGGAACTAAGTCGCTACCACCTCGAACTAAGTCGCTACCACCCTTTAACATGCATGCGTTGTAAGGTAGTACGCACTTATTATATGTAAAACAAAACCAATGTGAACGAAAAACAAAAATATCATATGCCATTTTGTTGTTTGGTAATATTAAGTTGCCCTTAGGTAGTTTAGTTACAAAAGGCAAGGGCAAGGGCAAGTCCATCGGTTCTTGAAAGGCATAGTCAAGGGCTGCCTAGTTGCCCAAAACACAAGAAGTTGCTCTAGCGGGCCATTTTTGGAGGGCGATTCATGGGCTCCACCAAGCCAGTTGGACTGCCCAGCTAACTTATGTTAGACATTGAGCCTGTTGATAATGAATAATGCCAGTGTGATGTCAACAAGTGGAGGCGAGCCACGTGACAGACAACAAGCGATGGAGCCCAATGACTATTTGCTCTGTGTGTCCTACACCATTGGATTTTCAACGGTCTAATAATTTAACAGTAAAAAAAAATTTGAAAAAACTATTGTACCACGTGGCACCCATTAGAATCTTACTTTTGTACTTGTGTTTTTTCTTTTTACATTTTCTTTATGGAACAATATGTAACAACTCGTCCCAGGATTTACGGAACAAAAAGGGTATTTTTGTATTTTCACTAAGCTTGGGGATATTTTCCTTTTAAAAAATGATTTTTGGGTCTTAAATGGTGTGCCCAAGGGGGCCTACCATTGATTTGTGTCCCCGGTCTCTCTCTCCCTTTTCTCTCAGTTCTCTCTTCTCCCTCATTCTCCCTTATCACTCCATCTCGGCTTTCTCTATCTCAGCCCCCTCCGAGGATTTTTCTCACCAACAAACAACACCACAACAACATCAATATCTCCATTAACACCATAGTGAGCTTAGAATTGAAAGAGAACACCCTAAACCCCTCCATTTCTCTCAGCCTACACTGTTCACCGAAGTTCTCCAGCAAGTTTCCTCCTCTTCCAGAGAAAGTAAGCCTTAAACCTCGTCCAAAAGTTGTAGATCATGTCTTAATGTATGTTGGGAAGTGGTTTTAAGAAGTGTTATCAATGTTTGGACGTAGGAACCTCACAGGGAAAACTTCCCCAGTTTTCCGATGAGCACCGCCTATTTCGAGGCAATTTCTAGCCAAACCATAACAAGTTGGCAGGCATGCAAGGTATCAATCTATTCGCATCACTGAGTACTACAACTTTCCTTTTTAAATGGCCACCTCAAAGACCATCGGGCCTTTGGTCCGTTTCAGACCCAAGCCCAATGCCCTTTTTATTATTTTGTTTTGTTTTAAATTATTTGTTAAAGGCTTTTGGGCTGTGAGTTGTTGGGGGCCCCGAGCCTAAGCCCTAAACCCAATTTTCCCTCATGCATTTTCTTTTTAAATCTAAGGCCTCAGCCTTTGGGCCTCCCACCTAGGCCCGAGTAACCCAAAACTTAATCCTAAACCCATTAAATCTCAGCCCACCAAAATAGCTAAACCTTTAACCCATTAACCCATTATCCTAAGCCCAACCTACCTAAACCTAAACTAAGTCCAAACCCTTTAAGCCTAACCCGGTCCAACCCAAAACCCTTGACCCGGATCCGTTGACTTTGACTGGTTAACGATCAACAGTGACTTTGATCGTTGACTTTTCGGGTTTTCGTCCGAGACCTCTCCTAGGCTAATTTCAACATCCTGGACCCGTTTTTGAAATTTGTCTTCCCAAATTCAATCATTTGAGTAAAGTTTGACTAAATGTACCCTTTATGTGCTTAGGGGCAATTAATTGTGGCGTTTCTGTCTTCGCTAGTTGCGTGGCTCTTCGGCAGCTAAGTACTATGAGTGGACCCCTTATAAAAATGCATGTTTTGATAATAGAAATGCATACATAAAAAACATGATTTGATGATTATGTTTTATAAATGTTTTATAAGATCACATGCTTACTGAGACTAGTTTGAATTATTACTATTTTTCCTATAAACCGTGTTCTTATAAAATATGTGATGGATGACGATATGATATTTAGAACATGTTTAGAACACATCTTTATAGTATAGATGGTGGATGACTTTATACTATGAAGTTACTTTTCAATATATGTATGTTCAATGGTTTTGTACTTACCTAGTGGTCCTTATTCCGCTACGGGATGTAGGGATAGATTCCGGTCCGTCCTAGGCAACGGTTTGGTGTTGGTATAGCGCCTGCAGTGTGTTTCCTCTGGCTATTAGCACAGGGACGGGGAGCCGGCATGGTGCCTGGGGGTTATCGGACATTCACTAGTGATTATTATATATACAAGTTATGATTTGAGACATTGCACGGCATGCTAGTTTTCGGAAAACCTATGTTTATCATGATATATATGTGTTTTCATAGAACCTGGGGGTTAGTACGTTGATAATTGTTTTATTATATATATATATATATATATATATATATATCAACTTGGTCCACTCATGTTTGTTTTGCGCCTCCTTCAGGACTTAGAATCGAGGCATACAATCCCAGCGTCAAGGCACTTCCACATTGACATCTTCAAGTCCTCTCGGTATAGGATCCGTCCTTTGTTTCGTTCAATTTTATATTATTTCTTTTAGTGTTTTAGTTAGTTTTATGCTCTGAACACGTTTCTTAAATGCATATTCATTATTCTTTTATATTTATAAGCCTTATCTACCCCTTGTTTTCAGCATTTGCACTTAATAAATGGCTTTCGTCACCCTTGGGTGTCAGCCAACATAGAAAAGTGAATAATCTATCGAGATTAAATCTTTTGCACTTACTTTGTGTGTAGCCTTTATCATAAATTGACAAGTATTAAGTTTATGACAACAAAATTAAAGAGAGTTAAGTTAATTAATAAATGTCAATTAATAATAGAGGTCACAAATAACACTCACAAATAAATGCAGAAGATTTAAACTCTAATTTACTTGATGCGGGTGAATAGTATATGGAGAAAATTGTAGCAATAGTCCCTAAACTTTAATTCAATTGGAGCAATGGTCCTTCAAATAAAATCCATGACCATTGATACCTTAATTAATCAAAATGTGCGTCTATAGTTGTTTTCGTCAACTCTGTTAAGACACCGGTCAAAATAAGTCATGTTGGAAAGATCATTGCTATAATTGAGTTAAAGTTGAATGATTATTGCTTCAACCGAGTTAAATATAAGGGCCATTTATCTGATTAGGTTAAAATTGAGGGACCCTTACAACAATTTTTTTCATTTGGTTTTCAATATTTGCTCTTTTATTCAGCTTTGCATTCGTGGCACGTGACTTATTTTTACAGAAGTTATAATGGACTTGACAAAAAATACCATAAATGCACGTTTTGATGAGTAAAGAACTAATAATCAATAATTTTTAGCTAAAAATCATTATTCAAATTTAATTAAAATTAAAAGACCTAGAAGCCTCAAACATCTGAAAAAGTAAAAAACAATCACGCGTTCTTTCAAGGGTGTTAAAGTAGGGTGATGCGTGAGACAACAAATCGATGCTTTGCTAACGTGAGCCGCTTGATCAAAATGCCGAATCTACCCCTGCCACATTTATCTCCCTTCATTTTTGTTGCCCTTATTTCCCACCCTTCGCATTCTCTCTGTCTTACCTCACTACCAAAGCGCAAAAGGGTTTCTTTGGCTTGCTCGCTCTCTGCAACTTCAACTGATCATCCATGGCCGACCTCTCCAGCTCAGCCTCTCGCCGCCAGCTCTCCGTTACCACTCCGCCCCAGATCTCCAAAGGTATTTCCTCCCTCGACCTCCTTTGCCGTCTTGATTTTTCGCATTTCCCCTCCACCCTCCGATACCAAAAACCCTAGATTTTTGTGTCGGTTCTGATAATTAGCTCGCACATTAATCGTTGTCGTTGCTGTTCGTATTGGCGTTGATGTTTTTCGTAGCCGAGTTTAGGGTTTTGATAAATATTCCGTAGTTAGGGTTTTGATAAATATTTTATTCCTAGGGTTTTGATTAATATTGGTAAATGCAATTAATTTTCTTAGGGCTTTTAAATTCGATTTTACATTTTCCTGTTTATTGGTCGGAACAAATAATTTTATGAATTCAATGAGGATGCTCCAGGTATATCGTAATATGGTTCACCATAACAATTTCCCATGCTTGCCGGTTGTAGTAGTATTTTGAATCATAAACTTTATCAAAGTTCAAGTTTTGACAAGCCTTTCTCAATTCATGTTTTGATTGATTTCGATTAATATTATGAATTCATGTTATAATGTTTCGTCATTCAATCATGTTTCGGTGTTTTAGGTTTTCCCTTTTCTTTGGAATAATTGTGCTTCACCATTTAACTGTGATTCTGGTTGGATTTGTTTGGTAATTCTCATATAATTCTAAATTGTGTTTATTTCTGGTGTACACAGGTGGACAAGGTTCTGAGAATCTTATTCCCCTTTCACCGCAATGGCTTCTGCCTAAGCCGGGGGAGAGTAAGACAGGAATGTTAACTGGGGTGTGTTATCTTCTCTTTCATAATTGTATATTAATCTGCTTCCCTCAATTGCTGCTTGGTTTCAGAAGAAAATTTTGTTACATTTATTCCAATTAGTATGCACTTCTATCTTAGTTATCAAAATAAGATCAGAATATTGCTTCAGAGTTTCGCTGTTATTTATTTCTTAAAAATAAATGCAGGAAAAACCTCCCAGCCCAAATCCATCCTTTGGCAGTCGCTTGGATACCATGAAATCATCAGGTAATGGTGATGAAATTCGTGATACCCAGAAGAAGGATGTTTTCAGGCCATCTTTGATGGATATGGAAGCTGGTGGTCGTCGTGAACGCTGGCGTGATGAAGAAAGAGACACCAACTCCTCAGGACGCAAAGATCGTTGGAGGGATGGGGATAAAGAAGTTGGTGACACTCGCAGGATGGATCGATGGATGGAAAATCCATCTGCAAAGCACTTTGGAGAAGCACGTCGTGCCCCACTTGAGCGGTGGACTGACTCAAGTAACAAGGAATCCAATTATGAGCAACGGCGAGAGAGCAAATGGAACACGCGCTGGGGGCCTAATGACAAGGAGGCAGAAGGTTTGCCTGACAAGTGGGCAGACTCTGGTAGAGATGGTCTGCATCTTGATAAGAGTTTGTCTCATGTTGGAAATCATGTAAAGGATGAGAAGGATGGGGATCACTACCGGCCTTGGAGATCAAACTCCTCCCAAGCCCGGGGAAGGGGAGATCCTTCTTATAACCACACTTTATCAGCAAACAAGCATGCTCCTACACATTCATCTAATTGGGGGCGTGGAGAGATTACACCTCCCAGCTTTTCTCTTGGTCGTGGAAGGGGTGGCTCTGGTGGAGGCTTTATGAACAGCAGTCCTACTATTCCTCAGTCTATAGGAACTGTATTGGACAAAGTTGAAAGTGAACATGGAGAGCCTTATCCATTAAGGTATAGTAGGACGAAGCTGCTTGATGTTTACAGGAAGGCTGATATGAAATCATATCAAAAACCAGTTGATGGGTTTATAGAAGTGAGCTCTCTTGCGGTGGATGAACCATTGGAACCTCTGGCACTTTGTGCACCGAATTCTGAGGAAATGGTAATGCAGATCCATTCTATTATTTTGTGATTACTTCTGATACTTTTGTTCATGCATTTGAATATTTTTTGTTTGTGCAGGCTCTTTTGAAGGGAATTGACAAAGGAGATATAGTAAGTAGTGGTGCACCCCAGCCTTCTAAAGATGGAAGGAACCCAAATGATTTCACACAGTCAAGAAGACCCAAGCTTGGTAGTTTTGCTGGTTCAAGATATTTAAAAACTATAAATGCATGATCCTTTTCAAGTGGGAATTGAGTTGTGTTGGAACTGTTTTGTTTTAGCAGGCAGTAGAGAAGATTTACCCCTTGCACTTGGTGATTCTAAAGATGAAAGCATTGCTAGGTCAAAAGGTGGTCTTCCGAATTATTCAGAGGGTTCTTCTTATGAAAGGCAGGTGCTTCATCATGGATCCAGCCTAAAAGGAGAAATAACGCAGGAACATGAGACATACTCAGAGAACAATTTCAGATCGGAAGGTATGTTGATGTACAATATGAAAAGGATGTTGAAACATCAATATGCACGTTGGTAAAGGTTACGATTGGGTGGGCTGGAAAAGTTTGGTCTAGATAATTTAAACTCACCTATGTTTTTTGAATGGAAGGGAAAATGCTAACCTCCTGTTCACTGCCCATGTGGAACTGGTTTATTTGATTCTTGATTCAGAATTTTACATTCTTTCTTGAGATTATGTTTCAAAAAAAGAAGGACCCAAATGATTTTACTGGCCTTTTTCAGACGTGTTACTAGCCTGAGATGGGTCTCCCTATTTAAATTTACTCAATGTACTTTCTGTTTGCAGCTTTTAGAGGAGACAGTGGTCCTTTCATAAGGGCTGAGGAGGCACCTGTTAGTGCAGATTTGAGCATGCAGGGAGGTGTTACTGCTCATTCTGGTTCTCCATGGAGAGCTTCATCACAAGGTGAACGCTCACATACAGTCTTGCATGATTGGCACGAGATTCCCGGTGATATTAAGTCAAGAACTCCTGATATGGGCTGGTCGTTAGGATCGAAAGATCTTAATAACGAATGGGAAAGTAGGGATGAGGCAAGATGGAAAACCAGTGATGATCCTGTAACAAGGAGGCAGCGATCGGGAATTCTAGATAGGGAACAAGAATTGAGACAACCTCAGCAGCTTTCTCCAGAGGAGCTTCAGCTTTATTATAAAGATCCTCAGGGAATAATTCAAGGTCCTTTCTCTGGGGCTGACATTATTGGCTGGTTTGAGGCTGGATATTTTGGCATAGATTTGCAAGTTCGCATAGCAGGTGCAAAAAATGATATGCCATTTTTGGCACTTGGTGATGTTATGCCTCATTTACGAGCTAAAGCTAGACCACCGCCTGGATTTACTGCACCTAAACCGGAGGTTGCAGATACATCAAGTAGGCCAAACTTTGGTAATGTTGGGATGATTCAAGCTGGTTTAAGTGAGATAGAGATAGCAAGAAATGATCCAAGGAATAAACAGGGCTCGACAACAGAAGCTCAGAATAGGTTTCTGGAGTCACTGATGTCTGGTAATCCAAGTGGCTCACCACTTCATAAGTTTCCTTTTTCGGAAGGTTGGTGATATTAACATATGTTTTACATTTCAAGTCTAATGTTTTCGTACTTTCTGAAGCTTTATTCGTGCTTTAGTTTCATTTGTCCTGGCCTCTTGTGACTTGGATCTCTATGTTTTGTTGTTAGGTTTACAAGGATTTATGGGAAACAATCCTCACGCTCATAGTGGATTGGATAATCTGTTGGCCAAGAGAATGGTTCTTGAACGACAGAGGTCTTTTCCTAATCCTTATCAATATTGGCCTGGGACGGATGCTTCATCTGTGATACCTATGTCGGAGATTGTCCCAGATGCAAACCCCCTCTCTTCAGTGGCTGAAAATCCAAGTCAGCCTCCTCATACCCAAAATGCTGACCTCATGTCCATCCTTCAAGGCTTAACTAACCGGTCATCATCTGACATAAATAATAGTGCTGCTGGTCGGTCAACTTTTCCTGTCCAAGGTGGCTCAGAGCCACTCCAGAGTAATTTTCCTCCCCAAGCCCCACTCCAGAGTAACTTTCCTCCCCAAATCCCACTTGGGTTCCAACAGCAGAGGCTGCATCCTCAGAATCAACAATCTTTACTCTCTCAAGCTATTGATAGTTCAAGTATTTCAACGCAAGAGAAATTACTATCTTCTGGTTTCTTACATGATCCACAAGTATTGAGTATGTTGCAACAGCAGTATTTATTGCAGTTACATTCCCAGGCGCCTGTTCCAACACAACAAATGTCATTGTTGGATAATTTAATGTTGCTCAAGCAGCAGCAACAGAAACAGGAGGAGCAGCAAATTTTGTTAAGGCAACAACAGCAGCTGCTTTCCCAGGTTATGCCAGAGCATCACTCTCAACAGCATTTTACTGAGCCATCTTTTGGACAGATGCAGGCTTCTGTGATGCTGAAAGGGATAGATCCCTCCCGGCTTCAGTCATCACAAGAAATGTTTCCAGTTGGTACAAATGTGCAGGTTCCTAATACGCAAAATGAACTTACTAGTAGTTATATGACTTTGCCTCCCCAAGGTAACCAAGATATCAGTCATAATGTTAGTGAGGGAGCATCCTCAGTACGTTTACCGCATCAAGTGCTTGGGAATGTTATTCATCAAAGAAGTCGGGATGTTACTCTGGCAGCACCAATTTCTATTCAGCAGGAGTCGCTGCCAATGTCCACAAATGTTGAGAGCTCACCGTTGTTTGATGTGATGACCAAATCTAGAGAGGTGTCCCTTGCGCAGGAGTCCATACCTGATTCTGATTTTCATGTTGCTAAAACCCTGGAAGAGGCAGCTGAAAACGCTTTCATAGCTGACCGATCTGCCGGGGTAGCAATTTCTCAGTGTGTTGCAGATCCTCTTCCATCATTAGGAGCTTTCGAGAAAGATGTACCTGAGCATATCAATGATGCGAATGTTCAATCAGGCAATCAAATTGAAGAACAGCAGATTGAAAGGGAAAAATACAATGATGAGGCTCCTACAGTGGTTGAAGCCAAGAATGTTGAAGTAAGAGGGCAAAGAAAGACTTCTGAGAAGAAGTCCAAGAAGCAAAAATCTGCCAAGGCACAGTCTTCAAGTGACCAAGCAAAAGGAGCATCCAAGGCGCAGTCTGAAGCTGAAAAGCCTGTTGTTGGAGATGCAAAATTGGAGAGGAGAGGCAACCGAGGCGGTAAGCCTGAAATTGTTACAGTGGAGGCTGTGGAATCCCAACAATCTGAAAAATTAGAGGCTGTGAAAGGTTCTGGAGATGATACGGAACCTCATGAAATCAGGGGTGATTCTAAGTTAGTTGAGTCTGTTTCTGGGCAGAGTACTCAAACACAGATTGGCCAGCGAGCTTGGAAGCCTGCTCCTGGTTTTAAGGCGAAATCGTTATTAGAAATTCAACAGGAAGAACAGAGGAAGGCACAGACAGAAGTGATTATACCTGAGATCACCATCAACTCCCCCAGTTTGATAACTCCTTGGGCCGGGGTTGTAGCCAATTCAGAACCAAAAATATCTAGAGAAACTCCGGTAGATGCAGATATTAATGACTTAAATGCTGGGAAGTCCAAAACTTCTCAAAACCCAAAGAGCAAGAAGAGCCCGCTACATGATTTATTAGCAGATGAGGTTTTGGCCAAGTCTAGTGAAAGAGATGATGAAATTCCTAATGGTGTGTCAACTCAGCATTCTTCACAAATTATGCCCACCCATTCAGAATCTATAGATGGCGATAACTTTATTGAGGCAAAAGACACCAAAAAGAGTCGCAAAAGGTCAGCAAAAGCAAAGGTTACTGGAACCAAGACCTCAATATCAGTTACTGCTGTAGATGTGCCTGTTAGTTCAAGCCCCACTGAGAAAGTCAAAAGCTCCCGTTCTGTACAGCAGGAAGTATTGCCTACAATTCCATCAGGGCCTTCATTGGGAGATTTTGTTCTTTGGAAAGGAGAAACAGCTAACCCTGCTCCTTCTCCAGCATGGTTTACAGACTCCGGGAAGATTCCGAAACCCACATCTTTAAGAGATATCCAAAGGGAGCAGGAGAAGAGGGTTGCTGCTGCTCAGCACCAAAATCAGATTCCAACTCCACAGAAATCACAGCCACCTCAAGTCACCCGCAATAGTGCTCCATCATGGTCGCTTTCAGCATCATCTCCATCTAAGGCTGCTTCTCCCATCGCGATTAATTCCCATGCATCTCAGTCAAGAAATAAAGTAGAAGATGACTTATTCTGGGGACCAATTGATCAAGCAAAGCAAGAAAATAAGCAGTATGATATTACTCCTTTGCTTTATGTACTATTCATTTGTGTGTTTGTGTCCACTTTATTTTGCTTTGAGACGGAAAGCTTAATGAACCTCAATTATATTGCAGGGATGAATATGGGGTTTGGCTCACAGCTCTAGTATATGTAGGGATCTCATTAGTGCTAGTTTGACCTGGATCTTGTGTTTTTGTTTGTTTCCCTGTGAGCAGGGCAGATTTTCCTCATCTTGCAAGCCAGGGCAGTCGGGGAGTGAAAAATACTCCTGTAAAAGGAACTTCGGCTGGTTCATTAGGCAGGCAGAAATCAGTGGGTGGAAAGTCAACCGAGCGATTACTTTCATCCTCACCGTCTCAGTCATCTATGAAAGGAAAAAGAGATGCCATGACCAAGCAATCAGGTAAAGAGTCATGGTACTTTTGATTTTTCTGTCAGAAATATTACTCGTCACCTATTTACATTGTTTTATTTTCCTTTGCAGAAGCCATGGGCTTCCGAGATTGGTGCAAGAGCGAGTGCGTGAGGCTTATTGGCACGAAAGGTATTGCATAATAGTACTAAGCTTCGTTAAATAGTGGGCAAAATCCATGGAGCCGGATGTTTTTTCCTATAATAATTTTGCTTTTTTCGTAGCTTAAAAAACTGAATTGATATTAGGCATTGTGTTGGTCCAAATCCATTCCTTCTCGTGATATTCAGTTTCATAATTGGCTTACTGATTTGAGAAATATAAGATTTGCTAGAATTTGTTCAGAAGAATATATCCTTTCAAGGTCTTATTCCTGGCTATGTCATTTATTTTTCTTTCCAGATACGAGTTTCCTCGAGTTTTGCCTGAAGCAATCCAAATCGGAGGCGGAGTTGCTTCTGAAAGAGAACCTAGGGTCGTATGATCCCGATCACGAGTTCATTGACAAATTTCTCAACTACAAGGAGTTGCTACCGGCTGATGTCCTTGAAATTGCCTTTCAAAAAGGGAATGACCAAGGGGGGGTCGCTGGGTTCAGCGGCGGAGACATGAATTCATACAGTGCAGATGTTGGGGATGTGGACCAAGACGGGTTCTCCAAAGGGGGCGGCAAGAAGAAGGGGAAGAAAGGAAAGAAGGTTAGTCCGGCTGTTTTGGGATTTAACGTCGTGAGTAACCGCATCATGATGGGTGAGATCCAGACACTGGAAGATTAGGGAGGATGATGAAGTTCAAAGATCAGAAGAGGCAGTTGTAAATAGTTTTTCGGCTTTTGGACTGTAAATGGATTTTTACGTTCATCGGTTTAGGATTTTTCTTACCTGCCCCCTTTCCTTTATCCCATATTTTCTGGATCTTCCGTCTTTTGTAGTAGTAGTAGTAAGTGCCAGCCAGCCAACGACAGCAGCAGTGCTATTTTTTTCTGCTCGAGCGATTTTGTATAACCTTAAATTATACAGTGGTAAGACTGCCTTAAATTATACCCTATTTTTTCACTTGGTTAAATTAGAGCTCGTTTAGAAGTGATTTTAAAATGATTAAAAGTACTTTTGATATTCTAGTGAAAATGCAAGGAGAGAATTGTAGCAATGGCTGCTTTAACTAAATTGCAACAATGGTTCTTTAATTGAAAATTCACGACCATTGGTTTTTTACTGGTCAAAATGTGCGGTTATGGTTATTTTTAGTAACTCTATCAAGATGAGCCTCGTTGGAGGACAATTGATACGATTGAGTTAAAATTGAGACATCATTGCTCTAATTAGGTTAAAGTCGGAGGGCTGTTTCTTCAATTGAGTTAAAGTTGAAAGATCATTATTACAATTTCTCAAAATGCAAGTGCATAGTTTTTTATTTTTTTATTTTATTTTGAACAAACGGTATTATCTACAGAGACTATCCTAAGGGGTTTGGAAAGTGGCTAAGCCTCAGCTAGTAATAATATGGTTCAAATTCATCTTTGGCGAGAATCGAACCGAAAACCCTTTACTTACAAGTAAAGAGGAATACCATTATATTGTAGTTTTAAACTTAAAAGAATTCAGTTTTAAACTCAATGTTTTTAATTTTAAAACTCAATTCTTTACACATACCATCATAAAACTTTCGCTGCAAAACAACCCTCAACACCCAGGATTGGAAATTTACTGTTTTTATTACTCTTAATTAAAAATAAAATATACAATTAATAAATCCCAATTAATGGGATTTCTGATGTCCAAAGTTCCCAACTAATGGGGTTCACTGAAGGACAATTCATATACCAGTTTTCATATATGCATCTTTTTCTTTTGCTCTGACTCCTGTGATGGGGTTGATCTGAACCCTAATTATATAACACATAGTTCCGGTGTGTGTCCACCGTCGTCCTCCGAAAACTTAAGCAAAGTGTTCGATGACGAGCAACTGTAACGCAGAATTCTAGCTGCTACTTCGTAATGTAGTCGCGTTCTTGCTTTCCTCGTCTTTCTTCGATCTCTTCTTCATCTCTCTTGTGTTCTGGACACAATAACAAACATAAGTAGTCACAAATCGCAATCACATATTGCTTAGGCTTCGATACAAATTTGTGAACTCCGTCACTTGAAAATTGCACAGATTTTTCGGGTGGAAATTTTCAGTGTGTTTTGATGGTTGGATAAGATCAAATTCGTATCAAATTAGACCAATTTATAACACTTCTTGACATTCATAGAGTTTCTTGAAGTCGATGCACAAACTCAAGGTTTTGAATTTTATGTCTCTTTTAAACGACTATTATATTTAAATTATTCTAATCTATCTGGATAAGAATTTGAACTCGGATGCAAGAGGGCAAACACACTGCCTCGGCCATCGCGCTTAACCTACATCTACTACTCAAGTTTTGAATTTATACTACATTTTTACTCAAATTATTAAGCTTACCGGAAATATCACTAAACTTTCGTGGCTAAAGCTAATCTTGCATTCTATAAGAGCAAGCAGATCATCAAGTAATTTAAAATTTAGCAGAAAAATGATCACACATTAACATAAAAGAGACTTGATTATGCAGATCAGAGGGCTTACTGACCGTTGATTGAAGAGGAAAAGGATCAAGAACGATGGAGCGGATGGACATCTTGGCAATCTCCGAAACGGCGGCGTCTCGAACGGCGGCAACATCGCTGGTCAAGTGCTCGTACGCCGCCTCGAAAGCCTCCTGCCAAAACCGCGGCAATCGACTCGTGCTGGTGCTGGTGGTCTGCGTGTACAAATCCCACATGTGCCTCACCACCTTCTCTCTCTCCTCCACCTCCTGCAAATCATTAATCCAGTATTGATCACTAATTAATTTTGTTTAATTCCAAATCCACGGTGATTAACGAAGAAATTAAGCAGATGGGTTAGTCCAAAGTACGAGAAAGATGCGGACTTTAGTACCAGAATGTCGAGATCGTCGAAGGTCGGGATGTCGAGGTCGTCGGAGAGGCGGGACAAGTTGCCGGTGGACCATTTGAGGGTGACGGAGCCGGTGAACATGGACCAGAAAGCAAGGAGAAGAATCGCCGCTAAAGCCCAGAACTTGTAGCCATTTTTGTCGAGAAAGACTCTGGTTTTCGAGGATGATGACGACGATGAGGCGTCCTTCCTGATCGCCGTTGATGATGGGATCGTTATCAGTGTCGGTGCATCGTTGTTCTTCATTGTTAGAAGATGAAGTTTTACTGCTGAGGAGTAAGAGAGAGAGAGACAGAGAGGAGAGACAGAGAGACAGAGAGACAGAGAGACGGTCTGGGACTCTCTGTGGACTATGGGACTGTGGGGGTGGGGTGTGAGTAGTAAATTTTGTATTAATGTGTTGGGGTCATGAGATCATGGGTGGGTGAGCCATCTCAATACCACTATGACATACGAGTTGAGAATCGAACCTGGCGTGTCGGATTTAGTTTAACCATAATTTTGTGACAAGACGATGAGGTGGGTAAAAATGAACTTAAGATCTCAAGTTTAACTATTTGATCAACTCGTGATAGGACTATATGAGTCTGAGATGAATAGAATAGGACTATATGAGTCTGAGATGAATAGAATTGAACTAGAAACCTCGATTTTGTGGTGAATGCTCTTATTTAATTGAACAATAGATTTCTAGCAAGACGATATGAGATGAAGAAAATCAAATTCGAAATCTCAAAGTTAGGGATGAATGGTTTTAATCAACGGAATGAGACATATTAGACGAGCTTTAAAATTGAATTTTGATGTCGGAAAGGGAAGGGAACTGTGGAGTGTTTAGCGAGCTACCATTCCGAAATTTCCGAATGGTTTTGTAACGACACGCACCCATCAAAGTATGTGTGAACGCGGGGTCCATTTAGACGCGGGAATGGGTATCATTTGCCGACTAAAGGTTGACTGTTTGGGGCATACAGCCGCGTCAGCCGGTGTGTGACACTAGTCATTTCCCACCATCACGTCACCTGTGTCGTTTAGCACTGAGGACCCCTGATTAGGTCGGTTTTGATTAGACCTTACAAACGGGTTGTCTTTGTATTATTTTTGTATCGTACTTGTTATCTTAATAGGTTATGTTGTGTTTAAATTGTCATTTTAATGGATTCTTAAGAGGTGATTTAATAGCAACTCAATTCGTTAACGGGGTCTTTTCATGTGGGATTAATGGGTCATGCAAAAAATTGTCATGTCTAATGTAAATCTGACAAACAATATTTGATAAGGTTGTTCATGGATGACTTGATAACAACTAGACTCATTGACGAGTTGGTCAGAAACCTGTAATTTTCATGTCGTTTTATGTCAAATTAACTTGTCGTGTGAAAAATTGTTAAGCCTAATTCTTATGTCGTATAAGATTGCTTATAATTGAATGAGTTTAACATATATAATCTGGCGTTTTAGTCATAAATATCTTACGATTAACGTGATTCAACATTCATACTCAAGTTTCGTTTTCAGGCTTCCAACACGATTATGGTAATTATGATTTTTCTTAAGGCGACTTTAGTGCCCCTTAAAAAATGTCAACTTGTGATAGGTGAACTGTTGATGTTGTGTTCATTGCATTCCTCAACTAATTCATGATTAGAAAATAATTAGTTTAAAGAAAGACTAAAGAAAATCATTGAGGAGAAAAGTTTTTAAGTTTTTGCCCAACTTCAAGATTTTGATATCACAGTTACAAACTAATTTTACTAGATTACTTAATCCTTATTACTATTTTGAACCAAAACACAATGAGTTAAAGAAAAAAATACGCTAATTTCTACGAAAATCTACCACTCGCATCCCTTTCAAAATCTTAATCTCCCTATGTTTTTTTTTTTCAATTAACTTGGCTCCTTAATGAACGAGGATGAGTTCCTCCTCAATTCACTATGTATTTGATTCACGGAAATTCATACTTATAATCAAAACCGTTCATTTATAAATTACTATGTAAATACCATCTATGCAGAAAATCGATTAAATATAAAATCGTTTGGTCATTGAACTATATGAAAATAGATGGATGGATTCAATAAATGAATTACAAACCGTTTATGTATTTGTTAAAATTAATTGACTAAACAACCTTAATTTTGATTATTTTTCGTAGATATGATCTCCACAAAGTTACGTGAACCAGCCACTAAATGAATTTTCTTCGCAATCCTAAAGAGCCAAGCATTTTTTTCATTTCCAAGTGAGAAAGAAAAAAAGCATACAAAGAGAATCTTTATTTTAGAGTGGCAAAGTATTCCAAAAGTTGATTAATTCCCTTGACTCGCACCTTTCATGCACAACTACCACAAAACTTTTTTTTTTTTTTCTATTTTTTTTTTATACAAACGATATAGTGGAAGGAAGAAATTTAGCATAAAACTTCGGACGCAAAGATAAATACGGAACTACATCATTACAAATGTTGAGAAATGAAAATATTATCCCAATGGATTCGTCGGACATCCAAAAGACTCGAAAACCAAACTAAAGTTGTAGGACCGCCGATTTGACAACTAAACAACGACATTGCACTAATTTAAATAGTCAACCTCAGCTAAAGCAAGTGGGGTTATTGGTTGATAACGACAGCAAATAAGCTTAACCTTCCTTAATTTCTAATTATGTTCATCACAAGACCGCGACTACCAATCCATTAGTGCATCTCCAATCACTCTATTTTTTAAGTAAAATTTTTATATTAAAAAAAAAGGGACTGATTAGTGTTTTTGTCACGACAATTCACTTTTCTAGGGCTTAGAAAGACTTGCAGAGGTAATTTAGGCCTTTCCTGACTACTATCGTGTGATTCACCAGTACCATGAATCAAATACAAAACGTACCGTGTGAATACGGGCCTATAATTCATTCCCAACAATTGGACCCATGGTTATTTTTTAAATTAAATTTTAGCTAAAAAAAATTATGAAGTTAAGCTTCCTAAAACAATTCTACTCCAATCAATAGGAATAGAGGTTGTACTTAAAATATTTTTAAAATATTGATAAAGAAAATCTTAATTAGTGGATAGGAAATGAAATTTGGAGATGGATTTTTTCAAATCCCCTTAAGATTTCAACAAGCCCATTGGGCTTCAACCAAACCTAAAAGGCCCGACCCATCCATATTTCATTGAGGCCGACAGCGCTGTCTGAGTAAGCCCATTTAAAGAGGGAAATGAATCACCCGGACCATCACTTTGTTATCGTTGGACCCAATACAACCAAAATTTTCAATTTATTCTCCTCAAATTGTATAATTTTTTTTTTAGTATAACGACCAAAGACTCAGACGGAAAACGGGAAAAGCTCTCCGTTCCTTATTCTCTTGTAGATAGATTCACCAGAACCACAAGAATCCCACACACTTGGTTGCAAAGGTCTATGGTCATAAAGCGCAAAGAACCAACCAATCTAACGAAAAAAAATTAAAAATACAGAAACAAAAACAGCAAATGGAGAGAAGAATTGGTAGGGATCGACTAAATAATTTTAGTTTTTATTCAAATTATTAGTTTAATTTTCTTAAAAATTATAAGAAAAATGGCTCAAAATACATCATGCTTTTGAAAAAGAGCATAACAAAAGAGATGTGGCTCGTTTTTTCTTTTTATTAACCAAATTATTGCTAATATTCTCTATCGTTTTAAGTTGTTCTTTGTCAATATCATCATTGTCGTGTCGATATTTTTTGCAACTATTTGAATCATTGCGCTAGTAAATCACACTATGGTAATTAAAAAAAACGAAATGCTTTTATGAAACTTTCAAAACTTCGAAAAGATAGGTTGACTACTGAGGGCATCTTCAAAGGAGATGTCAAAATTGCCATGTGAGCATACAACAGTAAAAAATAATAGCAAACTCTCTCGAACCAAGCCTTCAATTTTTTACGTGGCGCTAAGTTATTTGAAGGCAAAACCTTTTGCTGTCAAATTTGATAGTAGATGTCAAATTCATTAAATGATTTTTTTAATAGATTAATATAATATATAATAAAAATTTTGAAATATTTAATTAGTTGGCTTAATTATTAGACTCCACAAAAAGATAAAAAGTTTATTAAATGACATTATTATTTAACATATCGGGTGAAGCAAAATATTGTACAAAATGTCAAATTACCACATAAGCTGTCAACTATCATTTTAATGTTTAAAATTTAACATCTCATTTAGAAATGCTCGGAAGTGACAAAGCCTCCCGTCTCTTCGGTTTTTTATATAAAATTATAATAATTAAACTACTAATCACACGCTATCAATTCAAACTTTAAACTCCTAATTACTAATTCAATTTCAATCCAATTTAAAAACAAGAACAAAAATGAAAATATTTTACAAAATTAAAAAAGAAATCATCCTCAGAGACAATTCCACACAAGTGGAAATTGCAGACAATCTACACAGCATCAGATTCTGTCCGCCCGTCTGCTTTTACTCTTCATCGAAACAATTGTTAACACAATTCCTAACCAAAACCGTCACTAAAAATCCAAAACAAAGATACTAAATTGTTTTAAAATCAATAAAAAATTGCAAAGCATCGGAAAATAAGCGGAGATTTTGTCCACATTTATTTCGGTGTGTAGTATAAGTGATAATATTTTTCATCGTACACTTTGCCTTTTAATTTCAAGAAAACTAATGAAAAAATTTAAAAATTTTGAATTTTAGTCAAAATGATAAAAATACGTTACAAATGAATAGTATGAATGACTTTTTAAAGAATTTTAACGAAAAATTTTCGATACTGTTTACTTTAACAAAAAAAATCATATTTTTACAGTAAAAAATCAATCATATTCATTTTACCTTTTATTTTATCCATATCGTTAAAATTTAAAATTTTTAAACTTGCGTTAGTTTTCCTAACTTTTTAAAGTAAAAATATTTTTTTTCACTAAAAATGCAATGTATTTCCTTAAAACTCTCTTTAATTTTTCCACAAATAAAATAAATAAATAAAAAACAATGGCATCAGATAATAAGCGGAGTTTATGTCAACACAGAAGATTCAGTATATCAATAAGCGGAAAAGATTATTCATCATTTGCCATTTGAATTTCGACCCACACTAATTTAAACATAATTAAGAAAATTAATTAAACATAATTAAGGATATAAATATATCGGTAGGTCCATTTGACCCAAAAGCAAACTCAAACAATCTGCAGTGAGCTGGTAAGCCAACCAATCGATATCTGCATCCGTTCTAAGCTCCTTCACCGTTGATTCTTTGGCATGGAAGGAGAGGGTAAACAGATGCATGGCGCACAAACATAGGCGCGAGCACAGACAATCCAAACAAAAATTCAGAAAACACAGACGCTATGTATTCGGATCCGAAACCCAATCGGATCCAAACCACAATCGGATCTTAAGAAAGGAGATTTATGAAACGGTGTGGCTGCGGAGATTGAAAGTTGAAGAGCGACTGAGAGCGCAGAAGAATGATAGGCAGAAAGGAGAGGGATCGAGATTATATAGGGGTTTATGTGAATTAGGGTTTTACCCAACTGGAAAACAGATTTTGATATTTTGGTGGCCCCGCCCACTCCTTTTTTCTTTGAGCTTTGAATGGATGTCTGGGGAGTTTCTATGGGCTCTGTTAAAAGTTATCTAGGTCCAACTTTTGATTGGGCTTGTGTATAGTATACTGAACAGGCCAATCATAACAAATGCCCAAAAGGATCGGTCCACTTGTCGATCATTTGCGAGTCAAACTCAGTCTCTCGCAATGCTTTTCACTCACTCACTTTTTTTTTTTTTTTGGAAGATCATTCATTCTTCCTGAAAGAAATACTTTCCGGATTCCTTCCATCTAATCCACAAATCCGGAACCTTGAAATTTGATTCAACGGCTAAAATTATTATAATTTTTAAAGGGGAGCCCTTGTTTGTAGCCGTTTGATCAAATTTCAAGAATCCGGATTGATGAATTTGTTAGATTTGGTGGAAGGGAGGATCCCTTTCCATTCGTTCTTCACTTACATGTGGGGAAGCGCAGCAACCAAGGTGCATATTAGTATATAGAAACAAGCAAAGCTTTGATTTGGTTTAGATGTTAGGTCTAAAGAGGAGTGTTGGGATCAATAACGCATGCTGCATGCATGTGGGATTTATTTCGTGGGTCCAAATTATGAATCGCCAAAGATCAACTCACATACACAACGTATTCTAATTCCAAAAATTAATCAATCTCTTCGTCTTGCTCTCTCTAATTCCAAAAACCACCGGCATCAATGAGAAAAAACAGTTTTGCTTTTACCTATATGTACATGCAGTTCCCCCTTCGTCCTTCTTTCTTTTTTGTTTTTTGTATTGGTTCTGTAAAAATAAATTGACCAAACAAAACAGTCTCTTTTAAAAACAAACAGTCGTATGGTACGTACTATTGATCTCCACCGCCATCTTCCCTCTTAAGATCCGCCGGAGGAAGAAAACAATCCGTGGACAACCCACGAATGTTAAAATCCACCTCGTCAATCTTCCACGTCTCCTCAATCCTCCTCTTCTGGTTGTAAGCGTGTCCGTACCTGTACAGCAACGCCGACGTTTTGCCAGCGTGCGCTATGTTTATCCCGTCGACGTATCTGTAGTCCCCGATCACCGTCTCCATCGTCGTCTCCCAGAAAACGCTGTCGTTTCGCGACCTCATCTTGACCAGCTTGCTGTCCTCGAACTGGATTAGCAGTCCCGTACGCTGGCTGAAGTAGCCCCAGATGGTGTGGTGGACTATTTCAGTCTGGGGCGTGCTTTGGGATTGGAGTATTTCCGTGGGAGTCTCTAGCTTGAGGATGAAGCATTCTTCTTTGTTGATGCTTTTCTCTCCTGTGCATACTGCGTCTAGGAACAAGTTGGCTGTTCTCCTTGGGTCCAAACCCTAATCAATAAACAAAAGTTAATTCTGTCACTTAATCGTGTTACGAAGAAAACAAGTTATGATGAAGTAATCACATTTTCTAACAACCAAAAGTACTTCAGACGATAGAATAATTAGTAAGTGTTTCTAGGTCGTATAATTACTTTGCGAAGAAACACATATTCTATATTTTTCCAAGAGAACACTTGATTTTAATAAATAATAAAAACACTTATAGCAAAAACTCTCGTAAGGAAATGTGCATGCGTTGTTTTCAAGTAAAGTACATACCTGAAAGAAGCGGCGGAGGGGTCTTGGGAGCCCTTTATTGGCATGGCAAGGTTGCGAGCCGCATTGATTCCATGCGACCTTGCCATCGCTTCCAGCACTGACTTTGAAGCCGGAAACAAACAATTCCAAGTACCACAGGTCGGGGTCTTTTTGCCATAGGACAAACCCACCAACCTCGCCATTGCCTTTGCTCTGAACGTGTACACTGTCGTTATCACCTTGGTGCATTTCCGATCCCACCATCTTCACCTCCCCAACGGCACACATGCTATTCACCGAATTCAACGCCGCCAGTCCCCCGGTCGCCGCCACATATTGTTGCACTATATAATTCGCCGTCGAAGCCTCCTACCCGCATGCATGCATGCAAATTTTATATTTCGTTTGATTTTTATCGAACTACGTAGGTACGTAATGGAAAATGAAAACTATATTATTTGACAAGTTAGGATAAGACTACATACGATTGAACAGTCTTTGATTGGGCGGGAGAGTGCATTGTCGCAATGAACCTGAAGGGGAATGAGAGGAGAACCAACAAGCTTGAGCAATGCCATGAACTCATTGTTTGATCCTGACGAGAGATGAGCTTTCATGGAAGAACGGAGATTCGCCCACTGCAACTCGGCGCTGCTGCCCATGTTGGTGAACATTTCCTCCGGAATCGGCACCTCGAGGACGGTAGCCAGGCCATCTTGATTGTCAAGGTTAGGGCACAGCTTCCTCATAGAAATTAATTAAATTGTAAAAAAAATGTAAAATTAAATATTTGAGGAACCTATGTAATTAGGGGATAGTGGAGGAGATAAATTGATTAAATTAGAGAAAGAGGAAAAGGGAAACTTTCCTCTTTCTCCCCCTAAAGGATTAGGGTCTTTTAAAATTAGAAGGGAGATTGTGGAAATTTTAATTTTAATTAGTAGGAGATTAAGTTGGTATTGTAAATGAGAAGGTAAGAGGGAGGGAGAGAGGTTTCGTTGTCTAAGGTGCTCCTTGCGCGTAGGTCTCGCATGGCTTGGAACCATTTTAAGGGTACATGCATATTTTAGGACCCCTTAACCCTTACCACAACTAATTAACATTCCTCATCAAACAAGTCAAAGTAACTAAGTTAATTTCAACTTGTCATACATAAATATTATTTGAGATAAAATCATCAGGAAAATTCAAACTTGTGACACGTTTTAATATTGTGAAGAAATTATTACTAAATCAACAACGATGCGTATAAATGTATCACTAAATTATATAGGACCTAGTTAATGTCCGGTCATATGTTTCATGAACCATTGTCGTTGTTATGGTGGCATTTTGTTCCTTGTTTGTGAATGATATATGGTAATTACACTAAATTCATCTAAATTTCAATAAAATTGCTTTGAACTTGAATGTAAATGATGGAACACATTGCTCTAGCAAGCGTTGGTAAACCCATGTTGCATCCATATTCCCATCCCATAGTTTCAACCGATCCATCGTTGATGTTTAAAAGAATAATATTTGTGTTCTCTTCATGAGGGATTGTACCTGTCCCTCCAATTATGATTAACATATAATTACCCTACAAACATCGTAATCGGAATTGTTCATTCTCTTTATATCATAAAATATCATATATGCAAAAAGTTATTCAATTTAGAGCTCATTTAGCCATCAATGTCAAATCAATCGACGGTTTTAATAATAAGTAGCATCCTTATGATGAACCGTTTATTTATTTGATATATAAATGAATGGCTAAAGATCTCCAAATTGAATGATTTTTCACATGTATGGTCTTTATGATTTCACTACCTTATGGAATAATGTTAGTTAAGCTCACGTCATCTCACTGCCTAAAAACAAAAACAAAAAACAAAACTCAAAAACAAAAAGGTAATACTACACTTACCACATGTCTGTATCATCTTTCTAATAAAATTAGGCCCACCAACACATGTGGGTCACATCTCAATTAAAGAGATGATACAAAGTGTAGTAAGAGTAGCCTTTTTAAAACAAAAAAATTCACAGATGACGTTTTACCTTAGTGGCGAAAGAAATGATACTTATACACTTTATTGCAAGTTCGATACTCATTGATCCCTCTCTCTCAATAACTAACAATTGAACCTACTAACTATTATCGTTTGTCCAAAACAAAAAAAAGTTATTCAATTCACACGTCACAAGTGACTCCAACGTTGCGGGCCATAATACTTATCTCCCGGGCCCCGAAGGCCCAAGTCGTACTTGCTTCCAGCTCGACCCATAGTGCAAAGTCAAGAAGTCAAAGCGCGTGTGCACACTGTATAGTAGAAGAAACTTTCTACAAATTGTCTTGTAGTGGTTTTGCTTGTACACGTGTCATACAAAATTGCATCTATCCGGCTGTCAGCTCCTCAACGAATTTGTCAGCTAGTGGTTTTCAGTTCATATTGAAAACGAAATATGGAATTAAACCTAATTATTTTACACTGCTTTATACTAATTTGATGAATTTGTCCTCTCGATCGGTTTTCAGTACACAAACTGAACCAAAAAACAGAACACAAAGTGAACCGAAAGACTAAAGAAAACCGAACCAAACAATAGTTCTAGTTTGGTTTTTAGTTTTGATGAAAAAACCGAACCTAATGAAATCAAACCTAATTTTATTTTGTACAAGAATTTAGTACGTGACGCCTTCCTATTGATGCGTAATCTATCAATACTAACACCACCCTATCAAGTGTTGCATGGAACTCGTCAGCCTGAACCAGAAATAAAATTCATTAATTTTATTTTTTAAGTAGCTTTCAACCTGATTGGTAATTTGATTATCAATTAACTAATCTTAAACCTAGCCATTTATTTAACACATTTTCAAACCATACAATCACTAGAGAGAATTCCATGCACACGTCATCTCTCTTAATTTAATCCATCGGATAAATTGGATTTGGTAATCATAATCCCGCTGCCTCTGCTTATACAGCCGGCCTCACCTCACCATATAATCCAACCGCAAATTCTCCATCTGTTATCGCTTAATCTCCAGCTTAATTAATGGCTAAACGCTACTTTAAGCTCAAATTCCCCAGGGTTATTTCCCTAATCCAATTCTGTCGTCCCAAACACCACTCCCCTTTGCCGGCAATATACCGGCTGTCCCCTGTAAACGCCAAAGCCATGGACATCGGGTTCCCCAACCGCCCGGCACCGCCGCCGTCCACACCGGAGCACAACTCCGTAAAGCGCTGCGTGTTCTCCAAGCCCGCAAAATCCACCGGCTGCGGATCGTGCCGGTCCCGGTCATCCACGCGATTCATCTCCGACTGTAAAGTTGAAATCAAATCATCCGCGGATAATGACGAACTTAATCACAATTATAATAACTACAAAGATAATTTTATGCCGCCTATTTCGGAAACCGAGAATTATTACAGGAAGAAGCGGAAGGAGGAGAAGACGAAGAGGAAGAAGAAATCGAAACGGAAAGCGAAACTGGAGCTTCCGTTTATAAATACTTCTTCGGGAAACTGGTCCAGCGGCGAATTCGACGGCAGCCAAGAGAACAGCGAAGAAAGCAGAACTCCGATCTACTCTTCCAGCAGCTTCTCGAATGAATTCTCGCTGGTGATGGAGACGATAGGCAAGAAGATCTCGGAATCGCACAAGCAGAGCAGCAAGAAGAGACCTAACGGTGTCGACTACGATAAGGTTCGTAGATCGAATTCAGATTTGGATTCGAAGAAACCGGCGGCGACGGGCGGAGAGTTCGGAAAGATAAAGACGGTGCTGCGGCCGACGAGGGTGTGCAGAGGGGGCGAGAGGAAGGTGAGGGAGAGCGTGGCGGTGGTGAAGAAGTCGGAGGATCCCTACGAGGATTTCAGGCGGTCGATGATGGAGATGATCATGGAGAAGCAGATCTTCGAGGCCAAGGAGTTGGAGGAGCTCCTCCGTTGCTTCTTGACTTTGAATTCCCGCCACTACCAGGATGTTATTGTGGGGGCTTTTTCTGAGATTTGGGAGCTCTTGTTTTCTGACCCTTCGGACCAAGGGGTAAATTTGAAAAATTGATGTTGTCGTTTTTGCCCCTAATGGTTTTACTGAATTACTTATGCAAAAAGATTATAAATACATGATTTTTCTAGCATTACTCGTAAATGTATATTCACAAAAATGTTGCCACGTCATTCTCAAAAAACTTGACATGGCAGAGCTTCCCCCCAGCTTCATCAGCAAACACAATTTTCTTCCTCTCCTTGTCTTTGTTTGCAACGTTTTCAGAAGCATCGACGCCGTTATCAGCCATTTTCTGCAATCGATGGACAGAAATGATCAAATTCATGCCGCGGAACACGGCAGTGAAAGTAAATAGAATTGTTATTAGAACGCCGAAACAGTCTTCATTCGCTCTCTTTCTTAATTTATTTACATTGGGGAAGAGTGTAATGATTCTTTTAAACTGCGAAAAAAAAAATACCGAAAATTTTAAAGAAAACAGGATGAGGAGCGAACCATGATTTTACAAAACCGGCTACAGTCCCTCGTCATCAGGGAAAGCAATCTTTTCGCAGATGCTTCAACTCTCGTTACGTTCTTAGTAGCCATCCGCACCTGCAATTTTTTCCATTGGAAGCTCATAGATGAGCACACAGAATTGTTGCATATATACATGATAAAATGTTGCAGCAGCAGACGTATCTGAGAGAAGTATTAGGGTACCTCATTTGCATTATATTTCAAGGGTGTAGCATGGTAGGCTTCAGGCAGTCGCCTTTCTTCTGCAATTTCTTTCATGGTCTGTAACTCATTCATGAGTTTCGTTGCAAGGGATTCAATGTCCTGCATCTGGCGTTGTGAGAATGCAATGGCGCTCTCTGAACAAGTTCGGATAGAAGTACACCCCGTGGTAAAACGAGGTGGTGCTGCAGAAACATTGGAAGGTTTAGGGATGCCATTAGGGTGGGAATTAATATTCTCGTTCTTTGGATTCCGGTTGTTTTGCGCTTTGATAGAGAATTTGGCTCTCCTGATCTGATCAGGCCCTTGGACTCCACCAATCGTACTCTCGGTTTGTTCTCCAAAACATAGATTCCCCTTACAACCTGATATAATCAGAAAACCATGAAAGTCAAATACATGTAGAAGAACAGAGATATAACAATGTGTGCAATTTGCAAATGGAATAATGAACAGAAAACTAAATTAAAATTCAAAGTACCGAAACATTTCTCGGCATTTCATATGAAATGTTATGAAAAGGCATAAGAAACTGAAAGCTTAAATATTAAGAACACTTGAACGAAATTTTGTTTCACCGACAGAGAGTGCTACGATAATCACTTGAAAAGCACAACAGGCTTTGAACACTTACCGGGAAGTTCTTCACTGTGTAACTCAATTGACTTCATGGCCTTACACAGTTTTTCTTGGGAAGTTGGTGAAATGACCTGCACATGAAAACAGTTAACGAGAAACAAACTCCTCACTAGGATAAAGCAAAATAACAACCAATAGATGCTATGTACCTTTCTGGTCGGAAAGAGCCTTTGAGGAGGACGCTGCTGGTTTAAACTAGGACTCCCACCACTCACTAGTTTCATAAGCTCGTCAGAAGCATCAGAAGAAAAGATCCCTCGAGAAAAGTTTCTATCTGCACCAGCACAGGCAGGCTTGTGGGATTGCTTCTCCTCCTCAGCCATGGGAGAATCATCAGCAACAGAAACCACACCGCTACCAGAGCCCGAGTCACAATCACTATCAGGGCCAGCACTGGTTTCAACATTCGAAGGTGAATCATCTTTCATGTCAGGCCCAGATAGACATGAATCACTTCCATTAATAGGTCCCATGCACTGGAAGAGATAATCACCCACCACCTCAGATAGTCGACCCTGGGTCTCGCTGTTAGCCTGACATAACCTTTCATCCTCAGAGGAAATATTGTCATGCATATCAAAATTTAGATCATGCGCCGGACATATTGCTTCAACGAAGTTGTCAGGGAGAACTGAATCCGTGATATATCCTTCTATGTTATATTCTAATAGAGGCAAATTCAAGCAGTCATAGCTGGTGAACTCTGGATCATCTGCCTCAACAATATCCCAATCTGAGGTCGTTACAATCTGAATAGGCGTGGGATCTGCATACTCCAAATCTTCATAGAAGACCTCATTAACAACACAAATCTGACTTTCTTTTGCTTCGGAAATTGGCAACTCGGTCTCGGAAACACAATCAGCAGCTGCCGCAGGAGATTCATTAGGAACCACTTCACACTCCAAATCTCCATAGAAGACTTCATTAACAACACAAATCTGACTTTCTTTTGTTCTGGAAATTGGCAACTCGGTCTCGGAAACACAATCAGCAGTTGTCGCAGGAGATTCATCAGGCCCCACTTCCTCCAAATCTTCATAGAAGACTTCATTAACAACACAAATCTGACTTTCTTTAGTTTCAGAAATTGGCAACTCAGTCTTGTAAACACAATCAGCACCTGTCGCAGGAGATTCATCAGGCACCACTTCATACTCTAAATCTCCATAGAAGACTTCATTAATAACACAAATCTGACATTCTTTTGCTTCGGAAATTGGCAACTCGGTCTTGGAAACACAATCAGCAGCTGTCACTGGAGATTCATTAGGCATCACTGCACAGTCCAAACCTTCATAGAAGACTTCATTAACAACACAAATCTGACTTTCTTTTGTTCTGGAAATTGGCAACTCGGTCTCGGAAACACAATCAGCAGTTGTCGCAGGAGATTCATCAGGCCCCACTTCCTCCAAATCTTCATAGAAGACTTCATTAACAACACAAATCTGACTTTCTTTAGTTTCAGAAATTGGCAACTCAGTCTTGTAAACACAATTAGCAGCTGTCGCAGGAGATTCATCAGGCACCACTCCGCAAGAACCCTCCTGATTGTCCCAAGACAAAGAGGTACCACCAGCAAAAGGAATTGTGTTTTGGATATCTGAAAACTCAGTTTCAGGAACCTCTACTTTAATGTTGAGACCAGATGCAATCACATCTCGATCGAATTGGAATAACTCCGGCTCAGATGTGATAGTCGATGTGGACCTTTTAGACATAGTAGAGGAAACGTTTCTCTTAAGCTTACTCTTAGTCCTGGCCTTTGCCTTCTTCGAGTGTTTCCACTTACTAATAGGCTCTATGAGATCAACATCCTCTTCATCATTTTGTGACTCAGAACACTCATGCTTTGCAGATGAGCAAGTTTCAAGTATTTTGTTCAAATCAACAAGCGTTGAACGTTTTCTTTTCTTTTTCTTGCATGTCTCTTTGATCTGCTTCAGTGTCATATCACCAAAACCATCCAAATCACTATTTGTTCCGGCATTGCCATCACTGCTATCATAAGCTTCAGGTTCAGTTTTGACTGTTATATTTCGCACAGTATGCCTGCTTCGACTTTCACCCATGGCCTTGTTACTGTTGACAGGCGATCCCCTGAACTCATCTTTTGGTGGAATTCTTGGAAACGAAACACCATTTTTGGCATCTAATCTTTCATGTATGTCATTCAACTCCTTGAATCTGAGTACTGGTCGTCCGCAAGCCACATTCAGAGTCTTGATCACTAAACCACCTTTCAGAGCCTGGATAAAGTGCAAATGATTGCAACTTCTCAACTCCATCAGATATAAAGCTCAGGTTCTTCTCATTAGTACACAAACGATCATTAAAATGCACAAGATGCTTTCCCTGAAACAGAAATCAAACTTACATATAAAACTAAACAAATTATTCTCAACTAATTCTTAGTCCTAAAACACAACAGCCTCAAATTTCAGAACATGTAGGTCATATTAAAAGCTTCGAAAGAAAACCCGTGTCTTAAAAGCCTCACATGAATACAACCCGCGCTCTAAATCAATCAATTACATTAACTCCATCAAAAACATAAAAATGACTAATAAGTTTTCAGATTCAGCAGCTGATATCAACGATTGAAAGAAAATAAACCCTCAAAATATACAGTGATAAGAAAAACTGTACCAGATTACTCTACGACTGCGGGGAGCACCACTGCTGTTTTTTCATTCGCTCCAGCCACCAGAGACGCTGCCGGAAAACATAAGCTTTCAGGCCATGGTAACATTACACAGAGTAATTTAAACAATCATGTCAAACAAATACATCCAGCATAAAAGTCAGATCCCAAATTGAAACCCTAATCGGTAATCAATTAGGCCACATACAATTAAAATTTAATTTCTCACAATTACAAACCTTCGATAGCAACAAAGAGCAATAGAACCTTCCACGAACTTCTCCCTCTATGATTACCGAAACGACGAAGAAGGGCGAGGTGATTGGGGGGTTATCCGGATCGGAGAGACGGATATACGTAAAAAAGAGGGGGGGGGGGTGGAGAGGAGAGCTATTGGACTGTTTGTAGAGAGAGTTTGAGATTTGAGAGGGTAGAGCTAGTGGGGAAAGGGACTTTTTAGCTCGCTGGAAAAGAGGGTTTTTCAGATGGTTAGAAAACGCGCCAAATTCTGTTGGGCGGGAACTCAAGCGATCCCTCCTTGATTGAATATTCGGGTGGGAAATGGAAGTGGTAGACTACAGTATCACCTGTAGGACTGGTGATAGATTCTTCATATCTCACCGTTAGATATATCACTTTCTCTCTTTCTTTATCTTCCGAGTAAATTGTAGCAATAATTCCTTAACTGTAACTCAATTGGAGCAATGATCCCTTAACTAAACATACATTATCATTGGTCCATTAACTCATCAAAACGTGCAGCTATGATCCCTCAACTAAAATCAATTACCATTAGTCCCTCAACTTTAATCTAACTGGAGAAATGATCCCAAAACTTTAATTCAATTAGAGCAATGATCTCTCAAACTTTAACCAAATTGTAGCAATGGTCCTTCCAACATAACTCATTTTGACAAAATTTTGACAAAGTTAACGAAAATGATCGTAGCTACACGTTTTGATTAGTTGAGAGATCCTAATTGTAGCAATGATCCTTCCAACATAACTTATTTTGACAAAATTCGGACGAAGTTGAGGAAAATGACCATCTACACATTTTGATGAGTTCAGAAACCAATGGTAATGAATTTTTAGTTGAGGGACTATTGCTCAAATTTGATTAAAATTGAATGACCATTATTACAATTACTGGATTGGCCTTGAAAGATGAGTCGAATCCCATTTTTACCCCTTGAAGGGTGTGCCTTGTGGGTCTAGGTTAAAGTCATCGTTCTTATTGAATCGGTTATTTTAATGCTCTGTTTAGTTACAAGTCTACATTATTAAGTTTGACTCGTTATTACTGTCATTTATAGGTTCTTACGCTTAAGCCCTATTAGCGATGATATTCACTATCGATTTTAGATTAGTGAATGTATATATTTTGCCTAAGATTGTAAGGTATATAAACAAATCATACACTTTTTATTCATGTCGTTCGTCATCCGTCGCCGTAATTTGTTACAAAGTATTTTGGTTGTGGATGCTTCATTGAATATGTTTACAATTACAACCAATTTGAATTGATTGTGTAGGCTGAGAGTTTATAGTAAGTATTGAGTTTGTGTCTTGATATAGGCTAGAATGAGTTATAGAGAACTTTCTTTGTTTCTATTTGTTTTGTTTAACTTTGTGAGTTTTGTTTCCTTGCCATATATATTTGTTGGAGACTCTCTCTCTCTCTCTCTCTCTCTCTCTACCATGTTATAGTTCAACGTTAAATTTTATCTCAACATTATAAAATATTGTGTAAAAAATATGAGATGACAGACATATATAATCTTATTTTTGATAAAGTCTCCTTAACATTTATTTTAATTGTTATATTAAAAATTACAATTTTATGTTTTTTACTTGATCGATATTCAAAATTTAGTTATTCTTAGAAGGGTTCGAACTCAATTGTAAAAGAATCACAACTCACACTAACCTAGTCAACTTATTTCCGCAAAAATATACATAAAAATTATAGCCTTCAGCAAAATTTGATAGAAGAAAAACATTGTAACGATAAAAGCAAAAAAATCTAGTCCACATTTCCTTGAAGTCCATATCCATGTCAGTGCGAAATCAATTAATGACAAAACCAAGAGTCAATATTCCGGCAAAAATATATGTACTGTATCAATAAAATTAGGTTTTAAATTAAAAAAAATATATTTTATTTTATACATTCCAACCGGTAAATAGTAATCCTTATGATAATGGTAAAACTGCTGAATCTGCACGAAAGTAATTATTGTTTATAGTAACCAGTATTTGCCATTAGAAATGGATCTTTTTCGGATTCCTTCTACCAAATTCATCAATCTAGACTCTTGAAATTTGATTAAACAGCTAAAACTATTATAACTTTTAAATGAACTCTTATTTTTAGTCGTTAAATTAAATTTCAAAGGTTCGGATTGATGGATTTGGTGGGAGGGATCCAGAGGATCCCTTTCCTTTGCCATTGACCTCCCCTTGTATGCTATAATTTAAAATAAATAGAAATAAAAATTTAAAATTGGCAAAAAAATTAAAACCAAAAAAATGTGTAGAGGGAGGCGCCCTATCGCACCACCAACCAAAAACAGAGACATTTCCAAAGTTAACAAATTCGCAAGAAAAGAATTTTAAAACCCTCACCAGAGGCATCTCCTCTCCCTCTCACCTTCTCCCAACCACCCCCCACATCGTTCACGATGAAGGCATCTCTGAAGGGCAGTTACGACACTGAAAAGAGTTGCGCCGCCGCAAACATCGCCGTCTTCGCCAGCGATGTCAAGTTCCGAGCTTCACTCACCGACGCCACCTTCGCCGCCGGACCCAGCTTACACGGCCTGGTCCTCGCCGTCGAGAAACCCGGCTTCTTCATCGTCGATTACAACGTCCCCAAAAAAGTAAGCAGATTTCGGCAACTGGGTGTGGTTTCAATTGGGTGCCCTGTGTGAATTTAACTGTAAAAATGGTGGCTTTTGTCTTTTGGGTGTGTGCAGGACTTTAGGTTTCAGTTCATGAGCTCGGTTAGGGTTGCGGGGAAGCCGTTGAATTTGAATTACATTCACATGAGGGGAGACAACCGGACGATTCTTGACGGAACCCTGGTGCTCGATTCGGCCAACAAGGTGTCGGCCAATCACGTGCTCGGCTCGAGGAACGGGAAGTTCAAGTACTCTTATCTGCACGGCGGAGCGACGACGTTTGAGCCGTCTTACGACTTGGCCAAGGAATCGTGGGATTTCGCGGTGTCCCGGAGGTTTTATGATGATGTGTTCAGGGCTTCGTACCAGACCTCGAGCAAGCTGTTGGGGTTGGAGTGGTCGAGGAGTTCTAAAATCAATGGAACTTTTAAGGTAATTAAGCTTTTTAAATCGATATTTCTTGGTTTAGTTAGTGGGTTTTGATTTGGTTGCTCTAACTGCAAATATAATTTTGATGTTTGAAAGTATGGAATTTGAATTTTGGGTTGTTCATGATTTGTGCCTGCTTTCAGATTACGGTCCTAGTTTTGAATAAGTAACATAGTGAGTGTAAATCGATTATGGCGTAAGTATGTGTTTTATGGAAACGATCTCCTCTCTCTGTCGACAATTGTGTCATCTTGGGCTTCCGCGCATATGAGTAGATTGAGTAGGGTATGCTTTTAGCACTTAGGAGATGTTGAATTCGGTTAGTATTCGAGGGAAATTTAATTATGCTAAAGAATTGATTAACCTCAGTTGGGGGACAAGGGTGACATTGGTCTTTCCACACGAGGGTGTTGATGGAGTTGATGATTGTGAAATCGGATGTGTGTGGCACTCCGGAAAGGGTGCTGTTGGAACGGTTGCAGTTTGCCCCTATGAAGTTGAAATTTTGTTTTTGTTATGTCATTTTGTATGTCGGTCAGTCCAAGTATACAAGGGTTTATTTTAACAGTTTGTCCTATGAATTGCAAAGAAGCAGCATCAATTTTGCAACACACTCAGTTCCTCCAACTCTCAAGTGTGTTGCAAAACAAGGCCGTCTGATGTGTTTTGCGTTAAGGGTTGTGGTTGTGGCAGTGACCAGAGCTACAACTGTGGTTTGTCCTACTAGTGGGGTAGTTGGATTGAAACTTGGTGGTAGTAGCATCAAAGATAACACTTCATGTCCACGGCAGTATTGCAGTGGAGTTGTTCGATCGTTATGTTGCCATCAGTTAAATGGTAGTAATACATTTTTATTCCAATTTAGACGGATCATAGAAATTCTTATGTAAAGAGACTTTTACCTCATACTCGGTGTACTCTGGGAATCTTGTAGCGTTTTGCTTGTCTGTTTTAAAATCAAGCGTTTCCTGATAACGTTCTTGTATTCTTTCCAGGTTTCAGCGTCTGTCAATTTGGCTGGGGAACGAAAGATGCCAAGGTTAACAGCCGAGAGTACGTGGGATATTGATATGTGAATCATTATTGTTATAAACGACGTAGAATTGTCTCACGACGGCTTTAAACATCGTTGATAAAAATTCATGATATCTTGTTACGGGTTGCCTCGACTATCTTCTTGAAAATTTAAGTTGTTTATCTTCGACGGTCTGAGTAACGAAAATCATCATTTGTTTCGTGAAATGATTTTCTCTTGGAGGAACTTGGGCCTGTTTACGGCTAATTTATACTGAAAATACACATCTTTGATTTGCTTGAGAATGGTTCATGAACTTTACTAAGTGAGCGCGTAAGTGAATTCAAATTCAAAGAATTTCAAGGCTCAATCTTCCGTGTTCAGCTTTCTTTTTTTGTTTTGTGCTTCAGAGTTAGAATTGGAGAGTGATACACAGCTAACCACGTGTTATAATATAGGTGTACGATTAATATCGTGATATAAAATTTCTTACGTAAATTGAAATTTTGGAATAATATTAGTGAAAAATTCAAAAAATACTCTCTATTAAAATGCCGGAGTATATTTACATTGTTGAACTTAATGATTGAATACGTTTATGAATCCAAGAGAACATGCAAACCTGAGTCACTTAACGATTGAATAAGAGCTTATGAATTAAAGGCGAATTCAAACCAAGTTTTTATGGTTTAACCCATTGTAAACGTAGATAATATTGAATGCATTAAAAAAAGGTGCATTTGGCTCACCACCCTCAATTGGTGGTGATGTTTATCATCCTATTTTTGAGATTTTATCCACTACACAGATCTCGAAATTTAAACTCATCTTACGACGATAAATAAGATAGTAAACATCACTATCACTAATTCCAAAAAAAAAAAAAAAATGGTATATAACAACCTATAACTTTGACCTCAAAGCTACAATCACAATCGCTAACCAAAATTAGAAAAATCTGACGGTCCTGATGTTTCATCATGAAAGCAGGTAAATTTGGCGGCACTGACAAATCCCCAAAAGAAATCTAAATAATTTGGCGCTTAAACATCAGTGCCCTTTATCTGTTTTCTCCTCAGGTATTTTGGTTTAGATCCGCCCCAAAAATTCATAATCTTGTAGAAACCTAAACCCTAATTTAATTTTTCTTCATCAATTACTTTGAGGAATTTGATTGCAGAGATGGACAGCGACGATGACTTCGATGTGCTGTCACTGGAGGCTGCTCCTTCGGTACGCAAAACAAAGCTGAAGCATTTAAAGAAAGCAATTAGGGTTTCCTAAGAGCCTCCTGTTGACGAATCCAAGAGCGGCCCAATGAATCCCTCTGAATTCGAAGCTCTAAGCTTGGAGGAATCAAATGAGTGATCGAAGTAATGTTTACCATTCTATTTTTGAGATTTGATCCAATACACATATTTCAAATTTTAAACTCACATAACGGTGATAAATAAGGTAGTAAATATCACTATCACTTATTCCAAAAAAATGGTATGCAATTACCTAACACTTTGACCTCAAATCCTTTTAAGAATATCTAATAAAATTGGAACGATACAGAGAAGATTAGCATGACCCATGTGCAAAGTTGACATGAAACACTTTGACCTCAAAACTACAATCACAACCGCTAACCAAAATTAGAAAAATCCGCCGGTCCTGACATAAGAGCAGATAAATTTGGCGGCACTGACAAATCCCCAAAAGAAATTTAAATAATTTGGCGCTTAAACATCGCTGCCCTTTATCTGTTTCCTCCTCAGGTATTGGATCAGATCCGCCCCAAAAAATCATAATCTTATAGAACCCTAAACCCTAATTTAATTTTTCTTCACCCATTACGCCGAGGAATTCAATTGCAGAGATGGACAGCGACGATGACTTCGAGCTGCTGTCACTGGAGGCTGCTCCTCCGGTCCGCGAAACGAAGCTGAAGCGCTTAAAGAAAGCACTTAGGGTTTCCGAAGAGCCTCCCGTCCACGAATCCGAGAGCGGCCCAGTGAATCACTCTGAATTCGAAGCTCTAAGCTTGGAGGAATCAAATGAGCTGTCGAGGTTAGGGTTGGGATCGGAAGGTTTGGGCGGCGAAGGGGATTCTAATTCCGGGTTTCACGGTTTGGGCGGTGGTGAAGGTGAAATGAATTCTGGTTCCGACGGCTTGGGCGGTGGTGAAGGTGAAATGAGTTCTGGTTCCGACGGCTTGGGCGGTGGAGGTGAAATCGATTCCGGGTTTGATGGTTTGGGCGGTGAAAGTGAAATGAAGTCGAATTTTGATGGTTTGGGTGGCGGTGAAGACGGCAATGGAGCTAAGAGGGTTTTGGATTTTGATTCTGTGGAAGAGGAGTTTGGTGAAGAAGGCAAAGATCGAAACTGGGAGATGCCGGAAGGAAGTGGGGATGTGAGGGTAGAAGAGACGGATAAGAAAAGGTGTAGTTCTGATGGCTTTGAGGAAGAAGATATCAAGAAGAAGAGCAAGAGGGCCAAGAGCGAAGCTGCGGCTGTCAAGGGCAAGAGAACGACTGAAAAAGTATTGCGGAATTTGGTGTTGCATTCAGTAAAATTGGTTTGAAATTAATTTATACTGTTCTGCTTAGTCCTAAATTATTCTGATTTTGTAGGAAAGACAAGAGCATCTGAAGCAACTGCGTGCTGAATCTCAGAGACTTTTGCGAGGTACAAACAAAGTGATGCTAATTATATAGTTAATTTGCCATGCATAGTCTTACTTGTGTCTTATTCGATATCATCTTCCCCGTGTTAGAAACGAGAGATGCAGCATTTAAACCCATACCGCTTGTTCAGAAGCCAATATCTTCAGTTCTGGAGAAGATTCGGAAAAGGAAACTGGAGGTTTCACGAAAGTTGGTATTCTATTTATAAATGTAGATTCGTAGGGTCTTAGTGTTTATTTAAATAGTTAATAGTTCGTTGTTGGTCTTTTGAGTGTTGCAGATGTAGTAATACAGGAGATTATAAGGTACTGAAAGCGGCAACTGAGGAGCCAATTGCATCTCAGACCGAAAAGGGGTATAGTGCAAATGAGGTGTGCAAAGATGGGTCTAATGATAAGGAGAAGCATTCAAGCAGTGAAAATGTTCCTTCTGGGACGGTAAATTGAATTCGAGTTTCTTGATCAATTTTGTTTTTATAGATATAAAAGTGCATTCCACTTAGTGGGAAAAAGCTTTGTTGTTGTTGTTGTAGATGTAAAAGTGCATTGACCGAGTGTTTCTTCTTAACAACAAATAATGGGATAGGGATGTATGCATCCATGGATTTGAGTAATGAGCTACTTTTTATAATACTAACACAAACAAAATTTTGTGATTTGGAAAGAGCTAGTGCTACGGTTTTCAATGTGGAAAAATAGGGCTTTTTAATTGGTAATCCAAGAACAATATTGTTATCATTTCAATCCTTCTTATGTTATACCTGAAGTAGTCTTAAAATATTCTTTCTGTCAAACCCTCCTGATAGTCTTTTACATTAAGTTGAGACAGACTTGAGATTCAGTAAATGGATGTATTTGTTGAACTGCAGGATGTTGACGAGGAACCCAAACAAACATTTCGAGCACCTATTGATGATACTCAGGTTCTTTTACATTTCAACCAGATTTGTCATTATTCTAGAAGATTTTGTATTTGAGCATAACTATTTCACCTTGTGCATTGTTGTAGGACCTGTTTTTTGATTCCCAGACTACTGACTCCAAGGATGATCTGCCAAATGATGATCCCAAAAGTCCGATGGAAGAGGTTTTTGCACCATCCATACTTGCAATGAACTTAAAACTTGACTCTGCTCCTCCTGATGATGTGTAAGTGTTACTTGTTTTTGTCTTCGTATCTTGTAAAGGTGAAGCACTCAAGTAGTTTGTGTCATTGTTGCATTCAAATGTTTCCTAAAATTAATTGAGTTGGATACTGTTTGTTTTAAAATTTCTGGTAAATGGACAATGATACTTCTCTCTTTGTAGTTCTTCTGATGAAGAGGACTACAATGACAAAGAAAATATTGCTCCTCGTTCTCCTGAAGTGGCTGATATGCCTTCATCTCCAATTGGTGATCCTGTCAAAGCTTTTGTGGACGATGAAGCTGAGGAAGAAGATGATAGTGATCATGACCTACATCGGTTCGAAGATACTGACGAAGATGAGGATGATGGAGACACTGCAGAGCTTAATGATATGATAGCAACTGGATATGAAGAAAGGCCAGTTGATGATGAAAGACGGAATGAACTCCATCAAAAGTGGCTCGAGCAACAGGATGCCTCTGGAACAGAAAAACTTATGCAGAAGCTGAAGTTTGGTTCTAAAGGGAAAAAAACAGCGTTGGTTGAAGAGAAAGATGCAGATGGACAGGAAGATGAAGAGTTTGGTGATGAAAATGCAGAAGATAAAGAGCTTGGTGATGACGATGCAGCAGAAGATTCAGCACCAGCAAATGCTGTGCGAATGAACTTACGAGAAATAAAGCAAATGATGCCTCTACTGTATACTGATAACGATGATGCATACTTGTCATCTGACGATGATGAGACAGAAAAGAGACTATCTAAACAGTGCCTGTCTGAGAAAGCTGTGAGTTCTTATCGGTTTATTGAATGCGTCGTCAAATTTAGGTCCACTATACCTTATGACGGTGGAGTATTTTCATTGTTTAAATCATTTATCCATGCTAACGTTCTTTAACTGCATTTGATGTCATTTTTTCTGTACATATTCTTTTAACTTACAAGAACATTTTGATTTGAAACAGGAAATGCAGGCTACCTTCTTGTCACCAGCAGAGGATGAGAGTTCAAGAGAAGTTTTTGGTCATATAAAGAAACTGAATATTGCATCTGATACTAAGAAGGCCAAAGCCCCTTGTAAGATCTGTTATTTATCATATATTGCCGTTGTGTAAATTTTTTCCGTGTAGTCTGCTGATTTCATTTTGATTTTAACTCGATCGTCATCTGTCATATTGTTTTATTTTGCAGCCTTCCCCAATATGCTGCTCGCTGGAGGAGACAGAAGCATATCATCAAAGGTAACTTGATATAGAAGTAGATGCAACATGAATATTATCTTGCTATTTCGGAACAGCACAAAGAAACAAAAACGCTGGTGTTTTAGCCAAGTTTTTGTGAGACATGCCATTTGATCACAACTCTGTTATTGGTAAATTTTGCAGTCATCCTTCTTAGGTCGGGGGCCAAGTCATTCTCTGCCCTCATCCAGTAAGCATGGACTGAGCACAGTTCGTTCTTTCATCTTAGTACGAGGTGACAGCAATAGTAGGAGCTCAATGTCGGAGGATTCTTCAGACACGGTAGCGCATCTAGATCTTATTGTATGGTTATTCTGAAAGTTGCACTAGGTATGTTTAGCAGTTTGGTTTTCTTCTGCTGATCAAGAATCTGTAAGATATCAATGACAAATGGGAAATAGTAGGAATAACTTGTTACGCCAAACCATCACTTTTTATCGAAAACTGAAAATATCAACTGGTAATGGACTGAAATGCAGATACAGAAGGAGATTCTACCGAAAAAGACTACTGCAGCCAAGCTTAGCAAGTCCAAGGCAAAGTTTGGTACTCAGAAATCATCACCTGACATGGTATCAACTGAAGCTGTTGCGAATACAGAAACATTGGTTGAAGCCGGTGCACAGATAGACAGATCAGCTGGAGCTGGTGCGCAGGCGGAGGCATCAGCTGAAGCTGGTATGGGGACAAACACATCAGCTGGATCTTCGTTACTCACGGTATTAAGGCAGCCTTCCTTGTCATCAAGGCGAGGCACCGGGGAGATTACTGTTGACCAAATCGAATCCGTCTTAGCTTCATTGGAAGACGGAAGGAAATCGAAGCGGGCGAACGGACGTGTATACAGAAGAACCTAGTGTGTGCATTAGAAACATTGATCCTGAATGGTGTTCAAGTAAAATGAAAGACGTTGTGATTGCCTCTTGTTCTTAGTTCATTCACAATCATACGTGTATATGTGTCACGTCATTAAATGTTAAAAGTACGAGTCTGGTTGACTCGATTTTAAGCTGGTTTGACCCAATATGAGAGGTTAAAGTTTTTGATTTTGAAAGCAAAAGTGCTTGAAAGTCTTGGGTAAATTCTATTGGAACTCCGAGGTTTTGGATTTCAAGCAGGAAAGATCCTTCCAAAAATTCTTCCAACCCTAGCTTGAGCTAAAAAAAAGTTAAACAAGCTAGAGTGATATTCGATTTGACTCAGCTTGTTTACAGACCTAGTTCTAAAAACACATAATTATCTTTCCACAATTATCATTAATAAGGATAATAACTAAAATAATAAACCTGCATGTATTTTTTACGAAGAAGAAACTTTAGCTTAGCCAAAGTGGCTAGAGCAGTGTGCTCCTTTTTTGCGCCAAAGTTTGAATCCCCGTCCTCGTATCATATGTCCCAAAAAAAAAAAAAACATTAAGTTCCTCCTTTGCTTGTGAGCTAATCATATTTTTTAATTAGTTGCTGAATTAGGGTTTAGGGGTCTTGATGGAATCCTAGGAAAACTTTAATTTTGAGGATGTTGGTGTCTGATCAGTCGAAAAATCACGAGAACATGCATGCAGAGGTTGATAATGGCGGCGGAGGCGGATAATCTAGAAGAGGAGAGAAGAAATCACCACTCTACCGCGTGCTACCGTGAAGACTTGTTCGATGCAGTCGAACGATATCAGGTGCTTATTATTTACTGGAAAAGTGCATCAGAGATTGCTTGATCAGCGGACTCAACAAACCCATCCGTTGATGACTGTCTGTCCCTGTCCAATTCCAATGTATCCAAATGGGGAAGGAGGAGGAGGTGCTGATTCCAAGTTCTAGCGCTAGCTAGGAAGGTGGTGCTTGCAACGCGAATTGCGGAAACTTGTTCGCAGTTAGTCTTGCGTCATTGAATCTGGACTTCGCAAGCGCAAACTCCCATCTCTTAGTCAAAAAGTTTTATCGAAGTTTATTTCTTGAAACGAATGGATTTAAAGTTCATATGCTAGTACGAATATATCAAGGTTATGCTTTGTCTTCTGGATGAGAATTCTTTCATACAATCTAAAATTGACGTCACCGTCCAGTAAATATTTGATATGGATTCAAATATTTAATGGATGGTGACATGACAGACATCAATTTTAGTGGAGCTTCTTTGAATTGGTATCAAAGACTCGTAAATATTTGATATGGATTCAAATATTTAATGGATGGTGACATGACAGACATCAATTTTAGTGGAGCTTCTTTGAGTTGGTATCAAAGACTCATTGATGAGTCATCATATTGTCCACTAAAATTGCTTGCCCCCATTTATGGAGCACATGTTGCAAATGACATACACATCCATGATATAACCCCAAGAAGCTCACCACAGCTACACACATGGTAACAAGAACAAGAATAGTTATTCTGGAATTAACAATACTCAAGGGGAAGATATGATGACTTAGATGAACTAGATGATGAATATTGGCCTAATGATGGATGTGACTAAAGCATGCGGAAGCATGGTGGATGGGGACAAGTCAAGACGTGACAAGCAAACATGAGGAAACGTATAATAGTAATTGATATGTTGTAAATTAAGGAATCTCATTTAGAGTATTGTAAGGTAAAGTTAATTGTGATGTAAGGACGTTCCTCCTTATCTTATGTAAGTAATGGACAAAAGAGGAATATGTCTTTTGTCCCCTAATAGTTTTACGTGAGGTTCGGGAGAGTTCTTCCTCGGCCTATAAATATGTGTGTATACTCTGTAAGAAGATAGACTTAAATAGAAATTAGTTCTTTATATAAACTTTTCCTGAGTGAATATCCTTATTTGAGTCATCCCTAGTAAAGATCCTTAAATTGATGAAATGTAAAATCTCTCTATTTGGATTTAGCTGACCTGGGACTCGGTCAACAATACCAAGAATTGGTGTCCAAAATCTAAATTCAATTTAGGAAACATGTGGTGCGAGTAGAATGACTCTAACTTATAAAAAATGTTGTAAAAGTTCTCAAAATCGATTGGAAAACTGTGGGTTATATAATAACTCACAGTTTTTTGTGATATTTTTAGTTTTAGGAAATATTTTGCGTCAGAGTTAAGGAAATTATTGGAAGACCTTTGGATGTGATCCTACCGTTTATTAGGTCCCGAAATATTTTTTATTGATTTTTAAAGTTGAAAAATAGAAAAATATCTTTAAATTTAGATTCTAAATCGTTGATTTCAAGTGTTTAATATGAATTATAATAGATTTTGCACAAAAAAATATATTTTGAAGAACATGAATATGATAGTTTGTTGTTATGGTAAGAGAAATAAAAGAAAAATTAACCAAAAGAATAAATAAATAAAAAGTAAATAAAAAAACTGAAAAAGAAAAAAAATTGAAGGGGAGAATCGGTTTGATGGTAGCGACTTGTCTCGAATAAAGTCTCTAAATTCTAGCGACTTTCCTCAATAGAAGTCGCTCAATTCTAGCGACTGAAATCGTAGAAAGTTGCTCAATTATAGCGAATGTCCTCAGCAAGAATCGGTATTTATGTACCGATCGTATACTTTTTTTTTTTTTTCTTTTCTCTCTTTTCTTTCCATTGATTTTTTTTTCTTCCTACATTACTTTATTTAGATTCAAATACCTTTAGATTTAGGTTTATACTTATATTCTTGTTTTCAATTTTTTTAACATGGATTATAAAAAAAATTTTCATTGAAATATATTTCGTAGAATACGAAGATGATAGTTTGGTGTTGTGGTATGAGAAAATTTTTTTTAATAAAAACAAAACATAAAATAAATAAAATTAATGGTTTAGGCGTAGAGTGATGCAATCCAAACTCATGCCCTCGGGAAGGCCCAAGGCACATCAGAAGCAATAGAAGCCCATGAGGTTTAGGGTTTAGGGGTGTGTGAATAGTAACACCTTAAGTTCAAGTGTTTAGGGGCGTGTTAATAATAGCACCATGAGTTCAGCTTGTTTCAGTGTTCGCGCACTCGAATTTTTCCCTTGCTGCAAGGTAGTGGAGATTTTTTTTATTTTTTATTTTTTATTTGGATTGTTGGGTGATCCAACATCCAAATTCAAAATTTTTATTTGAAAATATAATTTATAAATAAAATAGATATACAGTAAATGTAAGATCCCACATGGCCCAGGGGTGAGAATCCTGTAAGCCTTATATGTATATTCTCATCTCTACCTAGCACAAGGTATTTTGGGAGCTCACTGGCTTCGGAGTTCATCGAAACTTCGAAGTTAAGCGAGTTTGCGCGAGAGCAATCCCAGGATGGGTGACTCACTGGGAAGTTGCTCGTGAGTTCCTAGAAACAAAACCGTGAGGTCATGTTCGGGGCCCAAAGCAAACAATATCGTGCTACGATGGAGTCGATCTCGGGATGTGGTGGGGGCCTGGGCGGGGATGTGACAATTTGGTATCAGAGCTAATCTCTGGCCGGAAGTGTGCCAATGAGGATGTCGGGCCCCTAAGTGAGGTGGATTGTAAGATCCCACATCGTCCAGAGTTGAGAATCCTGTAAGCCTTATATGTATATTCTCATCTTTACCTAGCACGATGCCTTTTGGGAGCTCACTGGCTACAGAGTTCATCGGATCTTTAAAGTTAAGCGAGTTCGTGCGAGAGTAATCCCAGGATGGATGACCCATTGGGAAGTTGCTCGTGAGTTCCTATAAACAAAACCGTGAAGGCGTGGTCGGGGCCCAAAAAAACTCAACTTGCACCCCCCGCCATAAAAAATAAAAAAATAAAAAAAAACTTCCACACCACATTTTTCTCCCATTGTCAGATACATTAATAGATTTCTTTTTTTATTTTGTTTGGAATAAGAAAAATACTTCAAATTAAATTACATTATCCAGTTTTATTTTTGTGGTGTTGTTTTATAATAGTAGTCATGATGACAAGAAACTTTTCAATGTGCCCAGAACACGGGGTGGTACACTCTATACAAGTTGTGAGATTCTTGTGTTAAAAAATTAATAACATATAAAATAAGATTTTTCACCACTTATATAATAACACGTGGTATACCATTTGTATTACGGACACAAAGAAAAATTTCTCCAAGATGACACCAAGCTCAATAAATTGGATGGATAACTACATTTATTATGGTAGGTATGTGAAAAATGTGAGGAAATTTTAATTTGGTAATTGAAAACAACTTTTTAAATATATATATTGAGAACATAATCTTCTCAAGGTTTTGATCTAAAGAGTTACTTATAGGTTCATCGTTTTCAGCGTAATGGTGCTTTTACAGGACAAAAAATGGTCTAAGTTTCAAACCTTATGAAACTGAACCAAGAGTTAAACACTATTTATAAAACTTCACTAATAAGTAGATACTATTCATGAAATTAGACCAATAAGTAGACATTATTTATGAAACTGAACCAATAAGTAGACATTATTCATGAAACTAAACCAATAAGTAGACACTATTTATGAAACTAGACCAATAAGTAGACATTATTTATTTATGAAAACAAGAATTAGGCATTATTTCCAAAACTAAATCAATAGGTGGAAACTATTTATGAAACTGAATTATACACTATTTATGAAATTGGAGTAAGAACTAGGTAATATTTATGAAACATAATCAAGAACTAAGCGCTATTTATGAAAGTAGACCAATAACTGGACACTATTTATGAAACTGAACCAAGAAAGAGACACTATTTATGAAACTGTACCAATTATTATACATTATTTATGAAACTGTACCCAATAACTAGGCATTATTTATTAAACATGACCAAGAACTAGACACTATTTATGAAATTGGACCAATAAATAGTATAGTACCACTCAGTTTCATAAATAATGTTTTGGTTCAGTTTCATAAACAGTGTACATGTCCAGCGCGTCAGGTTTTTTATTTTCTTTTATTTTTTAAATTGTGTCATTTTCATTCAAATTTAAATTTTTTTGTCAATTTTATTAAAATTTATTTTTTTTCATTAAATAAAGTTATAGTATGGTTTTTAATTAAAATAAACTTAACTGAAGTAATTTTCATGGAAGTTCCCAAATTTTAAGTCCAAAATTATTAGAATTAAAATTAATCTCGTAATTTAAAATTATTAATTGTTATAAAAGAGAAAATACTGAGAATTAAATCCGTATCAAAGTTAATGCATATTACATTTCTCCATTACAGTAAAACATTATATTTTTAGAGAATTGTTATTAGCATTCTAAAAATTTTATTATACACTCCAAACATTCTATATTAGGAAAAAAAATACACAAAATATAAAATTAAAATGTCAATAACACTTCCCGACTTTTAATACATAATAATTACACATAAGTCTAAAACTGTTGTCCTAAAATTCCAAAATACAGACTCTGAAAGTGAAAATCTAATCCAAAGCTCACAGGTGATATTAGAGAGGTTCCTAACAACCGGTCTCTCAGCTGACCGCCCACACTCGGCCGCACCGCCACCGCCAGATTCCTCAAAAACTCGATTCCAAATCCTCCGAATCGCAGATCCGAATCTCCCGCGCGCTGCAATGGCGAAACTGAAACAATAGCGACTGAAAACATAAAAGTCTCCGAGCTCAGCTGAACAGCTTGTGTGGAGCTCCAATGGCGGCGGCGATGAACTCCCTCAAAGGCAAGCTCCTTCTGCTCTGCTTTCTCTTCATTTTGTCATCTCCTTTCTCCGTTCCTAAGCTTTTCGTCCAATCTAACGAAACCGAAACCGAAACCGAATCCGAAATCGAGCTCAATGCGCAACAGCAGGTATTGCAGAGGCTCGAGGAAGTAGTGAAGAACCTAACCGAAATAGTTGCGACATTAGAATTGAAATTACAATCGGATCCTCCGAAAAAACCGGCTCCGATCGACGAGGGTTTGACGGCGGTTGAAGAAAAGGAAAGCCAGAAGCCGATCAAGCAGGTTGAAGAAGAAGCTGGGTCTGGTTCCGATCGTAAAATTGGAGAAAGGGCGAGGTCAGTTTCGGTAACGAAATACAGCCCGTTCTGGTCCGACCGGTTTCAGTTCGTTTCCGCCGTGAAATTGGATTCCCAGGCCACGTGCATTCACGTCCTGCCGTTTCAGGATTTCGAGGGGGTTACGAAATATGTTGCCGTCGGAGACGAGAGAGGGCGGGTTTATGTGTTTCTCAGAAACGGCGACGTTTTGGTGGAGTTTGATACGTTGCTGGGGTCTCCGATCATGGCCATGGCTTCCTTCATGTCGGTTTACAAGAACGAGAGTTTCGTGGTCACCGGGCATCAAAACGGTGTCATTTTGATGCATAGGGTCTGGGAGGGAGCGAATGGGGAAGAATGGAGCTCGCTTATGATGGAAACCGTGACGAAATTTGACACGGGCGGAGAAGGATTGCCCGTTAAGATTTTGGAGGTGCACCATGTTGGGAGGTTGAGTTATGTGTTGGCTAGTGATGCGAGTGGGAAGATTTCGGTTTACCGAGAGAATGGTTCAGTTCACGGCTCCACAATGCCGTCGAGCAGGCCGCTTGCTTTCTTGAAGCAGCGGCTTTTGTTCTTGACGGAGACAGGTGCAGGGTCTTTGGACCTGAGGACCATGAAGGTTAGGGAGAGTGAGTGTGAAGGGCTGAACCGTTCACATTCGCGTAACTATGTTTTTGATCCCACGGAGCGCTCTAAGGCGTACGGGCTTACATCCGAAGGCGATCTGATTCAGGTTTTGTTGTTGGGGGATATAAAGAACTTCAAATGCAGGGTTAGGTCCAAGAGAAAGTTTGAGATTGATGAGCCTTTAGCTTTTCAGGCTATAAAGGGGTGTTTGCTTATTGTTAGCAGGGAGAAGGTGTTTGTATATAATGTTTCAACTCAGCATTATGTTAGGGTTGGCGCCCCTCGGATTATTTTCTCCGCTGGTCTCGATGAGATTAGATCATCGTTTCTCAATTATCAGACGGTGAATGCAGAGAAGAGGAATGTGATACCTTTAATCGCAAGTGACCGGGAAAGGCTTGTTGTTCTTGGCCTTGGCGGAGGGTATGTGGGAATGTATCGCTCTAACCTTCCGGAATTTAAAGGCGAATTTAACACAATGCTATGGACCAGCCCTGTATTTTTCTTTGTACTTTTCCTGTTTGGAGCGTGGCAATTTTTTGCGAAGAAAAGGGAAGCGCTCACTTCATGGGGAGCGGATGATCCTTTCAGTTCAACATCCGGTACAACGGGAGGTCCACTGGGGGGAAGCAGCGCCGGAGACAGGAAGTTTGTGGACTCTTCTTCGAGAAATCCTGATATGATGGAGCTTAGAGGTGGTGACCTAAGAGGACCGCCGAGGAGGTATCCCTCTCCTCCGCCCAGGTATACAGGCGGAGCAACCAGTTCGTTTAGGCCAGGTACGACGGATCATAACGCTAGACCGTTATCTGTCGATCCTAATTTTAGAACAACTTCAGAGCTAAAATTTAGAGGGTCTGGATTAGAATCTTCGGGTTTTCCGAACCGGAGGGAGAGTTTGTTTGTAAACAACCAAGTAATGGATGATAGCAGCTGACCTCTGCGATCAATTTCATCAACTTTTTTTTTTTTTTTTTTTTTTAGGAGAAGTTCGTTTGAGATTTAGTTGTTAGACCAGTTCATTTGGCAAGTCAGGGCTATTTGAAACGGCGTCAAATCTTCTGGTCGTTGTGGGGTGCAAGAAATGGCAAGCTATGGAATGATAGGACGGACCCCCCTGATGTTTGTGTCAATCGGGCTGTACTGTGGTGGTAGGAATTCACTCGAACCTCGGTGCTAGGGCAAGGACCTCGGGTACAAGTCCCCTCCAAATGGGTTGCGCCACCATCGGGGGCGTCTCAAAATGAATATAGATGGGGCCTGGAACTGGGACCGCAATGTGGCTGGTTTTGGTGCTATTGTCCGTGATAAAACAGGAAACTTTGTGTCGGCAAAATGTGGCAGGGAGGAGGATGTATTTTCACCTCTCCAAGCAGAAGCAGTGGCCTTGAGGGCAGGTTTGTCTTGGGCGGTTCACAGGGGTTTTGCAACATATTTCTTTCGAAAGCGATTCACTTCAGATTTTGGAGACCTCGTGCGAGTCCTCTCCAGATTTGTCATTCATGGGGCAAATTGTGGAAGATATCAAGGTGCTCCTCCCTTCAATCAGGTAAAATTATCCACACTCTTCGCCAAGGAAACTCGGTTGCTTATCGCCTTGCACGGGGTTGGTCTCTCGGTGCAACAAGATTGTATATGGAATGTTACTCCCCCAAGTATTGTCTCTGACTTACTTGTGGAGGACAATGTACTGCCATAATTGGCTCTGAATGAAATTTTCTTTCTTGTACCGTACTTTTTTGAAGTAAATGAATCTACTACCGTATCTTCTCGAAAAAAGGAAAAAAAAAGATGCCTATTACTAATATTTCGACACATGTCAAGGCACTTAATAGGTTCACAATATTTCTTGATTTATGGGATTAGTTGGTGATTTTATCACGATAGTTCATTCTTTTGCAGGTCGGGAAGATTCACAGAAGCATTTCAGTCTTCGAAAATTGAATCTAGTATGTACCTTGTGAAATACAAACATGAAATTCTTTCCCAACTACCAGACCAACCCGTGGTGGTTTACGAGTTCAGAGGATTTGAAGCACGTTTGAACTTGGCACTACGTTGTATTTTGTAACACGACTTCAAGTTTTGAATAAAAATTAAACTATAGAATGGAAAATATATTTATGATAAAAAACATTTTTGTTTTGGTTGGAATATAGGGTTCAACTTTGTCTCCTTAATCGCACGTTGCTATTTCCTATTAGATCCGCATACATACAATTTACTTCTTGATAACTAGATGTAAATTGATTATAATACGTGACCGTATTATGTGATAACACAATAATTATTTGTTGGTTATAACGTATAGCAACCTTATTCAAATAATATACAGGTAATTATAATGTGTAACAAAATATGATCACGCGATTTAACCAAGTGTTATATGCATAGATTTATAATTATTTGCAAACCCAATGCCCCAAGCATGAGACTTTGCGTTGAGTTAAATTACCGAAAATATCTTTGCTCGTCACCCTTAAATGATGGTGATGCTCAAAATTTAAATTTCCAGACAGGTGTAGTAGATAGAAACAAATCTTAAAATTTAAACTCATCCAATGATAATAAGCAGGACAGTGAGCATTACTGCCACTTGAGGACGGTGAGCAAAAGAGCACCCTTAAATTACCAAAGTCATCGCATCAAAATTCAAATACATGTTCTGCTGGGGAAAAAGCCACAGATCTTCCTTATAACTACTCTAAACCACCAACAGAAAAATGTGACACTCCCCTCCCACAGGGGCTGCTAAAAAGAGTGCTTAAGATTTCCGACCACGACCAAATTATACACAAAAATCATTTCCAGGGGAGTTTTCTGTCCTTGTAACAGGATTTGAAATTCAGTTGAAAAAAATTCTCGAGAAATTCGAATCACTACAATATGCAAGACGACGGCTACCAAAACATATGGCGGTGAAAGCAAATTCACTTTCCAGTTTCTGAAGCTACGCTAATGAAGATCAGACGGGAATTGACATGCCCTTCTTTGCCATGCTATCCAAGACGTCATTGAGCGCCTGACATAGGCCAACAATCTGCAAATATGGCCACCAAAGGATAAGAAAAATCTTTAGAGTAGGACCACGGGGGCGAGGGAAGGCTATATTTGTTTGTAAAGAAAATTTTGAAATTGAACAAAGAGAGAACTGAAGGTGTAAACCAGGCTATATTTGGATACAACACAAGTTTGTAAAGAAAATTTTGAAATCGAACAAAACTCAGTGAGTAGCTGATGCTATTCAAGGCAGATAAATTTACCTGCTGATCCCATTGCTGCAGCTCTTCAGAGTCATCCTCAAAATGTATGACAGCCTCCACCTGTTGTGAAACATCTCGGGTAAATGCTTAAGAAGTACAAGCTAGAATAACAAATGTCACCAAAAGCAACATATTTAGAATATATTACAAAATCAAACGAACTATTCTGAATCTTGTTCCAGTAAAAGAGGAAGGCAGTGCAAAGCATTTTCAACCACAACCATATACACCTCCACTTGCATAAAACTTTGAAATTCCAAGGTTTTCGTAGCATAAGCAGCAGTCATGAAAACAAGAAGAGATTCAGGGATACAAAGGGGATTAAAAGACATTTTAATGGTCTCGCATAGAATGAAACTGGCAGTGGTTCTCACAACTAAACAGGTCTGACAACTTAAAGTCCTTTTTTGTTTGTCTGAGAAAACGACTTACGTCCTATTGATTGGATACACGATAGGTTGTAATTCATACCTGATCAATAGATCCCCTCATTCTGTCCTCATATATCATTTTTGATGCAATCTTCTCAGCCTGCAAGAAAAATTAAATCCATGTCATGAAACATGAAAGATAATATATTCTTGAGAGAGAGAGAGAGAGAGAGAGAGAGAGAGAGAGAGAGAGAGAGAGAGATGAGATCATCAATCTTGATCATTGGTAATAAAAGAAGCAGGGATGTTGTGTGACTAAAAGGTAAAACACAAGGCTCAACAAACGAGAAAACTGTACCTTATGAGGCTCAATTCCCAGCAAAGTGCCCAATTCTTCAAAACTGCCACAGAATTCACAATAGTTAGAATTACTGATCCCGCCTTAATAGCACAAGTCAAAATGGAAAACCAATAGCAACATGTCTCCTACCTTATATTGGTGTAAAGTTTGCTGGCACTCAGAAGATTATGTTCAATCATTGCACGATCTAACACTGTAAAATTGTCTGGAAGAAGTGCTTTCTGTTGAAATAAATAGGACATAACTGTTATGGCTCGTGTGGAATACGATATCAGATAAAGAATAAGTCAGTTTATAACCTGATGTGGCTTTAACTCTTCAGCAAATGCTTCAATTTCTGGTTTCCTCAAAATTCTCTCCAAATACACCTAATAAATATCCATTAAAGCAACAGTAAAAGTGATATACAGTCAGGAGAGAAAAAAGTAAACAGATAATGCAGTACGTGTGTGTGTTTGCGAGTGTGCGTGTGAGAGAGAAACAGAGAGAGACAGAGATCACCTTTTGTAGTATTGGATATATTTTTAACTTTGAGCATCGTTCATCCTGAATGAAAACCCCTAGGTATCAGCAAATGTGAATTGAAGAACACATAATACACATCTCCAGCTAAAGAAGTTAACCTTGTACAAAGTGGCAAGAACACGAGAACGTTGGGGTCCTGCTGCAGCTAATATTGTACATGTAACTGCAGCAGATAGAGCTTGCTCCAATGCTTCCTCATCTATCTCTCTGCAACAAAATGAAGTAATTCATCTAAACTGTCTTTCAAGTGGTACAATTAACAAGAATGAAAGAAGTTAACTTGACATACTGATCTCCTATTTGCCTCTTTTCAATCTGAGAAAAATCATAATAACGTAGTGCTGCTTCCAAGAACCTTCTTTTTAAATCTAAAATCCTAGCATAACAAATCTGATAGGAAGAAAACATCAGGGGAAAAGCAATTAAAATATACTTTTTGCATGCAGCACACTTAATGCAATTATTTTTCACCGACTATCCAATAATGTCAAACCTTATACTCTAAAGTCAATACTTCATGCTGAATAGTTGTAATCAAGAATGAAGCTTTATGAATAAAAGCTTCTGCATTGACAGCATCATCATCCTGCAAAACAAAATACAAAAATTGAATTGCAATTATGCTATTGCCTGTATTATTAAAATCCTATAAGGTTCTTCATTCCAACATCAGACAAAGTGCATAAACAAATACATTCACAACCGACATTGATGAAAACTCCCCAATGAGCAAGTAATCATCTACACAACAGAACTCTTAGGTATCAGACCTTGGTAAGGTACTAAGGTTACACGTCAACAACTTGTCACATTACATAAAAGTCTAACTTGTTTCTAAGTCAATTTTGGAACCAGTTAGACTACGGCTATCTACAACAAAATTGACTTAGAAACAAGCTATTTGATCCAGTAAGCACTTGTAAAGATCACACTACGGCTATCTACAACAGATCTAGACACTAGAAACAGATATAGGTAGCACATCGATTCCAACGCATATCATCACACGCAGATATTCATAGTCCAGCCTGTATATTAGTAATAAAGGAGTTGCAGCATCAACAAACAACAGCATTAAACACCATTCCAAAGAACATCAATTGTATCAAATGAAAAATAGGCATTCTTTGGAAAAAAGAAAAGAAAAGGTCAATACCTCGAGATATAGGCGAGCAATTTGGACACATTTTGATAACTTGAATGTGTCATCAACGGCTCTGAAGGAATACCATGAAAACATATACATTGTTAATTCCACAACCCATTGTGCAGTAAAGGGGGAAAAGTTACACTAACAGCAATAGTATCCTACTACCAGACCTCGTTCCTGAGTCGAGGTTAATTCCACTGAGCATCTGAGCTGCTTTTGACCATTGTTGCTCAGATTCATACAATTCCGCGAGTTTCTCTCTTATTATCGTCACCTAGATCACATTAAACCAAATTTTACTTTCTAAATCACATTAATCCCACATAAAAAATGTATGCAGTAAAAAATATTTCTAAATATCTTACAAAAAATCAAGTGATTTCTACATATTTGCCACAACGCGGGCATTGGGCAATGCTAAATCTAAACCTACAAAATTGAACAAAACAAATGCAAAACGGGGAATTCTCGATATATAGAAGTCCGAAAAGGACCTGTTCTTCAAATGAAACGACGCGAATCTGAGAAAGGGCATAATGGGCAATATTCTTCTGAGTCTCCGGCTCCCACCGCCCCAACTCCTGGGCAAAAGTGTGCAAAAGCTGCCGGGAAACCACCAACGGAACATCATCCGACAACACTGAAAGAGCACGAAATTACATATAAGGCCTCCAAACAAAGCTGCTAAACCAAAATAAATAATTGCGAAAATTAAAACAAAGAGCGACGAGGAAATACTTACAGTGATCGATGAACTTCTTGGCCTGAACAACGTCGCTTGAGGAAATCACGGTGGAGAGAATGTGCTTGTACTGCTCAATCTTCTGCCGCTGGTCGGAGATCGCAGAGGCGCTCGCGAAGGCACTCTCCATGGCAGCCTGAACGACGTCGCTTAACGGTGGGTGGTGTGGTTTGTCGCGCAAACCCTAAATTTCGAGAGGGATTTTTCGTTCGCTCCAATTTCCTACAGAGGGCTTGTAGAAGAAGGAGCAGGAGATTGGCTAATCTGCATCCAGGTGTAGCGTTGCATGTGATTTTCAGCTAATCAGGGAAGGACACGTCGCGAATGGGGAAGGGCAATTTTGTCACTCTATATAAATTAAATGAAAGAAAATAAGAAAATAAAGGCCGGCAGGTACTTATATCGATTTGCAGCGGGATCATTTCTCTCAGGCCTCATGCGACTCTTCGCTTTCTTTACCTGAAAAGCTAAAACCGCCGATCTTCTGCAAATTGTAATTGCCGGAAATGGATGATTCAGGTTAGTACCGGCGACTGTTCGCCTTTCTCTCTTCGTTTTTCAGGCGCTAGTTTAATCTTTGTTTTGAGTCGGCGGTGTTCAATTTCTACTATTTTTGTCGAAAATTTGCTCCTCTTTTTTATTCCTGTATGCACTGTTTGGTTCTTGAGAAAAAATGGAGGAGTAAGTGAGAAAATATGAATCGAACTTGAAATCTTAGCGGTTATAGTCCAATATGCAAATGCCTGTTGTAAATAAATGCTTTGTTTCACTGCAATCTCCGCGAAACTGAACATTTTGCTTGTGATTGCTTAAATGTTTGTATTTTAGCTTCGATGATCGACTAAGGTTATTGACTTGAAAAGCTGTCCGGAACTTTGAATTTTCTGATGTGGAGTTTATGCATTGGCTTTTCTGATTGGATTTAGGATATGCTATGCGATTTTGTAATTGTTGCGAAGCGTTTCCATCGTTTACCGATTGAAGTGCCTTTTAGTTGGATTTGCCTCAAAATTTAGTAAATAATTTTGAATGTAGAGATTGATGTGAGCTGAGTTGTTTATTCTTTTTGATAACTACCAGGCAATCCTCAGGACGTTGTTGTGCCACCAGTTGAAGGTGTTGCTGGAGGAGGGACGGCATATGGATGGACTGAGGGTGGCTTACAAGGTGCAAGTCCACTCAAGGGATCTATCGACCCTACAGAGGTTCCGACTGCTGATTTAGTGCATGTGTGGTGCATGCCAAGCACAGCAAATGTTGGACCACAAGAAACACCAAGGAATTTGGAGTCGGTATGTAAAGTTCCATGATTTAAATGGTGTCTTGTTAACTAGCTTCTGAAAACTATGAATTCCATGACATTTATTGAAAATGGAAGGCAAGCAGCTTAGGTGGTGTCTTGCCACACCTAATGTAATTTGGTTTTCAATCCTTATCATGTCTGAGATGAGTTAAAGTTATGCACATTCTATTTTTATTTTTTAATAATCTGCACTTCAGTAGATTTTTACCGCACTGTTGGAGGCTATTGCTTTTTGTTTGTTCTATATAATTTCTATTAGAATATGTAGGAGCTATCATAAATTGTGAAAACAGCAATTCGTGATCTTTTTACTTACTAGAATAGGATGAAGTATCCTATCTTCTGCTTTTGAGGTGCTGTAGCCTTCTGAATTCTAAGTTGGGTTTACTTGAAGGTTAATCTTCTGGCTGGTAGAAATGAAAGAGAGAGTATTCAAATTGCACTGCGTCCAAAAGTTTCTTGGGGTAATCCTGGAAATGCAGGGGTTGTGCAGGTCCAGTGTAGAGACTTGTGCTCCACATCTGGTGATCGGTTAGTTCTTTGAAGTCATATCTTTCTTGCTGTAGGTTTACGGTTACTCTTCCAATTCCTTACTTTCTGACTCTGGGCAGGTTGGTTGTTGGACAATCAATTAACATGCGGCGTGTGGTTCCCATATTGGGTGTCCCAGATGCTCTTGCACCTCTTGATCTTCCAATTAGTCAAATAAACTTATTACCAGGGTACTGATCGTATTAGTAACATGATAGTCTTATATTTGGTGTGAAAGAATTCTATAAGAGTTTATTGCAAGAGACTGACACAATCTTCTTTCTCCTTCCGTGTCCTCCCCGTGCTGGTGCCTCCAGAGAGACAACTGCAGTTTGGATTTCCATTGATGTTCCTAGTGCGCAACCCCCAGGACAGTATGAGGGAGAGATCATCATTACTGCTACAAAGGCAGATGCAGAGTGAGTTAGTTCACGGTTGTTTCAGTTGTTTTGAGTGATGTGCTTTGATTTTTAGTCAATAAGTTGTACAATTTTAGCTCTCTATTGATTCAGCAATATTGGAATTCCTGTTCCATATACATTGAAATATGAACGTGCAGTTATCTACGTTTATTGATTCTGACTTGGTACAGGGCTCCAGCGCATTGCTTGGGCAAAGCCGAGAAGCATCAACTTTATAGGGATCTTGAAAGTTGTCTTGAAATGGTGGAGCCCATTGATGGGAAACCGGTGGATGAAGTGGTTGGTTTACAAATTGAACTTCGTACACAAGTGTATTATTCTGTTTAATCTTGTTGTGTGTTATTAGCTGGTCATTTGAGCATGTGCTTTTTTAGGTAGAAAGGGTGAAATCTGCTACAACATCTTTGAGAAGAGTTCTTCTGTCACCATTATTTTCTGAATTCTGTACATTAAATGGGTCAGTTGATATGATGGAGGAAGATGCTGTTTCGAGCCTTTCAGCACGTGTGAAGATTAATATGACAGTTTGGGACTTCATTCTTCCTGCAACCCCATCACTTCCTGCTGTTTTTGGCGTATCCTGTGTTTTAATAAAAATAGTATTTGGTATAATTTGAAAATTTTATTTAACTTCTGACATATTAATTCAAGTAACTGAGAAGCATAAAAAGTTCTTAGTAATTGTAAAATTGAAAGGGGAATCATGAATTCCTTACTGCAAATAATGCCCATGTGTGTAGATGCAGATGTGCTGTTCTTATGACAAAGACCAATGGTCTTTTATAAATTATGTTCTGTTGTATGTTTGACCACATATATTTCGTGATCCTACAATGTCGTTGCATCCTTAAACCATATTTTAGATATCTGATACTGTAATTGAAGATCGTTTTGGTGTTGAACATGGGACTGATGAGTGGTATGAGGCACTGGATCAGCATTTTAAGTGGCTTCTTCAATACAAAATCAGTCCATACTTTTGCAGATGGGGTGACAGTATGCGTGTCTTGACGTATACCTGCCCTTGGCCAGGTACGTACGAGCAAGTCTAAGTTACTCTGCTATTATCAATTACTTATATGGTTATCTCTGATTTCTTAAACTTTCTCGTTTCGTTATCTTCAATAAATGCCTTCTAAAAAAGATGCATTATTTGCTTTTGTGAATTTCACGTATCATTGTGACCTTTATCTCTCTCTATTGCAGCTGATCATCCAAAATCAGATGAATACTTTTCGGATCCACGGTTGGCAGCCTATGCTTTGCCATATAGTCGATCTGTCTCTGGGTATACAGCTAGTCATCCAAGTTCACTTCTATCAGGTATATATGTGATGAAAACTGATGGGGTTCTACCCATTTGCTGATGTGCCACAGTGGTGATGCAGCGAAGGATTACATGCAGAAACAAATTGATATATTGAGGACAAAGTCTCACTGGAAGAAAGCATACTTTTACTTGTGGGATGAGGTATGAACACTATCGAAAAATGTTAGGAAAGTGATGTTTTTTGGGTTGTGTTGCTGATCCCATGTTTCCCTTAAGTTTTCAATTTAGAAAGATTTATGAAAGGTTGTTGCATTAGAGACAACTTATGCATTGTCTTTTTTACTTTTGCAAAATGCATTACTAATTTATAGTAAGTTAATGTGCATTCTTTAATAATATATGCCAGCCACTGAATCTGGAGCAATATGAGTCCCTCCGCAGCTTAGCCACCGAGATCCATGCGTATGCGCCTGATGCTCGTGTTTTAACTACTTACTACTGTGGTATGAACTCATCTGCTTCTTCTAACTAGATGATTTTAAGTTTTGCATAGAGTTTCGTAGGCGGTAGTGTGAGTTTGATTGTCTATTTTGGTTCTGCTGAATGAATACTTCAGTAAAGACATTGGTGTATAGTTCATCCATACTTTGGCTCCTTCTGACTGGGAAGTTATGTTGTTATATTGCTCTTTTCCGACTTGTAGGGCCTAGCAATGCACCTACTGCGTTCGAGGGTTTTGTGAAAGTTCCAAAATTCCTGCGCCCACATACTCAAATTTATTGTACAAGGTATTGATATTCATTCGTTTTGTATCTCTGTTATTTGACTTTAGTTGCTAGTTTTTTGTCAATGTCAATGGCTGAGAACAATATAATTTGGTTTGAAATTGGCAGTGAATGGGTGCTTGGGAATCGAGAGGATTTGGTCAAAGATATTGTTTCCGAAATACAAACAGAAAATGGCGAGGTGATGTAACAGAATTTTTGCTCGACTTTATCTAATCTTCTTGGGAACTTTCTTAAATTCTGGGCTCTGTTCTTGTTGAGTTTGGTTGAATTTAAGGAATAGTTTGTGGTCTTTTGTTTTATGGATTAAACAGTTTCTGGTAATTATGTATGGTTACCTATTTATAGTCCATGCATCTTGTTTGTTACTTGCTGAAGGATGTAAACTCATCAATTTTGTAGGAATGGTGGACTTACGTGTGCTTGGGACCGTCTGACCCCCATCCCAATTGGCACCTTGGGATGCGAGGTACACAACACCGTGCTGTAATGTGGCGTGTATGGAAAGAAGGTGGAACGGGTTTCTTATATTGGGGTGCCAATTGCTATGAGAAGGCAAATGTTCCAAGCGCAGAGGTACTTTCCTGGCATCTTGATGGTTTATGAGGTTGATTAGCAATTATAAAAAGCTACATCCTCACAGTTTACTGAAATAAATAACTTACCCGTGAGCAGATAAGATTCAGGCGTGGCCTTCCCCCCGGAGATGGAGTTTTGTTCTACCCTGGCCAGGTGTTCTCATCATCAAGTCAACCAGTTGCTTCAGTCAGACTCGAGCGCATTCTCAGTGGCTTGCAGGTAAATGAAACTTAAAATGTTATAGTAAGTTCATCCCAATCTGTTTTCATTTATTCTTCTTTTTCTTTAACACATACGAAACAATCATGTCGAGCAATCCTCGACGCATTCCACAGTATGGTTCCTTATCAATTATCTGAATAACTGAGTTTAAAATTTGACTCAACGAAAATTCATGCCTTTGACCCTCAAATTACTCAACGAGAATGCAACTATAATTCCTGAATCTTTTCTTGCTCCAAAAGTTCAGAATTTTAAACTTTCTTTCTGTGGTGTTTTATCAGGACATTGAGTACCTCAGACTCTACTCTTCAAGATACGGTCGAGATGAAGGACTGGCTCTCCTTGAAAAGACGGGTTTGTACCTCGGTCCTGAGCGTTACACGCACGATCACACGCCCATTGATGCAATGCGGGGTGAGATCTACAATGCATGTCGCTCGTGAGGAAAGACAGTTCCAGACTTGCAAACGAACGTTGTTAGCAGCGAGATTGAATCCAGCAGATCATGAGAGATGTTTTTGTTTTCCGCGGGTATTGCACTTTCCATATATTCATAATCTTTTCGTGTAATGTACAGATGCTTTCTAGTATCTTCTCTTTATCGGAGGCCGATTACTTTACCTGCAGAAGTTTACAGTACATAGATAGGAAACATCCTCGGGCTACTTAACCGAGAGAAAACTGCATACATTGGGATGCCACTGCAGCAGTAACCGAAAGCAATCACGTAATGTCATAACTTCTCCTTGTAGAAGGGCATGATTCATTTGAGATACTGTGATAGGATTGTCTCAATAGGATTCAGTGTATAAAATATTCACGAAAGTGTCGATATTTTTGTCCAAATACAAGGATCGATAAAAAAAATCAATGAATATCGACGATGTTTTTCCAATTCACTGCATAATTCAACCTTTTGAAATTTTTGAGAAATTTTTCTCTAATCTTAACTAAATTTGAATGAGTTTATATATTCATCCCATGGTAAATTTTATAATTTTTGTCGAAGGTAACCGATATCAATAAGAGCATGATTAACTTAAGATACTACAATATGATCATAATGAGGCATCTTATTTTGCCTATAAAATTGAGGATAGACAACTTTACAGAAAGTTATGATTGACTTGAAATAATGCGATAAAATCATCCTGACGCATTCTATTTAGTCAATCAAGCCAGCGACAGACATAGGAGTGACCTACTTTGTGCCGAACAGCATTGATCTCTTCTCGTGGGTTCACTGCATTTAGCACGACACAGAAAACCGGAAAACGATTCAAATCTTTTTTCCCCATAGCCATTTTTCCTCCAAAATTACTCTGCCATTGACTCTTATGCATCCACAAAGCAGTACTGGGCCCCGCAGGGCCACTCATAACGGAATTGGATCCGATCCGAATTACTATCTACATCTTAGTTATTTATTGTATATCGTACGGTCAGAAATCATTTGATTTTTTTATTTAAAATTAAACACAAATAATATATAACAAAAAATAATCACACGATATACAATAAACGATTAAAATATAAGCATTCGTAGAATTTCCACAAAATGAATCCGATGAGAATCCCTTTCCACTCATACCAAAAGGGAAAAAATGGGAAAGGGAGGGAGTGGGGTCGCATAAATAAATAAAAAATTGAGATTCAAGACGGAGCTTTTGCGCAGCATATTGGAATCAGAAAAGCTACCAAAAAGATAATCAAACTAGTCATCATTGCCTTGTGCTTGTGACTCTGCATTCCATTTGTTTTCTTTTTCACATCAAGTGCAACTTCGCAAAGTGCTTTTCTAACTCGTGACAAATTTTTTTTTTTTTTAACCCACGCTCGCTGATGTTAGAAGCACTTTTGCTTATCTCCAACTTTTTTAGGCCGTGTTTAGAAATGTTATGGAGCGAGTGAAAGCGTTTATTGCCAACTAAATAAAGTTTTTTGCTTTGTTTAAGAATGCTTTTAAAATGATTAAAATTATTTTTTAATAAAATACTTTTGAATTTCAAAAGTACTATAAGTGCTTTCAAGATTAAATAGATGGAAAATTAATGAAAATAATTTGAAAACTTTAAGTTTTAACGATAATGACAAAATAAATGGTAATGTATATAATATCAGAATTAACTTTTTAATGTAAAAATATGGTTTTTCGTTAAAATGAACAGTACCGGGACTTTTTCGTTAAAGTTCCTTAGATAAATGGAAATCAGTGAAATCCAATCTTTGTGAGATGCAAGATCCACAAGTTAGGTGCTTCTTGCATGTAGGAAGCACTTTAGGTGCTTCTCCGAGTTTCATTGACATTTTTACTAAGCGCTTCTCTATAATTCATTGATAATTTTACAAATGATTGATTCCAAAAACGTGTTTAACTATTTTAAAAGCACTTCTAAACGAGTTATTAGGAGTTTATAGCAGAAAAGGTCAAAAGCACATTTATCAAAAGTATTATGAACCGAACTGCTCTCAAGATAAGCACTCTCAAACGGCCAAACTGCTTTCAAAATCAGCAACCTTAAAAAGACTCCATAGTAATTCTGAAACCACGTCCAAACCGGCTGCAATAAGAGAGTCTTCTTTTGAGCTCACAACTTGTCAGTAAAAGTTAATGCTTTTTGAACAAGCTAGATAACATGTATAAATTTCAACTTTCTGCTTGCTTTTATTTGCTTTTGAGCCACTAAATCATTTCAATTTTTGATAAATTCTTTGTCTTCAGTCACATCTAACGTATGTGTTCTCAATTGATCAATGAACAAAGTGATAAAATTCTCGTCCAACCGCACTTTCTAGAACAAATTTTAGTGGGCGGTATGCCGTATGTTAGAAGAAATGAGTATTGATCTCAATTAAAGCAATGATTCATCAATTAAAAGTTCATGATCATTCGTATGTTAATTCATCAAAACACGTTATTATAGTCATTTTTATCAACTCTGTCAGAACTTCCGTCAAAATGAGTCACATGACCTGCACATTAGATTGAGTCAGGGGCAAGTATGGAAAACCAATTAGCAATAGTCTTTCAACTTTAATTCAATTGTAGCAATGGTTTTTTCACCATGACTCATTTTTACAGAAGTTCTAATGAAATTGATGAAAATGATCATAACTGCACGTTTTAATGTGTTAAGCAACTAATGGTCACGAATTTTTAGTTGAAGGATCAATAATCCAATTGGATTAAATTTGAAAGACCATTGCTACAATTTTCTCCATATGTTATTATATAATTGAATGAATTTGGTTTTTCAAGTATCCATCCACTTATATAATAATGTATATCGCATGCTTCCGTGTTCCAAACATTAAAAATCTTTCCACTATTTCCCTTCCCAAAATAGAAGACTATCTGGTGAAATTCCATGTTGATAATCTCTGATTGGATGAAACCTCATTTGAACATGCCTACAATTACCCCTTTTAGCTTATTTTTTTGGGAACTTTAACGAAAATGATCATAAATGTACGTTTTAATGTGTTAAGCAACTAATGGTCACGAATTTTTAGTTGAAGGACCAATAATCCAATTGGATTAAATTTTAGAGACCATTGCTACAAATTTCTCCATATGTTATTATATAATTGAATGAATTTGGTTTTTCAAGTATCCATCCACTTATATAATGACGTATAGCGCATGCTTCCGTGTTCCAAGCACTGAAAATTCTCTCCACTATTTTCCTTCCCAAAATAGAAGACTATCTGGTGAAATTCCATGTTGATAATCTCTGATTGGATGAAACCTCATCTAAACTTGCCTACAGTTACCCCTTTTAGCATATTTTTTTGGGAACTTTAACAAAAATGATCATAACTGAACGTTTTAATGTGTTAAGCGACCAATGGTCACGAATTTTTAGTTGAATGACCAATAATCCAATTGGATTACATTTGAGAGACCATTGCTACAATTTTCTCCATGTATTATTACATAATTGAATGAATTTTGTTTTTCAAGCATCCCTCTACTTATACAATGTCGTATAGCGCATACTTCCATGTTCTGAACACTGAAAAATTTCTTCACTATTTACCTTCCCAAAATAGAAGACTATATGGTGAAATTCCACGTTGATAATCTCTGATTGGATGAAACCTCATTTGAACATGCCTACAGTTACCCCTTTTAGCATTTTTTCTTTCTTGCCAAGTCAATATTCCATCCATGAATAATTAGTAAGTTTATCTTGAAACATCATCATGCCAATTTTGATCAAATTGGGCACTTAATTATGATCTTAGCACAAATTAATCTCTCTCAATTCTCGAATTATGACATTGATTAAACTTTTTCTTTATTTGGTAAGCTTTCATCAATCCCACTTGTTTTTTTTTCTTGTTGGACTATGGAAAATAGAATATGTTCTTATTTTATTACGGGATTTTTTTAATTGATGATCATAAACTTTTGACCTTGTTCAATTTTCCCCAACTTTTAATTTGGTTTTTAGCCGTCATGAATTTTCAATTAGCACCAATAACCACCAATCATCATTTTCATAACAATTTTATGTTTACTGCATCATATACGTCAACAAAATATTACATTCACACGTAATCAATAACTAACTTACGAAAAAAAATCAAGAGGCATTGACAATTCAAAATGGACAATGTTAAGCTTCAGAATTATCGAATAATGACAAAACTAACAATATATGGTCGAGAACACTAACACAAATTGAATAATGTTAAGCTTCAGAATTACCGAATAATGTTAAGCTTCAGAAGTGATTTTCACATTATCTTTTACTTCTCACATATATATTTTTTATTTTTAACCACTTATTTGAGAAAATCAAACGGAATCAATGATCAAATTTAACAAAACCTGTGAAAAGTAAAAAATTCAAGTCCAACGAAAGCTTTGCTTGTTTTGAGGTCAAAAGTCTACCAAACAAAAAGAACCAAACGAAATACAAATAAAATATACAAATGGATCAATGCCCCAAAACAAAACAAAACAAACGCTGGCGTTTGACTCATTCAGTTTACAACAAACCAGGGCAGTGACTGCACTGTTTTCTTGCTAAATTGGTAGGACATAAATTATGAGGATTTAATATTAGGTGGGGTTAAATTCATATAAAATATAAACATAAAGGTTGAAAATTTGTAATTAAAAATAATTAACGGGCAAATCAAAGATTAAGTTGGAGACGAGGGTGCAACAACTTGCTTAAATAATTGGAGGCAGATTGTCTGCCCCTTGTTTGGATGCCTTTCTTATCCTTTCTTATTTTGTGCGATTATAGTTAAGTCACGTCAACATTTTATATTAATTTTTTTTATTGAGATAATAAAATAAAAAATAATATAAATATAAAATATTAACATAATTTAATCATGATCGTATAAATAAAAAGGGATGAGAAATACATCCAAACAGGAGGGTGGAATCGGCGTCCTAAACAATTAGATCTTGTAATTATTTTATTGTGATAAAATAATATTCAAGTGGGTTCTAATTATTTGAGTATAATTATGACCATCTGGGATTAAACAATGGCATTAAAAGTACCTGTCGATATACTAAGCAGTGATGACAGATTGCATCCGCACCGTCCACCTCAGCATCTAGGCTTCCTTCTGGTGGGCCCCAAGAGATGTGGACCGTCGATGGCCTGCAAAACCCGGTCCACTGTGTCTGAATCTGAATATCAATGTACTAGACCAAAATGTCTTAAATGCCCGTGGGCTCGGTCGCGTAGAAAAAGTTTCATGATAATGGGAAATGCTAACGAAACTTTTTAAAAAATGAGATTTTTTTATTCGAATGAGAAAATTTGAGCGTTTGCCGAATTGGTAAGGTAGATGTATCAATCCAATCCATAGGATTCATTCATTAAAAATTTTACCGATGTGAAGACGGGGTAAGATTGTGCTATTTCCTTGTTCAGTGCTCTAGCCTTGGGAGGGATAGCTTCTCTAGGTTCCAGGGATGGCTTCATCTCGGTTGTCAATCTAATCAGCTCCATCAGATCGCTTGCCTTTACTGTGATGTCGGTTTTTCATAATTAACTAGTTATTTGTCTGATGATTATACTATAACATGATTTGTTTTGTTCTAGCCTTCTAGGCGTGGGTGACTCTCTTTCCTCGCTCAGTTTTTCTCACGTAGCTTATCTGTAACGAAGTTTTTTCAGGGCCAATAACGATGGAAAGGGATCTTCTCCTGATTCCTTCATTTTAATCCACCAAGTCCAATGATTAGGACCATTGAATTTGATTCAACGGCTAAATTTATTTTAACTTTTAAAATTGATCCTTATTTGTAACGTTAGATTAAATTTCAATGGTTCAAATCAATTATATTTGATGAATTAAAAGAAAGATATTCAAAGATAGGATCATTTCCAATACCGGTGTTTGATTTACATCAAAAATCTCTTAACCGACTTTTGGAGAGAAAAAGGGTACCGGCCTTTTTGGGCAAACATTATACTATGCATCGCATCTCCTTCTTAAACTTTGGATTTGACCAGTCGACGGTTATTAATCTCGGAACACCATGAGGTCCATGGGATTGCAATGGACTTATGACGCAGGGAATTGAAGCTCTTGGTGGCAGACTCAAGCACGTGCACGCAAGGGGTGCAAGCACCCACATGATTCACGAGGGCATCCGTGACATTTGACCTCCGTTGGTACAGTATTCTACTGTTTGATTTTGATAGATGAAAGAAGGAGACTTACCTAAATTCTATTATGCCTAAATTCTATTATGCCACATTAACATTTCGTATTCGTTATGTCGTGCGGTGTGAAAACGGTAAAACAAATGACATTGTATTACCGATTATAATGTACGATGGCATATCGAGTAATAAGTAAGCCCTTGTGATGGACTAGAAAAACTTACACTAAATATGCATTGTAGCAATTAATAGCATATTATCAGTCGAAAAATTAAGATATGTGATGTTGCGTTCATGTTTCTTTTAGATACCATCAGAAGAATGTGCCCTCGCAACAGATTGTTACTGTAACGGTGATTAAACCCTTAATCACATGATTAAGACGTGATTAAGTTGAGATGTGGACAAGAAAGTTCTTCCACCAGAAGAATGTGCCCTTGCAACAGATTGTTACTGTAACGGTGATTAAACCCTTAATCACATGATTAAGACGTGATTAAGTTGAGATGTGGACATGAAAGTTCTTCTCCCTTACCAATGTAAGTGACACAAACAAGACAGGCTTTTCAAGAGAATCACAAGAAAGCCACTGAGGCCGTGGACAAAACGTTTAGATTGTCTCGTCCACATTTGCTTGCCCATCCTTATCGGCTCAGTGGCATTACTGTAAAATTACAAAAAACACGTCAAATTCCAAAAACCCCGCTTCATTCCGCTGTGAAACGGGGGATTGTGCAGGGGTAAAACTGGCTTTTGACGTAATTAGTATTAGGCAAGGTTTTTGTCCTGATTTAAAAAAGTTTGGTATATTATTGGTTAGAAAAATAGTTTCAAAGTGCAAAAAGACAAGCACCGCCTAGTCCTCCGACAAACGTCGCCTTCTCGCTTCTTGCGACACGTGGACGCCCAGATCTACCCCATCAGCCACGGGATCAGCTTTCGACTCATCGGGTTCGGGTATATCCCCTAACCATGGTTAAAATCCATAGCTTCCTAATTTAACCATGGTTAATGCCGCCGCTTTAACCCGTTTTCAATAAATTTAAGATTTTTCAACTCCGTTCAAATCTCTCTCTCTCTCTGCCTGTATTTCACAAACACGCACACACACTCTCTCTCCCCCCTCTCTTCCATTTCCAGCTATGGAGCCGCGCCGCCTAATGGGACTTTGGCTCTCCGTGTGCGACCTCGAGGACTGAGTTGACTCGGCGTTCCGGGGCAAAGAGTCCATTAATTTAGCTCGAGCAATTTTGTCGGTTTTTCTCGGAAAATTCTCTTTTCTCGGGAAACAATCAGAGTTTTTGTTTATTTTAATCAATCAGAACTGAAACCGTAAGTAGTCAGCTTGTTTTTATAGCTTGTTTGAGAGGCTTTGAGCTCAGAGATTTAAAAATTGGAAAATGGGGGAGCTGGATAATTCCTCATCGCCGTTACCGAAGGTTTCAACGGCTTCCGGCGGCGAAGCCAGTTTAACTTCCTCCGCTCGCGAAGCCATGACTCGTTCGGAGCCGCCGCAAAAGAAAAAGCGAAACCTTCCCGGAATGCCAGGTAGACGACGTCGTTTCTCGATTAGTCTTTAAATTTTGCTAATTTTTGCTATTTAGAGCTGAGCTAGCACGTATTTCCTTGCTAATTTTCGACTTTTTCAGATCCCGAAGCGGATGTGATCACGCTGTCGCCGACGACTCTGCTTGCTACGAACCGTTTCGTGTGCGAGATCTGCAGCAAAGGCTTCCAGCGGGACCAGAACCTGCAGCTCCACCGGCGGGGCCACAACCTGCCGTGGAAGCTGAAGCAGCGGACGAGCAAAGAAGTACGGAAGCGGGTCTACGTCTGCCCCGAGACCTCCTGCGTGCACCACAACCCGACCCGGGCGCTAGGCGACCTGACGGGGATTAAGAAGCACTTTTGTCGAAAGCACGGCGAGAAGAAGTGGCAGTGCGAGCGGTGCTCCAAGAAATACGCAGTGCAGTCCGATTGGAAGGCGCACATGAAGACGTGCGGCACCCGAGAGTACAAATGCGATTGCGGGACTTTATTCTCTAGGTGTGTGTTTGTTTCCCGAGAAAACTTACATTTTCCTTTTCCTTTTCCTTTCCATTTTCGTACATTTTCTCGGGAAACCGCCGGTTATTAATGCGTTGTCGTTTTGTTTTGGGATGGTTGAAGGAGGGATAGCTTCATAACGCACAGGGCGTTCTGCGACGCTTTGGCGGAGGAGAGCGCGAAGGCTCAAACCCTAATGGTTGGGTCCGGCGGAAGTACGAACCCGAGTTCAAATCCGGCTCCGAGTGCAAAGAGTGCGGTGGTGGCGTCGCCGCCTCCACCGCCTCACACACCGTCAAACACGGTGGTGTCTCCGGCCTTGTCTATTCAGAGCTCAGGTAACACTATTTAATAAGGTCAATAAATGCGGTTTATCATTGCGATATGATGAATAATATGACCATTGGCACATCGTGTACGCGAAATTTGTTTTTTATTGTAGTCGGAATACGAATAGTATATTACGGGTTTTTATATAAGTGATGGAAAATTTTATATTTTAAGTTATTAATTTTTTAACGCACATATCCTGTCATTTGTATTGTAACAAGTACATCTTGTGTTTTTGTTACACTGAAAAATCTCTCACTTGATGTGTCAAACGCTAATCTTGGGAGCGCGTCTTGGATACGTAACATGATTGTCGCAGTCCTTTCAACAAAATTCTCAGGTTTTATTATTTTGCACATCTTACAAATAAACTTAGAACTACGCTAGCACTCGGTGACTTGTAAGTTGGTTGAATACGTTCACACTTGTGCTGAAATCCCGAGTTTGATTCTCGTTCTTCTAGATAGCTCTTGCATGAAAAGGAAACTACCGTAGATTGTCGAGAGGAATCAAACTCAATGCGAAGGTGGCCTTACTATGTGTAACTGGCCTAACGTACGTATATGCGTCTCTGTCTAATTACATAGTTAGAAACACATAGGGTTGATTAGTTCTAAAGGGAGTTCAATTTCCTTCTTGAAATACTAAAGAGACTCAAAAGTGGAACTCCTGCCTCTTCATGTTTTTTGCATAATATTTTACAATATTAGCATACGAATTGACGTTAAACTATGAATGACTGAGACTCCTTAAAGAGTCCTACTGTTTTTAGAGTCCTTCTAGCATTACTTTGTAAAAAATAATAATGAAGGCTGTTGGGGTGTTATTTTATCCAACAGGATCCTCTTCGGGTTTTGGTGCAGATTATGGAAATTCGTGAATCGTGTTCGTTCAATATATATCGTGCAGGCAGTTTTTGTCAAATACTATTTGTATTTAATTTAAATAAAAATATTTAAAATAATTTTTAACTTCATGATATATAATGAACAGACATAATTGACGGATATCCGGAATCCTCTTTGAGAGGATCCGGATTCTTTTATGGACTAGGATCTCTCCCCTCTTTTTTCCTTCATTTCCTCTCACATTCTTTTATTTTGTCTTTTTTTTGTTATAAAAAATTACTATAAGATGTTGACGTGGTTTAACTGTGATCGTTTAAATAGAAAGGGAGGGAAAAGGAGGGAAGGAGAAGGTAAAAAGAGAAGAGAGAATCATACTTACTGGGTTTTTGTCTCTACCTTGATGTTGCCCTCGCGTGGGTGAGTAGGCTTTTGTAAAGTTGAAACTTTCACAGTAGTATAGGCATGGGGATGTAGAGAGAGTGAGAGAGAGAGAGAGAGAGAGAGAGAGAGTGGAGTTGTCCCACGGCGACAGGAAAAATGGATGGATGCACGATTGATATGGGAGCTCAGGGATCGAGGAGTATTAGGGTTGAAAAACAAAAAAACGAAAAAATAGAAGAAAAAGTTTGAGGGGAAAGGACGCCATGATTGCCTCTCTCCTTTCTCCTTTTGCACATAAAGCACAAAGATCTCAAAGATTTTTAAGTTGTTTCCAATGAGGGACTTGGGTAGAATTTTCAAACACATTTCCTACATGCTTTATTCATGACTGCACCACTTTGTTGCATTCTGCTTTTTAAGTTTTGATGATCATGATTGCTTGATTGTTTTATGGTGGTTACAGAATTGCCAGAAAACCCAATTGGCCTGTCCCCTCCGGCGCCAGCCACGACATGCTTAACTACCACGGCAATCAGCACCACCTCCATTGCCACCACCTCGACTGGAAATTGCAACAATGGTACTAGTGTATTCGCCAGTGTATTTGCACCTTCCTCCGCTTCAGCGTTGATGACACAGCCACCCCAAGCATCGTCACCGTCCTCATTCACCAATCAAGTATCCACATTGGGCCGCCTGGATGGCTCCACCACAACCTCCGCCATTAATGAACCCACATCACTCTCACTCTCTACCTCCCTTTACCTCTCCAGCACTGGCTTCTCACTGTTTCCAACACCCGATCAACAAGACCACCGCGACTACGCTCAGCCCGCTGCCATGTCCGCCACGGCATTGCTCCAAAAGGCAGCCCAAATGGGTGCTGCAGCATCAAACGCCTCACTGCTTCGTGGGTTCGGGTTGTCCACGACCTCATCCCCGTCTCAAGAAAGTAGCACCACATTGCAGTGGAACAAGAAGCCAGAGAGTGGTGGTGGTGCTCACGTGGGAGCCGAGTTAGGGCTTCAACTTCTCTCAACTGCAAATGTTACCCAATTGAATGATCTAATGATGGGTCCACCTTCGTCGTTCGGGGGCCAGCCCATGACTCGTGACCTTCTTGGGCTGAGCATCGGTAGTGGTGGTGGCGGTGGCGCTTCCACAGGCGGATTTTCTGCTTTCCTGAATTCCTTTGGCGGCAGCGGCGGTGCCTTCAATGTTGCAGCTCCGTACGGAAGTGGAGGAGCGGGCGGTGGAAGCTCGCAGGGAGAATCGTGGGAAGGTGCACAAGATAGAAAGCCCAACATTTAGGCCTCCTGTATTCTGTGCTGGTTATATCATATATTATGTAGTAAACTGCAGAGAAGAATAGCTTCCTTGTTTTTGCGATAGATCGTGCTTTGATTTTTGAAACGTCGCCGTTCTAGATGGAAAAGTTAAATTAAGTTGTACAGGAGCTTGTTCAACCTATGTTATAACACATTGATCGACAAAGTCAACACTTTGTCCTATTCTAAAATATCGTAGCAGTGTGACCATCCCAATTCAAAATTGCTATACTCTAATACTTTCCATATTAAATTTGTACATCTCTCTAAAGATATAGTCCACTGATAATATCACGGACTGCGGCTCTCTAAAAGATAAAAAAAATGTAGGAAGTTTCTAAAAAATAAAAAAATGTAGGAAGTTTTGGGTTCAATATTTTGAGTTGGTGAGTTTATTTGATTGTGGTCACAGGCAAAAGAAAACTTCTTGAGTTCGAAAAAGATGGATAATCGTAGTTTACCATCAATTGTCTTTTTCCTCAAAAGAAAAAAAAATAGTATGAAAAATGTGGTACTTTAGCATTACTCGTCGCAATTAATGCGTTGGAGAAAATCAAAGAAAAGAATTTGGGTAAATTACATTTTACCCTCTTAGATTTCGGTGCAATTACAACCTCATACAACATTTTTAAAGCATTTTAATCTCATACGTTTAGTATTATTATTTTTTTTCAATTTCATACAATCGTTAAAAAATTTGTTAAGTTAACCGTTGAGTAATGATGTGACAAATATGAGATTTCTATTTGTGCTGACGTGACTGTCACATTTATACCACGTGATAAAACACTTAGTAAAAAAATTAAAAAATTTAAAAAATTAATTAAAGAAAAGTAAAAAATTATGCATGAGACGGTGCCGTTTTGCATTGATGAGCACATGGATTTTCTTTTGGTCCTAATGAGCACATGGACTAAATTGATGGCGGTCAAACGAGTCAAATCGGAGCGGATTAAACTGGGACCTCGGTTTAATTTGACACAGTATGGACAACATGCGGGTTGGTCGATCGGTCAGTAGCAAGATGAAGATGTATTTAATTTGTGAACTGGCGGGTTGCATTTGTTGTGTGCTGCTCTGACTAGACCACATGTGGGTCCCATGGTTTTATGGTGTGGTAGGGCACCTGCCTGCTCGGTCGTATCTCTGGTTGGCAGCGGCAACCCTACGGGTGCTAATGGAGGCAGATCGTCTGCACTTCTTTTTGTGTGCGCTTTTTATTCATTTTTATTTGTAAGATTACGGTTAAATTACGTTAATATTTTATATTTTTATTGCTTTATCTTATTATCTTTATAAAAAGATCAGTATAAAATGTTGACATGACTTAATCATGATCACATAAAATAGGAGAGGATAGAAAGAGCACCAAACAGAAGGGCAAACAATCTGCCTCCGGTGCTAATGCCACCCAGCTACCTGTGTTGTTCATCTGGATAAGAGATTTTTAACGTCGAAGACTCAAAACGTTACCAGCAGTTGAAAGGTTTATCGAAAGCGCGTCCCGAAGTGGATGCTCATAACTAACTGAATTACCCCATTTTTTGGATAAGTTTCTTTGTGATATTCAACACTGCCATGAATGCAAATAAGTAGCGGAGTAGAATTTTCTCTTCTCCTATTCTCATCTTAATCCCTCCCCTCCTCTCACATATTTTTTTTTGTCTTATTGTCTCTATAAAAAAAATCAATATAAGATATTAACGTGGTTAGACCGTAATCGTTCAAATAGAAGAGGAGGGAAGAGAAGAGAATCATCCTCCGTATGTAGTACATACAGTGACTTATTTTTACTTCTGATACACATAGGGCAAGCTATATTAATTTTTTTTTTCAATTCCTTTGAGTTGATGATCGAAAATTAAAAAAGTGTGTTAAAAATAAAAATTGATTGTGTAAACAGTACTATCTGATAATAAAATAGTTATAATTAAAAAGAAAAATACGTTTGTGAGGAGTGTCGAAAGAGATTTTTGAAATTTTAATAACAATTTCCTCGTTAAAAACTAACAATTTGTTCAAAAGGATTAGTTGATGTACGTCATGCATGATGTATTAGGAACTAATAAATCTTCATCTTCTCTCTCTGCTTCTGCTAATGATACACTGAGATTATGCATTTCCTTCTCCTCCTTGCTGTTCTTTTACTTCCTCTACTTTTCTTCCTCTCCAAATTTGTAACCTCCACGATATGGGTCCCACTGAGGACGCAACATCACTTCCGGAAGCAAGGCATACGGGGGCCTGCCTACCGTCCGATCTTCGGGAACTCCGCCGAGATCCGCCGTCTGTTCGCGGAAGCTCTCTCAAAGCGGGGCCCTTTTGACCACGACAATCTTCACCGCGCGTCCCCATTTTACCACAGGTGGTCCCGCATGTACGGGAAGAATTTCCTCTACTGGTTCGGGCCCAGGGCCAGGCTGGCAATATCCGATCCCGACATGATCAAGGAAGTGTTGATGGATGCTGGCGGGTCGTTTCGGAAAACACCGTTTACCCCGTTGACTAAAACTTTGTTTGGAGAGGGACTTGTTGGGCTTGAGGGAGAGGAATGGGCCTTCCATAGAAGAATTGTGAACCGGGCCTTCAAAATGGATCGGGTCAAGGTAATTACTCTACGAACCCACTTAATTGAATGGAGATTACCAAAATGGGCTTTCATTTTAAGCAATCTAAATTTTAGTCCTGTGATTTTGACTGAGTAATGCTAGCGAGACTTAATTTGTTGATTAAATTTTGTAAACTAAATGACATGAAAGTTGGTGATTGAATTATTACTTAATCGGTATAAATGTGCTCATTTTTTATTGGTGACACTTCATTTAGTTTGTTAATTTAATCTAACAATCTCGCATTATATTTACTCATGAGATATAAACATTAGCCCACATAAACAAGAAAAACAAAATATATATAAAAAAAAAAAAAAAAAAAGGGGGATATAAATCTTACTCTTCGTAGTTTAAGTATAATTCGTGGATACTTCAATTAGCTTGCAAGCGAGATATGCAAGGGTAAATTGGATTTTTAATGTTTAGAAATGCTTAGTGTACTTGGAGTTAACGGAATATTTGACGCAAAGCTGAGTGCAGTAACGTTTTAGGATTCATGCAACCGATCCCATTTAGTGGGATGAGACTATTATTGTTATTGTTGTTGCAGAAATAATTAGTAAACTACACGAGTTAACAACTGAACTTTGAACTAAGCTTAGGATAGGGAACCTAATTATACTTTACCCTTTATATCATGATATGCAAGATTAAGCGTACGAAGCTCTTTTGCTCATAAGTTAGTCTTGAGGTACTTTGGCAAGTGCTTTTACATCTAAAAGCACTTTTGAATTTTTTTTTTTATCAAGCTCTTTTGGAAACGATTTTAGTTATGGCGTTTAGTAGGTATCAAATGACACCATCTTAAATCTTTTTATTTGCATTGTTGTTGGGGGGCTCTTTTCTGCAATGCAGGGTTGGGTGCCAGATATTGTGGGGAGTACCATGAAGATGTTGGAGAAGTGGGAGAATGTAAGAGGAGGGAGAGATGAGTTTGAAATCGATGTGCACAAAGAACTTCATGAGCTCTCAGCAGACGTGATATCAAGGACAGCTTTCGGAACCAGCTTTGAGGAGGGAAAGCGTGTTTTCGACTTACAAGAACAACAAATGCATCTGTTCTCCAAGGCTGTCAGGAGCATCTACATTCCGGGATTCAGGTGACTTTCCTTCAAAAGCGAAATGTGATTGATTCCAAACTCATTGAATTCTTTTGAATGCAGGTTTTTGCCTACCAAGAATAACCGAGAAAGGTGGAGACTCGACAAGGAAACTCGCGAATCAATACGGATCTTGATCGCGAATAACTGCAAAAGAAGTGAAGATTCGACAAATCTGCTTAGTCTGTTGATGTCTCCTTGCAAGAATCAGGATGGACAAGAGGTGAAATTAGAGACAGAGGAAGTTGTAGATGAGTGCAAGACCTTCTACTTTGCAGGAAAGGAAACGACTGCTAATCTTCTAAGCTGGGCACTTCTGCTCTTGGCAAAGCATCAGGAATGGCAAGACAAAGCTAGGGAAGAAATAATTCGCGTGTCGGGGGACAATAAGCTTCCGGTTGCAGATAATTTGAATGACCTCAAAATTGTAAGTTCTGTAAAATCTTTCCTTTTTATATGTATCAATGCTGGGAAGAAAGTTAATTTTTGTACTTAAATTGCACAATTAGTTTGCTGCATCCCCATACATGTTTATTTTCCATCCCGTTTTGAACAGGTTAGCATGATCGTTAACGAAACACTTAGGCTCTACCCTCCGGCGGTTATGATTATGAGGCAAGCAACAAAGAAGGTTAAGCTTGGGAGCCTGGACATTCCTGCAGACACACAGCTTTATTTGGCCTTGACCGCCGTCCATCACGACACCGAGATATGGGGAGAAGATGCTAACGAGTTCAACCCGCTGAGGTTTTCCGAGCCTCGAAGCCATTTAGCCTCGTACTTTCCATTTGGTCTGGGTCCTCGAATCTGTGCAGGCCAAAATTTGGCTCTTGTTGAAGCAAAACTTGTGTTAGCAATCGTCATCCGGCGCTATTCTTTCAGGGTGTCTCCAACATATGTTCATGCCCCTACGTTGCTCATAACCTTGCAGCCACAGTATGGCGCTCAAATCCTCTTTAGCAGGATTTCAAATTGAAGATTCTAATTAGGGTTTTATTTATCTTATTGTACAATGAAGCTTCAGAAAACAGATTCCTAAAGTCATATTGTAACCATATGTGATTGTATTTTCTACGAAATTTCCCCTTATTTTCGGCGACGTTAAGGCTGTAAGTTGAATTTCACTTGTGACTTTGATTGTTCTCTTACATTAAGTTCGAATTTTCCTTCCACACTAATTACTTGAAATAAAAAGAAACCGCGTAAGTTAAGTATAGAAGATATAAGAAACAAGTAGGCTAAATATCCAAAATGGTCTTTAAGATTTGCATAATCAATAGAAAGGTACCATTATCTTTGTCTCATCTTAAAAAAAATGGTGTCATGAATATGCCTCTAATATAATTAGATAGATAAAGAATAGTAATTTATTACTCGTTTGGCTAAATATCCAAAATAGTCTCTAAGATTTGTATAATCAATATAAATGGTCCCGAGATTGTCCAAACGACTAAGAATATAATTAGATTGATTATGCAAATCTCAAGTACCATTTTGGATATTTAGCCAAATGAGAAATAAATTACTATTCTTTATCTATCTAATTATATTGGAGGTAGATTCATGACACCATTTTTTTACACAAATTTTGACACATTTTTGTAAGATCCACTTCGTAATGTATTTTAACGATCTGTGACACTACTTAGCATAGGTGGTTTAGTATGGGATCTCAAACCGAAAATGGGATCTTGAATCCCAAACTGAAAATTTTTGGGACGGGAATTTGAAGACTAATCCTGAACCGAAATTTTGGTATTTCCAATTTTCAATATTCTCGAAATGCTTTCGGTATTTCGAGATGGATCGGGATTAATTTTTGACTTTTGAACTTTTGGGTTAAAATTTGAGATTTTTTTAATGTGGGCCAAAATTTGGGCTTTTGGCCTAAAATTTTGTTCCAAATTTCATATCAATTGAAATTTATGTTTTTAATCTCATATTAATTTTAAATTTCATACCAAGTTGAATTGATGTTCGAAAGTTTTAAACTACTTAATTTCATACTTCTGTTTCTAATATAATCTACCACCAAACTACTTAAATTCAACATTTAACATATATGCAAACAAAATAAATATATATGTTTTTTCGGTTCGGTTCGAGATTTTCAGATCATTGAATATGTAATACCGATTCTTCCGAAAGGTTTGGAATTGGTTCAGTATGGATCCCAAAAATTTCGCTATTATCAATTTGAAAATTTTTCGGTATGGGATCAAAATTTTTTTATTTGATTTGGGATTTCCGAAAAAAATTTCCAGCCCTAATTATCAACTAACAAGTTGTTTTATCAAGCAGATTACGTTGGTGTACGTCACGCATGATGTATTTAGGAACTTAATTGTCCTCTCTCCCCTCTCTCTCTCTCTATCTCTCTCTCTCTCTTCTTCTGAGATTTCACGATGCATTTCCTTCTCCTTGCAGTTCTTTTACTGCCTCTCCTTTTCTTCCTCTTCAAATTTGTAAACTCCACGTTGTGGGTCCCACTGAGGACGCAACATCACTTCCGAAGGCAAAGGCATACAGGGGCCTGCCCACCGTCCGATCCTTGGGAACTCTGCCGAGATCCGCCGGCTGTCCTCGGAATCTCTCTCAAAGCGGGGTCGTTTTGACCACGACACGCTTCCCCGCGCGTCCCAACATTACCACAAGTGGTCCCGCACATACGGGACGAATTTCCTGTACTGGTTCGGGCCCAGGGCCAGGCTGGCAATATCCGAACCTGACATAATCAAGGAAGTGTTGATGAATACGAGTGGGTCGTTTCGGAAATTACCGTTTACCCCTTTAACAAAAACTTTGTTTGGAGAGGGACTTTTTGGGCTTGTCGGAGAAGAATGGGCTTTTCATAGAAGGATGGTAAACCAGGCCTTTAAAATGGAGCGGGTCAAGGTAATTACTCTATTAACCCAATTAAGAGAAGTCCACCCCCAAGGCAATAATTTCTCCATCAATTGAGCAAAGGTAATTCTTGCCTTAATGAATAGTAATTTTTTAAATAGGCCTTTATTCTGTAAATAAATTGTGTGGGTAATTCACCTTAAAATTAATATTATGTTCAATTTTGAATGAGACTTTTAACCAATTTCGTCATATTACGTGTCATTTTCTTAAGAAATAATCCCTTCTCGGTCGACCCACAGTTCATATTCTCCTTTTTTTTCTTTTTTCTTTTTTGTATTTTTTTATAATTTTAAACATTTTTTACTAACATAATTAATATGGATTGTTGGATGACATTTTTTTTTTCAATCCAAGAGTGCAGGTTGTGCCACATAGTCACAATGTCTTTTTCCAGATATATCCTTTTTTTGTTTTTTTTTTTCTAATTAAAAAAAAATCAAAATTACCATGGGCCGTTGAATTTGGGAAATCCAACATCCCATGTTCGCAAATGGCGTAAGTGCCTGTAGTGCGGGCCTCACCGATTGCATTTTGTTGGACAACTAGACGTCATGCGCGAGTGAAACGTACTCATCTGGCACAAAAAAAAAAAAAAAAAAAAAAAAATGGGTGACGTCACATGACCTCAGACGCACAATGAGTTTATTTTTACTGAACTCCTTAGTTCGGTGGTCTTGGGCCCACCTGTGGTCAGACTTATTAGGCTGGGTGGTAAGGAAGATGATTGTTGGGCTTTGGGGGACAATTGGGTGGGGATGAACTTGTTCTAATAACATGGAGATTCCTAAAATGGGCTTTTCATTTTAGGCATTATTATTCGGCGTACATGAATTTAGTCGCTTCATCATTATAGTTTCAGTTGTCGTTCTTTGATTATTGTAGTTTATTAATTTTAACAGTTTAAGTATTTTTTTTTTTTAAGAAGAGGAACTTTTAGGGTACGAAGAATATTGATATTAAAAAAAGAACACACATAAAAAATGAAATGACATAAACCTTACTCTTTTTCTAAAAGATAATACAAGAAAAAGAGAAGACATAGACCTTACCTTTTTCACAATTGAAGTATAATTTGTGTATATTACAATTAAGCTTGCAAGCGAGATGTGCAAGGATAAGTTGGATTTTTTATGTTTAGAAATAATTAGTAAATTACACAAGTTAAAAGTCCCGACAGCTGAACTTTGTACTAAGCTTAATGATATAGGTAATGATATTTTAGCCTTTATATCATAGTAAGCAAGATTAAGCGTAAGAAGTTCCTTTCCTTTGCTCATAAGTGATTCTTCAACTAAGAGCACTTTTTTAAGTTTTTCTATCAAATGCTTTCGGAAACGATGGCTTTTAGTAGGTATCAAATGACAACATCTTATATCGTTTAGTTTGATGCATTTGTTGGGGTTTCTTATGGAATGCAGGGTTGGGTACCAGAAATTGTGGGGAGTACCATGAAAATGTTTGAGAAGTGGGAGAATGTAAGAGGAGGGACAGATGAGTTCGAAATCGATGTGCACAAAGACCTTCATGACCTCTCAGCGGACGTGATATCAAGGACAGCTTTCGGAACCAGTTTTGAGGAAGGAAAGCGAGTTTTCGACTTACAAGAACAACAAATGCATTTGTTCACCAAGGGAGCCAGGAGTATCTACATTCCGGGATTCAGGTGACTTTCCTTCCAAAATTCAACGGCGAAATGTGACTAATTCCAAACTCGTTGACTTCTTTTGAATGCAGGTTTTTGCCTACCAAGAATAACCGAGAAGGGTGGAAACTCGACATGGAAACTCGTGAATCAATACGGATGTTGATCGTGAGTAACTGCGAAAGAAGTGAAGATTCAACAAATCTGCTTAGTCTGTTGATGTCTCCTTACAAGAATCAGGACGGCAAAGAGGAGAAATTAGGGATAGAGGAAGTTATAGATGAGTGCAAGACCTTCTAATTTGCAGGAAAGGAAACGACTGCTAATCTTCTGAGCTGGGCGCTTCTGCTCTTGGCAAAGCATCAGGAATGACAAGACAAAGCTAGGGAAGAAATCATTCGCATGTCGGGGGACAATAAGCTTCCGGTTGCAGATAATTTTAATGACCTCAAGATCGTAAGTTCCATGCAGTCTTTCCTATGTACATGTACCAATGCTGGGAAGAAATTTAATTTTGTACTTGATAGGATTTTTAGTACTTGCCCAAATAGGGTTAAAATCACTAAAAATACTTACAAGAATTACAAGGTAATTGTTGTATAAATGCTCATGCAAGGTCGTTGTCCCCAAAGATTGTTTGACTAATTTTGTAATTAAACTAACTCTTGATTAACTATTAAAACATATTTTATCAAAGAATTGAGATTTATGAATTTAAAAAGATTAGATAAACAATAAAAGAAATCTGAAAGTCTACAAATAATAACAGCAAAGAAGAAAAACGTTTTTATAAAATTAACAATTTGAAGAAATCTAGGGTTTAGCCATCATCGTCACGATCCTATGCAATTCCATCAATTACTTATGAATTTCCACATACATGCTTTGAAGGTTAGGTTTTCCTAATACATATTTCCTTGTGATGTTCAAGTGAAAACGTATATCTAACATGCAATCCGTCTGTGATGTTCAGATCAAATATAAACATGTAAGACTCATTAAGTTTCGTGAAAATCCTCTGAAAAACCATGCAACCCTTAAGAGCGTGATGTTCGCCTTAAGTGAACTTACAATTACCAATTACAAGAAGTCCTCCTCAATTTCAGGGTGATGTTCCAATAGAAATTGCATCAAATTACTTGTCTAAATGTCCTAATGGTGATCAATCATCAAAATATATAGATAGTTTTAATCGCGGTAATTAATAATTCAAAGAAAACATGCATCCATTCATAAGCAAATTAATAAAATCACATATTCATACTAAGACTTATGGCCTAACCCTAGCAAAGGAATTAGTTACGCATACTCATAATAAAAATCACAGAAAATATTCTTAGAATGAAAACACCTTGAAGTAGAAAATTTGAAAGCCTTTGAAAACCCTAGCAAAGCTCTCTGTCTCCAAAGTTGAATAAAGGAAGCGTAGCCTAAAACTAAGAACGGCAAAGCAATATAATTGCTAAGCCATGGCACAAATCCTAAAACATAGGTCTCTTATTCCAACTAGGAACTAAATAATAAAATAAAATACTTAGAAAATAAAGTCTTAATTAAACTAGGAAACACTGCAAGGGAACTGTCCAGCCACGTTTTAACCTCAGACATCCTCTAAATCCGGTCCATAATAGCTTGTTTTGAAGATCGGGACATTCTGAACATATCTCTAGAAGGCCACGAACCCATCCGAGGTCATCTTGGGTTTCAAAAACGCAATTCAAACTCAAAACGTCACTATTCCAGCATCGTACATCGCTCATTTATTTTATTGCCAGAAAATAACTGCTTGGTGGAAAAATATGATATTTTGACATGATCAAACTAAGCGACTCACAAACATCCTCCAACTAGAATTACTCTAAAATTCGTCCATTTGACCATGTTTTGCTCTAGAGGTAGTCAAAAGTCTTATATTGAAAATACAATTCAAAGTATCAAAATTCTTTCAAAATACTAACTAAAATATACTAAGAATAAGGTAAAATATATGATATGAAATTGACTCATCAGTACTTATTTGCTGCAACCCCATATCTTGTTTATTTTCTGTCCCGTTTTGAACGGGTTAGCTGATCATTAACGAAACGCTTAGGCTCTACCCGCCGGCGGTGATGCTTTTGAGGCAAGCAACAAAGAAGGTTAAGCTTGGGAGCCTGGACATTCTTGCACACGCACAGTTTTATTTGGCCTTGACCACCGTCCATCACGACACTGAGATATGGGGAGAAGATGCTAACGAGTTCAACCCGCTGAGTTTTTCCGAGCCTCAAAGCCATTTAGCCTCGTACTTTCCATTTGGTTTGGGTCCTCGAATCCGTGCAGGCCAATATTTGGCTCTTGTTGAAGCATCAGAACACAGATATCTTAAGTCATATTGCAACCATATGTGATTGTATTTTCTACGAACTTCCCTTTATTTCCGGTGACTTTAAGATTGTAAGTGGAATTTGACTTGTAACTTTGGTCGATTCTTTTTGCATTCAAGTTCGAATTTTCCTTCTGCACTAATTACCTCATTTTAGAATATTGAATTGTCAACAAGAAAAAGATGCAAACTCGACATCAGTCACACTGCTATGGAGAGGAATAGTAGTTACTTGAAGTGAAAGAAACCGCGTAAGTCAAGAATAGGAGAGTTCCGAAATAAGTAATGGAACAACTATTCTTTTGTCAATCTAACTTTAATATCCTTAATAATAAATTAAGAATTTTAACGGGAGACGTATATACTTTCCACTCCGTTTTCGTTCGTGTTTAGTAAGCTCATGGAAATTTAGTAGTACAGCTGAGCAGGCCAAAAAAAGAAGAAAAAAAAGATGTTTCTTAGGCTGTCAGAGACTCAGAAAGTTCAACCCTTTACATTTTCCGGTAAAATAAAGAAAGTTCAACACTTGTTTGCACGAACAAAAACGCGTCCTCCCCTGCTCTAAATGTTATGGAATAAGGGCATTTCAAAGACGGAGGATCTCTTTTCACCTAATTCATCTAGTTTGGAATCTGGATCGTTGAAATTTGATCTAACGGCTATGTAGTCGTTATTATCACTTTTAAAGGGGTTCTTTATTTATAACCGTTAGATCAGATTTCAACTGCTCGGATGCCAAACTAAGTGGATTAGGTGGAAAGGAATCCAGAGATGATCCCTTTCCTTCTAAGACCATCTCTAACCCATTAGATAAAATTTAAAATAAAAGCCTTAAACTTCCCAAACCATCTTTAATCATTGGGCTAAAATAAGTCATAGAGAGAAAATATATTTTTGGGCTAGATTCTTCCCAAGATTTAAGTCTAACTTAAATTATTTTGAACCCACAAAACTGTCATATTTCAAACATTTATTTATTTATTTATTACTTATAATCTAACTGCTGTTATCAAATGAGATCAAATCTAATGGTAAAAAAAAAAAAAAAATTGAGTGCCCAAAATTAAATATAACATCTTAAATAATTTAAGAAAATTATTTAAATCAAATTTCACTTAAAACTTTATAAATACCTATGTATTTGTATGATTTTTAATTATTTATCGAAATTTAAATATTTTTAGAATAAAATGTTCATAAAAATAAATTAGGATAATCTACATAAATTTTATTTTCAAAAAAAGTTACAGAGAAAAAAAAATTAGGCTAAAATTATTATTTAATAATTTCGGGCTAAAATTTTAAGCCATAAGGTTGGAGGAGAATAACAATTTATGGGTTATGGCTTACAATTTTGTGGCTAAAATTTTTAAGCTTTATCCTTGGAGATGGTCTAATGGGACCATAAATAGGAGTCCATACAACTGTATATACCTTAAATCTAGGGACAAAGACTTTTAATGAGTCGGAATATATAGAGACTCGACAGATAATTAAAAAAAAATTCTTAAATGTGAGAACTGTATATATGGACTCAAAGAGTGGGTGTATTGTTAATTTTGAGTGGCAAACAAATCTCACCCACATGAGAATGCTACACATCGTCAACTCATTTTTTTTTTCTTGATTTTTTATGTGAATGCTAGTAGCTATTCCTGCAACTTTCCTTTTACTTTTGAACCGTCGGAAAACCAATGGTAGATATAACTTTTATATTTTTATACCCAACCCCAATAATCCAACGAAATGAATATTAATTGGTGGTGGAAGTCCTATTTCTCCCGATGCTCTAACACTTAAAACGAAAATTAAAATTTAAACATTGAAAAATAAACTTTAGAACATCATTTGAATAATCCCCGATGACTTTTCAAAAACCTGTCTTAGTTTTTGTAGGCAATTTTTTTCCTAGTCTTCTAATCGAATTAAACATTGAAAAATGAACTATAGAACGTCATTTGAATAGGAACCGGATCCATATATACTGAGCCTACTAAACAAGCGATCCGAGCCGTTTAAATTTGATTTAACGGCTACAATTATTATAACTTTTAGAGGGTCCTTGTTTGTAGTCGTTGAATCAAACTTCAACTATCCGGATCGCCTGCTCTGCAAGCTCAATTTTATTGAATCTAGAGGGACCCGGTTCCATATGAATAATCGCGGATGACTTTTCAAAAACCTGTCTTAGATTCCCTAAAGACTTTTCTTATTGAAACTTAAAAATCGACACAACCGCTCAACTCTCTCTGTATAAGAACCACCAACTACTCTTTTGCAGCTTCACTTGTTCAGGCCAAAAAGCAGCTTCTGCTGTCAGCAGCAGTGTTTTTGTGGGAAGCAGCGTTTGTACAAACCCAGAAAAGCTTTCGTGATGCATTTTCTTCTTCTTCTGACTTTCCCTCTTCTTATCCTCATCTTCAAATTTGTGTACTCAACTATATGGGTACCACTGAGGACACAAACCTATTTCCAAAAGCAAGGCCTGCGGGGCCCCGCCTACCGTCCGGTCGTCGGAAACTCGGCCGAGATCCGCCGTATGTTCGCGGAAGTTCTCTCCAAGCCGCTCCCTTTCGACCACGACATTGTTCGACGCGTTACCCCATTTTACTACCGGTGGTCTTTGATGTACGGGAAGAATTTCGTCTACTGGTTCGGGTTGAGGCCCCGAGTGGCAATATCCGACCCGGATATGATCAAGGAAGTCCTTTTAAATTCGGGTGGGTCGTTTAGAAAGGTACCGTCTACACCTCTGACTAAGTTTTTGTTTGGTGACTGGGGGCTCGTCGGCCTCGAGGGCGATAAATGGGCTTTTCACAGAAGGATCGTGAACCAGGCCTTTAGAATGGATCGTGTCAAGGTGAGAACTCCGTTCTTGCACAGTCATCTAGCGTTATCAATTTAATACAATATATCCATATTTATTACTGAACATTATGTTTAAGGTTCATAGTAGCGTATCAACTATTTTGTCCGTCCATATTATATCCGGTAAATTAGTAGCGTAATTGTGAAACAAAAAGGTTTCGCATTACAAACGGAACCCCAAGTTAGTTAAGCACTAAATGGCTAGAAAATTGATTTGTTACTGGTTTTAATACAACAGAGTTGGGTTCCCGGGATTGTGGAAAGTACGATGAAGATGTTGGAGAAATGGGAGGACGTAAGAGGAGGGAGGGAAGAGTTTGAGTTGGATGCGCACAAAGAACTTCATGAGCTCTTAGGGGAAGTCATATCGAGGACGGCTTTTGGAAGCAGTTTCGAGGAGGGAAAACATGTTTTCGACTTGCAAGAACAACAAATGCATCTTTACATTAAGGCAGCAAGGAGCATCTACATTCCTGGATTCAGGTGGAGTAATTTAAACCTTGTTCGTATATATATGTTCTCCTAATCCTTCGTTACCCTCGTTTGTTGTCGTTTATATACGCGCTAATTACTGAGATATTCTTAGTTAAACAAGGCGGTTCTATTGATTGGTTTTCTTGGCATGCAGGTTTTTGCCTACCAAGAGTAACAGAGAAAGGTGGAGATTAGATAAGGAAAGTAGTGAATCCATACGGACGTTGATTGCGAAAAATGGCAAAAAGAAGGGAGAGTCGAGAAATCTGCTTAGTCTGCTAATGACGCCATACAAGAATCCGGATGGTGAAGAGGAAAAGCTAGGGATACAGGAAGTTATAGATGAATGCAAGACCTTCTACTTTGCGGGAAAAGAAACAACAGCTAATCTTTTGACTTGGGCACTACTACTTTTGGCACAGCATCCGGAATGGCAAAGCAAGGCTAGGGAAGAAGTATTCCGTGTTTTTGGAGACAATCAGCTCCCGGTTGCAGAGAATTTGAATGAACTCAAAAATGTAAGCTCGGTCTATTTATTTCGCCAACATAACGAAATCCATTCCCGTTTATTTGTATCACTGATGTACTACGCTTTGGATAAAAGTAGTACTTAAATTACAGAAACAAGTTGCTTGATCCTCGCATTTTGTTTATTTTCTGTCACTTTTTGAACAGGTAACTATAATCATTAATGAAACGCTCAGGCTATACTCTCCAGCCGCGATGCTTATGAGGGAAACAACAAAGAAGGTAAAGCTCGGGAGCCTGGAAATTCCTGCTGATGCACAGCTTTATTTGCCGTTGATCGCTGTCCATCACGACACTGAGAAATGGGGAAAAGATGCTCACGAATTCAATCCATCGAGGTTTTTGGAATCTCGAAGGCATTCAGCCTCGTTCATCCCATTTGGCCTGGGGCCTCGAATCTGCGTAGGTCAAACTTCGGCTGTGGTTGAAGCAAAACTAGCGTTAGCATGTAAGGTTGTGAATGACAATGAATGATGTATTGGATTACTTATGTTGTAGGCCACTTGTTTAGTGAGTTGTTAACAACTTAAGTAATCTGATAATCCTAATAAAATAAAGATTATGGAGTCTTATCCCTTGCAATTGACCTAAAGAAATCTGATGGATTTCGCTACAAAGATATAGTATCATGGTGGGACTTAAACACTTAAGTGATAGGGTTTGATTTCCACAACCAATAATAGGCCGGCTGTGATTAAACCCTAATGATATAAATACTATGGTTAAGTCCCTGCTTCCACACGCTCAATCTCTCAAAAATACGCTAAACCCTATTCACAGCAGAGAGATATTTTGTAGTACTGGAAGTAGAAGACGACCTAGAACTCTGCAATGTCTTCCGTATTCTACAGATAAGTTTAATATAATTAGTTAATCTCTATTTTATATTGATTTGATTTATTAGTGATCCTAATGTCTTGTTGTTGTGATTTCAGAATATGTCTTACATGTGGTATCAGAGCCGCACAACAAGCTTAGGGTCCGATATAAAGGTATAAGCAAATTTGTTTATGGAATATGATTCACGTACTAAAGAAAATTTGCTTATCGTTTTGGTTGGATGCCTTTTACTGTTCCATCTCATGAAAATTTGTTTTGATGCTTCCGCAATTTTGTGTTGGTGTGCAATGATTTTTCATGGTTAATAATATATGGATTGGCCTGGGTGGTGACTATGCATAGTAGTTTTCATGAAATTTAATTATTTATTTTTCTTTTTGGCTCTCATTTAATTATTAAGAGTGGGTTTGTTTTTGGTTTGACTAATCGCGCTCTTGTGATATAATTCTGGGGTTTTTCTTGCTTACGCGCTTTTTCTTCTTGTATGGATATGTTAACCTTGTATTGCCAAGAAGATCGTGTCATCTATGTTGTGATTTTTCCAATTATATGAATCAAGTGTCTTTAAATAAATTATCTGTCTAATGCCAAAATAAAGAACTAGGAAAAGGGATTGTTGAATCTGGGCAATGAGGGTTTTCTTTCATAACCAGGCTTCTGTTTTCTGCATATTTTTCTTGCAATTTGTTTTTATCACGTTTACCTGGGCATCAAGATAAACTGAAATTAGGTATACAACTCTAACTGGGTTTGTTGTATGCGACTTTATGGACTCCTATTTGATAATTATGAATTAATAATTAATATATATATATATATATATTAAGGTCCGGTGAACGATGACCTAATCTTATCTTGCGTAATATTTTGATTTATTATATAATTTTCTGATTATTAATTTAGTTGATAAATATTACCAGTTACTATTTGGTTATTAAAAAAAAAAAAAACAAAGGGTTAAAAACATGCGAACAGTAAAGGGTTTCTCCCTCGCGTGAGGTTGCTGTTCATCAATGCTCAGCTTACACCAACCTCCTTCAATCACTGTAATGCTTGACTTGAAGCTTGAAATTTCGGGTTATTCCCGCGAAGGTATGAAACTGTGTTTCATAAATTATTGCAATTTGGTTGAATTGAAATTAAGCTTTTGGTTTCAACTGAATTGATTTTGTGACACTATAATTGAGAAGTTGAATACTATCTTGTTGTTTCTGAGCAAATATAGTGTTTTCATTTGGGATTAATTCAATTTTGCATTTTTCGACTCTTATCCTTATAGTGCATATGCAAATGAAAAAGTAAGTTTTGGTTCTTGGTTATTTCTCTATGAAATGATAGTCGCTTCTATTATTGCAATGAATATTACTTTTAGTATTCTATATAACTGATGTAATTTTCATAAGGAAAACCATTCATGACAATAACCTGGGCTTAATAGACTTTCATAACTCCAAATGTTATGAAATTTTGTCATATTGTAATATAGAATGGATTGTAGAAACTGGTATTATTTTTTTTTTTTTCACGTTTTTTGGACAAGAAATGGACTTGTGGTAAATTTTTAAGTGTGATACCATGTTGCTGGAAGCCTGCAGACTTCTGCAGAATAGTGTGTTTGTAATATTATTTTGATATATTTATGTAATTGATAAATTCAAGAAATTTTAGTATGATATACATTGAGATATTTATTTCAAATTTGGAAATTTTCACAAGCATTAGTTTGAAAATGAATTATTAGTGAATTTTTAATCTCGAGACTGTACTGCAGAATTAATGCAGTTTCAGCAGCACATTCCATTTTGATTTTATTTTTAGCCCACTTGTAAAATCAAACAAATTATGAAATTTTGGGGGACAGTAAATTTATATGTCTACTTCATTTCTAAAAAAAAAATTTCGTGCACATTGGAGGAAGATTGAAGTTTTGGTGAATTATTTAGTCTCGGGTATGTTTTGCAGAATTTCTGTTGTTTCAGCAGCACAACTTATTTCGAATTTGTTTTTAGTACACTTGTAAAATCTCAAAAATTATGAAATTTTGGGAAATAACAGATTTTTATGTTTACTTTATGTCTGAAAATTCTGATCTATATCAGATGAACAATGAATATTTGGTGAATTTGTAATCTCAGGTCTGTACCGAACATTTTCTGCATTTTCTGCACCTCTCTTTTCGAATTCATATTTTGGCCAGCTTAAAAGTTTTAAAAATCATGAAATTTTGCAAAATAGTAGCCATATATGTCTAGTGCATACCTAAAAATTTTTATGGCAATCTAACGAGAATTGATTTTGAGTGAATTTGCAAACAAAAGTAGTATTGCTAAGTTTTGAATTTCGAAAACTACATATGTTCTGAAATATTGTTTTCAGTGATTTGTGCACATCTAATGGTATCAACTGTTTGACATGTTTAATTGCTCCTATTTGTTCTTATCTTGTGCAAATTCTCAATTTTAATGATTTTTTTTATTAAGCAACACTGATTAAATTTGGTTGAAAAGAATGTATTGGTTTATTTTGCTCAAACCAATATTTTGTTTGGTCATCAATTATGATTACGATGATCATTGTCTTTTGAGACAAAAATTGGAAAGTGATATCAGTTTACTAATTGATCATTTTGGTCTCTATCGAATAACTGAATAACCATGTTTCCTCTTTCGAGAACTCTATTGTTCAACGTCAACAACGACATACTTTTGTGTCTGATTGAATCTTTTGAGAATCATTAAATATCCAACAAAACGGTTATTTAATATTGTTCTAAAGGATTATTTTGAAAAATCAGAATTCTAATTTATATGGTGAATACTTTTGTCCCAATGGGAATTTCAGGAAATCACTCACCAATTATAAATTAGTATTATAGCAAATCATGAAATACTTTTGACATATGTTCATCTGGCCAAAGCTGTTGAAACTATATGTATTTTGTGTATTTTATGTTTTAGCTAGCTATGCAGGTATTTTCTTTGCATGATTAGTTTCTGCCCAAAGGTGTAACAATTATGCAATTTGGAGTTTGTTCGATCCTCCACAACTCGACTACTTCCATGATGAATCTTGCAGAATCAAGAATGAGTAGGTAAATTTGCCAATCTTTTGCCTTAATTTTCTGTAAGTTCTAAATTGGATTAAAATTATTGTTGAAAATTTGATGTTGTTAAGATATCTATGTGTTTACTTTAATCGACTTTGTTTTAGAATTAAAACATAAATTTTGAGTTTGGATTCTCTTATTAGGTTTCATTTTAATTTATGACCTAAGCTTTAACACGTATGTGAGTCTTCTCTCATACACTAAAATACATTTTGTAGCCATTGGTTTATCTAATCACTTGTCACTTTTAGATCAATTAATAATGTTGAGATATTGTTCCTTATATAAGCCTAATTTTGATACATATAGATTGGTTTATTTTGTCCAAACCAACTATTTTGTGACACAACAAATTTGTTTAAGAAATTTTAATGTTTTGGGCATATTAACGGTTATTTCTCTAATGAAATGAACCTTTAATTTATTTAAGAAATTTTCGTGTTTTGAGCATATTAAAGATTGTAAATTGATTTTATTTAAATTATGATTAATTCTGAAATTTTGGTAGAGCCTACACACTATCTTTATTGATTCAACTAGCCTATATTTTGTTATATGAAAACCACTTTCTCTAGTGTTTAATCTTGCAATTTTGAGTGTTTGCCCAAGTGGGAGAAAGAATTTATTATGGGCTTCACACTCATCAATTTTGCATGCTTTTAATGGTCATAGTTTTGGTAGATAAAACGTACATTATCATACTTGTTTATATTTTATTTGTTATATATGCAACTAATCTTGTAGGAAATTCAATAAGGGTTAATAAGTATATTCTGCTCAAAAGTGTTTTGCTTATTAATTCTTGTATGTTGTTCAAGAAATTGGACTTGTGATTTATATGTTATTGATGGATAATTAATCTGCTCAAAAGTGTTTTCTTATTCAGCACAACTATAAATCAATGTATAGTGAAGCATGGAATTGACAAGATGGTATATACTTCATCTGCTCAAAAGTGTTGAAGCTATATATGTTTACCCTTGTATTTTATGTTTTAGCTATGCAAACCTAATATAATTAGTTTCTGTCCAAAGATGATTCTAGAATTATATGCTTTTGATGCATTAGAAAACATTTAGTTAAAGTTTTCTATTTCTGTCAAATGTTAGATGAACAAAACTGACCAAATGATTTTGTATAGTTTTTCAGTCACAAGAGTCACTTCCCTACAAATATCTAGAATAAAGATGTTGAGCTCACAAATTTTATGTTTTAGATCCCATGACTAATGTTTTGCTAATGGGAGTATTTGAAAGGTATATGTTTCATTTTGTAGGCATTTATAAAGTTTTTTTTTTTTTTTTTACTCTCTTAATCAGTGGGAGTAATAATTTGTTTATCTCTACTAATCAGTGGGAGTAAGAAATTACCTTTTGTGTTAAAAATTTGAAGTGTTAGTGGCTGATAATTTAAGAGTAAATTTTGTTTAAGTTTTGTTTATAAGTTTTAATAAGAGGTTCTGATTTTGTAAACAGTATGTCATATTTTACTTGTTCTCTTATCATATTCTAAATTGACAGAAAAGTTGGATGTTGTCACCAACGTTGTTGAGTTCTTTTGTGAACTACTTTTGTACCATATTTCAGTTCGACTATTGTGAGCTAATGTTTTGACTATTAGCTCTTGACACCATGACTTTGATAGCAACAAAGTGCTTTTAAGTTGAATGTGTATGTGATCTTGGAGTGCAAGGAACAGACCAAATTGTTCTTTGTTTTCTTTGGTTCTACATTCGATTCAAAGTGACACGTTGCTAGGAAAGGTTGTTGCATACTTATGAAGACTCAGTGATCACCATGAGTTCTTATTTGTTAGGATAAATCATTGACATTCAAGTGGGAGAATGTAAGGTTGTGAATGACAATGAATGATGTATTGGATTACTTATGTTGTAGGCCACTTGTTTAGTGAGTTGTTAACAACTTAAGTAATCTGATAATCCTAATAAAATAAAGATTATGGAGTCTTATCCCTTGCAATTGACCTAAAGAAATCTGATGGATTTCGCTACAAAGATATAGTATCATGGTGGGACTTAAACACTTAAGTGATAGGGTTTGATTTCCACAACCAATAATAGGCCGGCTGTGATTAAACCCTAATGATATAAATACTATGGTTAAGTCCCTGCTTCCACACGCTCAATCTCTCAAAAATACGCTAAACCCTATTCACAGCAGAGAGATATTTTGTAGTACTGGAAGTAGAAGACGACCTAGAACTCTGCAATGTCTTCCGTATTCTACAGATAAGTTTAATATAATTAGTTAATCTCTATTTTATATTGATTTGATTTATTAGTGATCCTAATGTCTTGTTGTTGTGATTTCAGAATATGTCTTACATAGCACTCATCATCCGGTGCTATTCTTTCACGGTGTCACCAACATATGTTCATGCCCCCATGCTGTTTTTAACTTTACAGCCCCAGTACGGCGCTCAGATCCTCTTCACGAAGATTTCAAATTGAAAATTTTGGAGGTTTTCCGACAAAGAAATTTGGGGCAGAAATTTGTGTGGATTTTTTTTTTTTTTTTTGTTGATTTATTTATGCAATAAGAGCTTGGCATGCAATTTCAAATTAGGGTTTCTGTCCTTCAGAGTACTTGCCCATCAATAACTTATGATGTTCTTTCAATTTGGCTTCTTGATTTTTACTTTGGTTATGAGTCGCATTTAAAATGTGTCAATTTGCCCTCATTTGTCACTTTTTTTTTTTTTTGTGAAATAAACATATTTGGTCAAACGCATTTTACTTACGTTTTTATCAGGAAAAAAAATTCATAAACATATTAAATAGGTACGCATTACAATTTGATGGTTGTGTTTGTTGAGCAATTTTGTGTGTCTCTCAAGTAGAATTACTATTCAACAAATTGTAAAAAAAAATTATTAGGATGTTGTTATTGTTACTCCAAAAAGAAGTGTTTGTCGATTTTTCTCTGAACTTGTGAGGAGAGGTCAATTTTTCTCATGAGCTTTCATTTTAGCCAATTATGCCCTTAAACTTTTATGATTGACAAATTTCCCTTGAACTTTAATTTTAGCCGATACCCTCTAAACTTTTATAATTGGTCAATTTCTCCCAAAACTTTATTTTTTTAATTGCAAAAAGGTAATTTTATCCCTAATGTGGACACATATATATATATTTTTTTCTCTCTTTCTCTTCTTCTTCTTCTTTTCCGCTAGTTCACTCAATACACTTCTTGTTTGAACTTTAGGGTTTAAGAGAGAAATTAAAGTTCGGGGAGAAATTGCCCAATTGTAGAAGTTTATGAGGTAATCGGCTAAAACTAAAATTCAAGAGAAGAATTAACCAATTATAAAAGTTCGGGGTAAATCACATATAAAATGACAAAAGTGCACTCCTAATCTTTTGTATAGTTTAACATTATATCAAAATCCACTCATTTATTTTCTCATATACACATACATAACCTAACTTCCACTTTTTTTATTTTATTTGTAGAAAGGTTAATTTATAACCTACCTTCCACATTTTTTAACAGAACAAGACCTACCTTCTACTTCAACTCTCATCATGTTACACATATATAATCATTATCGTTTATCTTCTCATTTGAAAATTGAAATGACAAATTTTTTATTGTAATCTAATCACAATTATGGGAGGAAAGATACGAACTCAGTTTATAAAAAGAACACTTAACACAACATTTAATAAAGTTTAACGACAAATACGATATTGATGTATGATAGTTAAATTGGAAGACGATATTGATCAATATTTGAATTCAAAGACTAAATCATGTGGTTGCGCTCACATCAACGCGCCACCAGCTTATCCTCCAATTATATTGGACAAAATCAAGAAAATATGGCAAAGAGTCCAAAGACTTCGGATAAATGTCTTCACGTACCGGTCGGATCTAGTTGTTCAGCCGTCAGCACAATTACCAAACCACCATCGTATGAGATCGTAAACTACCGGTAGTGTTCCGTAAATATCAGTACAACCAGTGGTTAAACAGTCAGTAAATTCAACGCTCCATCTGAAGTGAAAAAACCCTAAAGCATAAAACCCGTGAAATTGGAATTTTCCGGGACTCAACTTTTCTAACCGTTGAAGGCGATCGTCGGATTTTTGGGTCTCGGGGAAATAAGGGATCTAGTTTTTGATTTTTCTGGATTGGGGCTTCGAATCCGATCGCGGCTAAGCACGGTGAGATTTCTATTTCTTTGATTCAGCTATTTTCCATTATTTTAAGTATGATTTGTGTTATTTTGGGAGATTGAATTTGAATTTTTATTTTTTCCTGGAGTTTTGCTATACGGTTTATATTGTAAACTACGAGGGGCGGGTACGCTGCCCGGGGGAACTGGCCTAACTCACGTCTGCCTGATTAGATACATGTTATTGTTAGCTGGCTACTCGGTTTTCTTTAATTTTCAATTTTCTGGTTTATATAGAGATATATCTGATTGCTTGTGGATTATGGAGATTTTTCTGCGGAATTTGTGCTGATACAAATTTCGATGGCTGATTACGTGCACCGTTTGTGTTCGTTTCTCAGGATTTTGAACGATCGTGATATATTGGTTCGAGATAGGGGATCATGTGATTAGTTAATGTAGGATTAGATGTGCATATAGTTATGAGATTTAATTTTGCGTACGGTGGTGGCCTTTGTGTTATGTGCCATAGAGGGGTTGAAGCTAAGCTGTTTTGTTTAAGAGGGTAAGATGACATCTTCTTACTTGTCGAAGATTAGGACTGCGTTGCAGAGATCGATTGTTGGGCAGGAAGGAGCGCTTCAGGAATCGGTAGATGGGTTAATTGGGCAGGGAAAATTGTTGTTTGGAAATTCTAAGTTGTTCCAGTCGAGACCGTTTTCAACTATTTCAGACCTCCAAGCATTGTTTTCACCAGGCATTGTTTTTGCTGCGAGGTTGGATTCGCAGCTAGTTAATAAAAGAAGGAACATTTCTGTTGTTGAAGAGATTTCGCGCATTATTTCAACCCCGTCTGTGTCAGGGCCTTCAATTCAGGTTTGTGGGTATCATATCGATTGTGCGCTTTCTGAGCCCAGTCAGTTTGTGACCAGAAGTAAGTTTCAGAATAAACCTATGGCTGCTTGCGGTTCTAGAACTTTATTTGGGGGATGCTGCCCAGATAATTTAACTTCAAGGTGTGGGCTTCATGCAATGGTACCCGAAAGTGCCTGTACATTATACAACAAAAGAAGTTTGGACTGTTTTCAAACAGCTAGCATGAGTTTGAAAACAAGTGGGCAGTCCAACACTAATGCAATTTATGGGTATTTCATGTATGAAGTTGGAAAGAGATGGTGTAATTCCTCCCCAAGTAAAGGATCAGGGTCAAGAGAATTTCATGGTTCATCAACATGCTCATCTACAAGGACTGCCCATGACGTGTCTTTCGATAGTTCTGCTCATGAAGGGCAAGTTTCAAGTTCTGCTCCTGAGGAGCAACTTTCAAGTTCTGCAGATTCATCTAATGAGTAAGTTGTAGAGACCAGGTTTTATCTCAAATGCTTTGTCATATTTGTCTCTGAGATGTTATTTCTTTGTTGTCTTATCTAGTTGAGAGGCATATTTTATATTTTAAATGCTCATCTCGACTGATTTCATTTTTTCTAGTTCTCTGTGTAACATACATCCTGCGGCTAGGGTTTCCTTTATTTTAATAGAAAGTTAGCTGTGATGAGAAATTGCATAGTTATAGAGTTAGGATACTTTGTAGGTTTCTGGATTTGATGAGAAGAAATCACTAAACCTTGATATGTGTTCACAAGTCACAATTAGTATTCTTTTTTGTTCAATAATAACCTGCATATTTTGGTACATAAGTATGTACTAACTTATTGGAATATAAGGTATTCTGTGGTGGAAAAGTATTTGGTCCGATGTAATTTGTCTTACTTTAAGTAGTGCAATAAGTCTCAGCATTTGTTAAACATACATTGCTATGATTACAGGAAGATTACAGATGGAAAGTCCCTCAAACTAACTTCAGGATCGTACTACCTGCCCCATCCTGATAAAGAGGAAACTGGCGGGGAGGATGCTCACTTCATTTGTGCGAATGAACAAGCAATAGGGGTGGCGGATGGTGTTGGTGGCTGGGCAGATCTCGGTGTTAATTCCGGATTGTACTCCAGAGAACTGATGTCTAATTCTGTGGCCGCTGTTCAGGAGGAGCCCAAGGGTTCCATTGACCCTGCTCGCGTATTGGAGAAAGCTCACTCGAGCACAAAAGCCAGGGGTTCCTCAACGGCATGCATCATAGCACTCACAGAACAGGTGTGGAACTTCTCTTCGTTCTAAGCAGGATGTTTAATGCTTGTATCAAGGAACTAATATCCATTCTTGTGACACTGTTTAAAATTGCCGTATGCTGAAATAATGAACTTTGTAGTAAAATTAACTTTGGAAGTCTCATCTCTTATGTTTTATTTTCTTGTAAGAGTGGTTTTTGTAGATTAATTGGATTGCAAGGATCTGATAATAATGCTATTTTATCATACCGACTATTTGGGGACTTGCATTAACTGTTTGCTATCTCCCTGCAGGGTATTCATGCAGTTAATTTAGGTGATAGTGGGTTTATAGTGGTTCGAGATGGGTGCACCGTCTTTAGATCCCCTGTGCAACAGCATGATTTTAACTTTACCTATCAACTGGAGAGTGGAAACAGCGGTGATCTACCTAGCTCTGGCCAGGTTAGCATCAATGTTTCCGAAATTTCTCTATGCTGGTTGATAAATATGGCATAATAGATTGAGTTTGTTGCAGAAGCAAGTTACAACGTCACTTAGAACATGATTTCATGATTTTTCATTTAATGTTTCAAGTGTCCTGGAATGATTGTCGTACATATAACAAAGCTAAGATGGTTTTGTATGATTCAGGTTTTTACAGTCCCTGTTGCACCCAGGGATGTTATAGTTGCCGGAACTGATGGCCTGTTTGACAACTTGTACAACAACGAGATTACTGCAGTAGTGGTCCATGCCATAAGAGCTGGCTTAGGGCCTCAGGTGACAGCGCAGAAGATTGCAGCGTTGGCACGCCAACGAGCACAGGATCGAGACCGGCAGACGCCTTTCTCCACTGCCGCTCAAGATGCTGGGTTCCGTTATTATGGCGGCAAGCTTGATGATATAACTGTTGTTGTTTCATATGTGACCAGTTCAAATGATCCATGACACAAACAATTGGACTCTCTCTCTCTCTCTCTCTCTCATGTATATGCTGCACTTCTTCCTCTTTCCTTCGTCTCCCTTTTTGCTCACTTGGATAAAATTCCATTGCATTTCTTTTGTCATGACGTTACTTTTACTTTATTATGTTCTTCTTTCTTTTGTTTTTATTCACGTATACTCTTCTTTTTACCTTTTCTCCTTTTTTTGCGCTCTGTTTATACTCGACTATTTATTTTTACACCCAACCTACTATGTCCACATATTTTATTTGATTTATCTATCAAAATCTCTTTACACCCAACTTTAGTTCCTAAACTACCCTCATTTGGTATAAAGAAACCTACTCTATCTAATCTTTTTACAACTTTTTTTTGCATTTGTTATTGTTGTCAAGCTGATGAATATTATTCCTGAAAATTTTATTTAAACCTAGCTTTCTTATATCTATATGCAACTGAAAAAATTTATATATCAAACTTTCAAGTTTGTCCTTAAATAAATTAAAAAGAAAAATTAATTTTATAACCCAAAACGCAAACAACAACAATATTCTCTCCACACCCTTTGTGTTTATTCTGGAGAACCCAATCCTAATAACGGCATCGTGTGTGAAAAAAATGAAATAAGACTAAGTCTCTCAGAAATGTTTCAAGAGGGAGTTTTATGGGAAGACGAAAATTCAGAAAAGAAAAAAAAAAGAAAAGAAAATTAGAAGGTTGAATGGAGTATCCCGAATCTGCCTTCCCTATAGTTTCACGAACCATAAATGACCGCATTTAGATGGATTGTGGTGCTACCAGTCCTTTATCACATAATAGTATAATATTAGACTGAAATGCTATACTTAGATGTGGAAAAAGGATCCTCGTCGGATTCTTTTCTTAGAAATTCTAAAGATTCCGTGATTATGATCATTTATCGTATATCATGTGGTCAGTTTTCGTTAGGTGTTATTTATATTTAATTTTAAATTTTAAAATAATTTTTTATCGTACGATATACGATGAACGGTTACAATCACGGAATTTCTAAAATCCCTATCCTTTTTCCTTAGATGTAACCCTTCTTTACTAGACTTTCGGTGTTAGGCCCACTAGGACTGGTTAAACTGAAACTAAATTAACTGTCCACCCAAAAAACGACAAACTTCACACACAAAAAAAACACACCTAGTCTTGGCCGATGTGCAAACAAAGACAGCAATGATGGTTATCTAGTTCCGTACATGCAAAGCACCGAATCTTTGCCAGCTCGATCTTTTCCCTCTCTCATCAGCCCCCCGGAGAGAGCAACCCCGCTGCTCCGCTGTTATTTTTGAAAGAGATAGTGGCAACTCCACCACAACCGCCGCAACCACCACCGCCGCAACTGGTAGAGTACTAATCGAATACTGATTTGTTTCATCTCTTTCTCGCCAACGGCTGTGAACGACTCGAGAGAGATTGGAAGAAGGTGGGAATGATGGCAGGTCGTAGAGAGGGGTCGTTGATGAGGGACAAGACGCAGTCGTTTCCTGGATCTCGAATCGTGACCGCCATTGTCATCGGAATCCTACTCGGCTTTGTCGTCGCCTACTTGTTTCCTCACGGATTCCTGGGCTCCGATAGGCCTATCCAAAACCGCAGAGTCGGGAAATCGGATCTCCAGGTTTGGATCTCGCTTCCCTAATTTACTCACTCACTGCCTTTTCGCTTTTAATCAGCGCTAATTACATATCTGATCGCTTCATTTAGTGATTATAGAACTTACATGTAAAGCTTACATTTTTCTGAGAAATTGGATTCAGTTTCTAATCAATTTAATCCAGAAGCAGTTACGAAGTGTTGTTCGGGATTGCAGAAAGCACTTCCAGCAGTTAAGAAGTGCTTTTATTATAAATTGGTTAATTTTTTTTTATTAAAATCCAAGTGCATCTTCGGCGGGCTCTTCTCGAAAAAGCGTTTCTGCGATCCATAATTTTTTTATTTTATTGTTTGACTAAATTATTGCAATGGTTCCTCAACTTTAATCAAATTAGAGTAATGATCTCTTAACTAAAAATTCGTTACCTTCCCTCAACTTATTAAAATGTGTAATTATGGTCATTTTCGTCAACTTCGTCAAAATTTTGTTAAAATAAGTTATATTGGAAGGACCATTGCTACAATTGGGGTCCCTCGATTCATCAAAACGTGTAGCTAAGATGTCATATAACAATTTACTCTTTTTTTTTCTTTTTTTTTTTGGGCAAAACGTTGTCGGAAGTGCTTTTGATGTCATATAACACTTTTAACCTTCTAGAAGCATCGATCTTTAGTCTGCATTAAGCTTACAGATTGTATTTGGTATTTTAGAAGTATCGATATAATGCTAAATAGCATAATTTTTTAAAATGTGGAACGATGTCATATGGCTGGCTATGCGATTTTTGCTTGCAGATTAGCTCATCACAATGTGAATCAACAGAACGGATTACCGCGTTGAGGTCCGATATTGCATCATTGTCGGACAAGAATGACGAGCTGAAGAAGGAGGTGCAGGAACTAACTGAAAAGCTACGTCTGTCTGAACAAGGAAAGGATCATGCACATGATCAGTTTTCTGTGTTAGGTAAACCACATAAGGCTGGCCCTTTTGGTACCGTCAAGGGCTTGAGAACTAACCCGACAGTCGTTCCTGATGAATCCGTGAATCCGAGGCTGGCAAAGATCTTGGAGGAAGTTGCAGTTCAAAGGGAGCTTATAGTTGCACTTGCGAATTCAAATGTGAAAGTCATGTTGGAGGTATGGTTTACTAGCATCAAGAAAGTTGGTATAACCAATTATCTGGTAGTAGGATTAGACGATGAAATTGAAGAATTTTGCAAAGCTAATGACGTTCCTGTGTACAAGAGAGATTCGGACGAGGGTATTGATCCAATTGCGAAGAAGGGAGGTAACCATGCCGTCTCAGGGTTGAAGTTTCGCATCTTGAGGGAGTTTCTGCAACTAGGTTATAGTGTTCTTCTCTCGGATGTTGATATAATATATTTGCAAAACCCGTTCAATCATCTTTATCGAGATTCTGATGTAGAGTCCATGACTGATGGTCACAATAACTATACAGCTTATGGATTTAATGATGTGTTTGACGAACCCTCTATGGGGTGGGCTCGTTATGCTCACACGATGAGGATATGGGTTTATAACTCTGGTTTCTTTTACATAAGACCTACGCTTCCTGCAATTGAGCTTCTTGATCGTGTGGCTGAACGACTCTCTAGGCCACAAAAAGCATGGGACCAAGCAGTATTCAACGAGGAACTATTTTTCCCTTCTCATCCGGGGTACAGTGGGCTTCATGCTTCCAAGAGAACAATGGATTTCTATCTGTTTATGAATAGCAAGGTCCTCTTCAAGACGGTCAGGAAAGATGCTAACTTGAAAAAGTTGAAACCAGTAATCCTTCATGTAAACTACCACCCGGATAAACTTCCAAGGATGCAGGCAATTGTCGAGTTCTACTTCAACGGCAAGCAAGATGCGCTGGAACCTTTCCCTGACGGTTCTCAATGGTAGCGTAGTTCAACAGACTCCCGGATGGGCTAAAATCTACGTACACATGCTCTGTAATTCAATTGACACTGGTTTGGGTATATCGACTGCATCTTCTGAGGCCAATTCGAAGTATTGCTTCTTTCTTTTTTGCTTTTTCCTGTGTTTCCTTTCAAATTTTGGATTTATATGGATAGTAACATTTTAAGTTTCACTAGATATCTCCTGAGATGACCGTTGTTCTGTACCATATCATACCAAGAAATATAATTCAAGGGTTTCTCATCTTTCGTCATCGACAGCTTTGCGACATCCTTGGTCTTTTAATTCTGTATATTTATTCGCTTGATTGGATTTTGAAATGGATATTGTGTTTGACGTACAACCTTATTGAAACGGGGCAGCCTGAGCATTTGCCTCGGGTAAAGTCTGTAATATGACACATGATCCGGGAGAAACCGTCATACTGCCTGGTGGTGTTACGGTCAGTTGTCCTACATGTAGCAGTGTGACGCTCACAGATTGCCGAAAGTATCAAATTTATTAGTTACAAAATTTTCTGAAATCTTTGGATAAATTGCCCACCATGAAAATGCACAGCAGTCAACAGATTTCGGGTGCCTACCAAAACAAAATCGTAAATCCAAACTGCCCAATAAGCAATAGCTTCCTCCAACTCTATTGGACTCTTCCACTTATCCAGAGACACTTCCATCCAAATTCCGCGTTACTTTCTCCTGTTTTGTGTGGCCTCAAAATCCCATGCAAACATTCCTAACCCGATCCCCACCTCCTCCTCCTGAATTCTCCCTTTCGATTCCGATTTCGACAAATCGAAAAATCTTCCCCTGCAACTGTTTCAGTGAAACATAAAGGTTTCGTAAACAGTTGCCCGCCAATTTTTTCTCGTTCAAATTGTCTTCTGGTTGTGAGTTTTGTTTCGATTAACTGTTAGTTGGGACTTGGTTGGTGATTGAAATGCAGCGATTTTCGCAACGGGAGAGCCTTCTTCTCGGCTACAGTCCTCAGAGAGCGTTCGTCAACTCCGGTTCTTCTTCCCACCCTCCCACCAAAAACTCGGACGTTGATTTTCATGACGTTTTTGGTGGCCCGCCGAGGCGGTGGTCTGTTAACGACATGAGGTACAGCTTCAGCGAAGCTACCGAGAGCAGCGGACTGAAAGGGGATGCTGATGACGACGACGACGATGATGATTGGTCCGGTTTGAATGAGAAGCCGGTGTTCGGGGAAGCGTCCGTGAACAGAAGACGGACCCAGAGCGATGACTTCTTTGATGACATCTTTAATGGCAATCACTCTGTCAGTTCTAGTCTAAGGAGGTTTCAGAGGGACCCTTTTGCTTCGGCCCCAGGATCTCGGGTTCAAAGCCCCGCCCACCCCCTGCTGCACAAAACCGAGCCCTCTGCGGCTTCTTCACTGCCTGCACAATTCAGGTACCATAGAAACTTGAGGAACAAGAAATACAATATGTTTGAGCAGCTGCTAATTTTATGCATTATATATTGAATCAATCATGCGTTAATTACCTTATTTGCTTCAAAATTTCTCAGCCTCCCCGCCGGATTTAGCAAAGGGCTGGTGGAGCTGCCTCGTTCGAGTTCTCTTTCTAGATTTTCGAACCAAGCAATCCAAAGTCACAATAAGTCGAGAAATGATATTCGATCCAGTACTCGCCGGAGCTCCTCATACCGAGATTCTTCTCTTGTTGGCGAAGGGTCCTCAAGCTTGGCTACATCTGATGAAGCAGACACAGGAGGGAATTTGGAAAAGGATTCAAAGAGTTCGGAAAATGAAACTTCTAGCAGTCCGTTTCAGTTTCATTTCTCGATTTACAAGTGGGCAAGCAAAGGAGTGCCAATGGTGATGCCTCATAGGGGGCGGAATGGTTCAAGAGTGCAGAAAAGAACTAAAAATGAGGAAGGGTCGAGCACAAATGAATGCGTTGCTACTGAGAGTACGGGGAGGCAATCACCTAAATCCGCTCCGTCTAATACTGATTTTCCCTCCAATGAGCATCCACTCGATGATGATAGGTCTCCCACCGCGGAACTAATCAAACAAGAAAATGACTTGCTTGTTGGTGAAACCACTCCTGATAAAGTAGATCCACGACAATTTGTTGAGGAAGCGGTTCATCCCGTAGCTGAATCAGAAACCTTCAGCAGCCTTCGTGACACTGCTGAAGATGTTTCCAGTAACACCATTTCATCCCATAAAAGTGAAGATATAGAGCCTCATCCTATACTTCAAACAGCTTCTTCTGAAGACCGGCAGAAAGAAATTCCCGTGTTTATGGAGCAAGTTCACAAGCCAGATCCAAATCATGTTCGTTCTTTCTTTTTTGATGAAGATCTTCAACAAGGTATGTTAAATTCTTAACTGTCATGGCGAGGTAACTGTCATCATGTACTACCGCTGACACCACACCTGAATTTTCATATACAGGCAATGATGAGGTAACTAAATCGAGTGGTAAAAAGGAAAGCGTGGTTAAGGCACCAAAAAATCATCTGTAGATGTTGGCGGTAATAAGACTGCAAAACATCAGAACTTAAAAAGAAGTTCCTCGACTAAAGTTGAAGTTAATAAGGCAAGTTTCCAAGGTTCACCGAAGAACTCAGGAGATAATCTCAGGAGAAGCAAAGTTAAGGGTAAGGTGAAGGACATTGTTAAAATGTTCAACCAAGAAGTTTTGTGTAAACCCACATATGATGGTAGTGACCTTGGAAGTCGGAGCTATAGAATGAACGAGAAGGGTGGTTTCAAAGCAGAGAATGAAGCGAGTATTACCGCAACAAAAATGAACAAGGACTTGCAAAAGTCCGATGTGAAAGACACATTTTCTGATGCTCCCGTCATGGTAATCAATTCAGAATGGTTTGAGTTCGCATAGCCAAAAACGAAATGATTTTGTTTTCTTCAACATTTTTCTGAATATAACTCTTTTTTTCTACTCTTTCCAGATGAAGGAAGATCTCAAACAGTTAGCAAAAGAAAATATTGAAGCAAAGACTGCTTCCTATATACATAATAATGCTCCCGCGCAGGACACCCCTGCATCAAGTACTGGTTAGTTCTCCTAATCTTGTTTAAGGAATGTGGCTTAGCTAACCACTCAAGTAGAGGAAGAACTGGTATACAAACATAAAACCAATTGGCAAATGGCAATATGGGGGGTCGCCCAACCTCTTATAAGCCCATGGAACGTCCCTCCTCCCATCAATGTCGGATTCATTCTCAACAGATATCATACATCAGTTCTTTGTATTTCAGTTTACTGCAGGCTTAGTAACTTTTCACCTTTCCCCGTATCTAGTGATAGTCTAATGAAATGCGTACAACTTATTCATTAACTTCTGAGCTTTGACAGGACCAGTTCCCAACGGATCAAATCATACCGTTGAAGATGCAGATAAGTCCTTCCACGAAAATTTCCAGGTGTGTGATTCTTATATAAAAGAACTGTTTCCTGTAGTCTATAAATTACGCTCGTTTTCTATGAATTTAGTTTTCTTTCGTCCAGTCTCTACATAATCCTTCAGCGCAGTATTTACGACGAATTTTCTGATGAGGTACTCTACTTGACAGATGAAAGAAATAACTCAAGATGAGGAAAAAGAACCGCTACCACAACCCGGCAACAATCATGAAGAACTCCAGGTAAATATATAACAAACAAACACAGCATGTTGTTATAGTTTCCCCCAAGCAGTAATGTAACGTCCCATAAGCTGCAGGCGATTGATGCTAAGATACGACAGTGGTCAAGAGGAAAGGAAGGAAACATCCGCTCGCTGCTCACTACTATGCAAATTGTAAGCATTGATTCGTTGTTTTTTTACTTCCAGTTTGCTCTATCTTCAAAATTGGCCGCGGATTTTGCATGATCTTCATGGCATAAACTTCACCGTATCTTTGTCACTAAGATCGATACTACTCCGCTCAGCAACTAATGCGGGTTTACACTGATACATGGCAGGTTCTTTGGCCCGAGAGCGGGTGGAAGACGGTACCTCTTGTAGATGTAATCGAAGGAAATTCCGTGAAAAGAGCGTACCAAAGGGCGCTGCTATGTTTACACCCGGATAAGCTGCAGCAGAAAGGTGCTACTTCACATCACAAATACCTTGCAGCAAAAGTTTTTGATGTCTTGCAGGTCAGTAATTTATTAAGAATCGATCGATCACTTGTTAATTTCTCCATTTTTTACTATAAAAACAGTAACTAATGCTCGTGATGAATTTATTTTTTACTTGTTTTGGGCCAATGCAGGAAGCCTGGGATCATTTCAATTCACTTGGCTCACTATGACAAAGTTTGTTTTCGAAGCCACGTGTCAGATTATGATTGGTTGAGTCCGTGTTTATTCAACTGTATGAGAAATTTTTTATTGTGACGGAAACATGGGTGGTACACCACGTGTTTTTATGTAAGTGGTGGGAAATTTTATTTTTTAAGTTATAACTTTTTAACACACATATCCCACCGTTTGTATAGTAACACGTAGTGTACCACGTTGTGTGCTGGTCATATTAAAAAATCTCTCCAACTGTACATAGTTAAATTGACATATGTATTGTTTTTGAAATGACTAAAAACATTTTTGGTAAAAATGTTTTTGGAACCGATTCTTAGTAAAAATACAAATAAATTTTAGAAAAACACTTAAAGTGCTTTCTGGAAGAGAAGCTGGAACAAAAAAATATTTTATCTAAAAACGATTTCAGTAATTTAAAAAACACATCCAAACGAGTATATATCATTTGAATAAATGAAGAAAACAAAACCCGAAGTAAAGAAATTGCTTAATTGGGCCAGGCCTGTAACATTTAGTTTTCCAATGTCGTAGCCCGTTAACAACTTAAAGTGAATTTCCCATTTTGCCACTGCGATTGGATTGAAAACGACTGTAGACTGGGACCTACCAAAAAAGGCCAAATTGGATAAGACAATGGCACGAGTGACCGGTGGGGTCCAAACTTTTGAAGTTGTGCTCCTGTCCATGTGTTTATTTGTACGACTCGACAACTTTATGTTCATGGTTGTCGTTTCTAGCGTTCCCATTTTCCAGTAGATTGTCGTCTATTAAAAATTACTAAAATTTAAAATTATAGAATCGTTATATTATATTTAATTTTTTTTCTCAATAGATTCGTATTAGCTTATTTTTTTTAACAATAAATGAATGTTTTAATGATTTTAAATTTATCTAATTTTTTACATAAATAATCTATAAATGGTGTGCTAAAATGCAAATAGTTTAGATCGCTTAAATATCTTATGAAATAAATGATCTTGTCAAAATACATGTCAAACATGTGTCTTCGAATCCTAGCCTGTTTATAAATTGGAGCATTGTTCTTATTTGCAGCTGATATAATATAAACGAAAAAATATTGTTCAAACTTCAAATAACCCCAGCGGGACATATATATATATATATATATATATATATATATTTCACTTCAATCATAATTAAGCTGTCACTGTCTATCCTATTTTATGGTTTATTTTAAAAAATTGGGTAATTATTATTGGTTTATATATTATTAGATATTTGATGGTGATATATATATATATATATATATTTTTTTTTGTTGAATCTGAGTGGTGATATGTATTTATTGAGTAGAGACTAAGACCAACCCGGCACAAGATGTCCGTGGAAGCCTTCAAATCAGTAGACATAAAGTATATTTATTCTGCTTATCGTGACTGCGTTCAAATCTGTGATTTTTTCTATATGAAAAACACATATTAGTAACTAAACTGATGGTTACAGAAATACCGTGTTCATTTTTTCTTGTCGAGAAAATTATAGTGTTTGTTATCACAATGATTTGGTATTTGGATTTTCAATCTCAACCTTTCTAATTCTAAAAAATACACTTTTGATGATCATTTTCGTTAAGTTTATCTATTTGGGTAATATGACCATCATCAATCTTCAAAACTAATGGGGTTGAGACCTAACCTTTTTTGGGTGAGATAATAATTTTTTAAAATTAATTATTCAACTTTCAACTTAAATTGACTTATTTTCTAATCATTACACTATTTCTTGTTAATTTAAAGTTATTACTCTTTTCCAGAAAAAGTAGCTTTCTTAAAATAAGTATTATCTCTAATCAAGGGGTTTAGTATGAACTTAAAACATTTCCTCATTTCACATGTTGTTTAACAACCATGCTTCGCTGTTAAAAGAAGAGCAATAAGTACTACATGTAAGAATTTAATATGCACACACAAGCCGTCAACATAATCAACGTAGTGATAGGATTACATCCACGAACAACCTCAATACATAACCCTATATGCAATCTGCAAAAGCGACTTACCTGATGTTGCTGCCATTGATGAACAAGTGAATCAGTCTTCTACTTCCAGCACACAGCGATGACCTCTACTAGTAAATAGGGTTTAGTTCTCGAGAGTCTTATTGTGTAGAAGCAAGAACTTCTTCAATATGTATATATATACCAAATTATCTTATCAGAGTTCCACTAATACCGGCCTATTATTAGTAGTAGTGATAAACTCTATCCTCATAACAAATTCAAGTCCCATCGTGATTCTTATCTCTTAGTAAATACTTGATAAGTACTCCCGTTAGATTGTCTGCACAATAATTAAACTCCACAACTCCTATTATATCAAGGATCTCAGATTCCTTCAACCACACAACTCGCGTAATGAGTTTATGTGTAATTCAAGAAATCTAGTTGTTATCTCATTGTCATTCACACATAGTCTAACACTACATGCTGCTGAAACCTAATAACAAATGGACAAGTGTCCAATCCTAATTTTCAATCTTAATTATTCAGACATATGTTCATTTGCAATTGATTTTTTAGTAGCACTTGTCGCTCTTCTTTCACCAACAAAACATGATTCATGGTTTAATCTATGGGTTTGTCCTGCGTTATTGTTTCTGTTCTAATTTTGTTTTTCCTAGAATCTAATTACTCACAAGTCACATTGACCAAATTGTCTCTCTTTTTGGCTGCAAATATAATAAAAGACAATTAACAATTAATAATTGCTAACATGTTGATGTTCACTCCTCAACATCCAATTTTCCCCTCAGGTGAAAAAGTGAAAAATATAACATAAATCCTAAGTTGTTTATTTCATATATATATATATAGGAAATTGTTATTGGTACTCCAAAATTCTCATTCTACACTCCAAAGTTTCTATATTTAGAAAGAAAAATACACTTATAAGAAGTGTAGAATGTGATTTTTGGAATGTCAATAACACTTCCATATATATATATAGATATATATGTATTATATAATTTTTGCTTTTCGATTTAATTGAACTTTAACCAAATGATGAACAATCATATCCCACGTGAAAATACATGGTGAAAACGAGGACTCACCAATCCGTTGAAAAAGGTCTTTAAGTTACTCGACTCTACCTAATGTATCTTAATATCCATTAAAATTCGACTTAATATGAATTTCTTTTTGTTCTAATTTTTTTGTTTAACTCGGAACTCGTTGTAAGATACTGAAACATAACGATTAGTATTACTATGTATTAGAGAATGTAACAATAAGATCACTTTCATGCTAAATAGCATACCCGTTATCAAACCTAGTCATTATAATTGCAAATAAAAAGGTCGTAATTTAGTTACTCAACGGAATGTATATGTCAATTTGAATTATATTTTTATATTTTAAAGTATCCTCTTGTTTAAAAGTAAGATTAACTAGAATATAAAGTATTCATATTATAAAACATGAAATAGTTATTTCCTCCAACTTTGTATTAAGTAGGCAGTGAGATTCCACACTGTCACCACATCAAAAAAACCAAACTTTTCCCAAAACACTCCGACCTCCGACTTCGAACACCTCAATTTCCATTTTCCGGCAATTTTACCCTTTTTTTTTCTCGTCTCTTTTTGTTTTGTACTTTCTACGAATTTAGAATTAAAAAAAAAATAAAGAGTGGGTAGCAGCAAGATCACGAAGGCCTTCCATTTCAGAGCAGCTGTTGGCATTTCTGAGCTCTGAAAATACGGAAACGCAGCTGTTTTATTGTTCAAGAAAGAAGTTGGGTTTTGCTGCCCTCCAATGGCTGTCTTCTCTTATTCGGTGAGTCCCACAGTTGGTTCATTTTTTCTAAGAACTTCAATCTCTTCCAGTTTTTTCCTTTAAATTTTCGTTTTATGAATTCATGTGTTTTCCGGGGCTTGAATTTTTCTTCCGGGTCCTGTTTGGTAGCTGAGAAAGCTCGGGAAAACGAACAAACAAGTGGGAATTATGATTGACTGAGTTTTGAAAAGCTCATTTATCTGTTAATTTTGGTTAAAAATTTCTCTGCTTCCTCTCTACTAATTGAAACTGGATCTGATTTTATACTCTGAGATCTGCACTGGAGCCTGTTATCTTTGATTACCCACAAAATAATTTACTTTGTTGTGTTCCTGTGTTGAATATATCGATGGACCGTCGCAAAGCCAAGAGGCTTGTTGGCCTGAGGTCGCCTTTTATCTATGGTCAATAAAGTAGTTGCATTTCACGTAGGTTAGAGTAGTTTAAAATAACGCTTTTATCGATAAAGAAAGACGATAATATTTGTATGTATGTAGTTGTGTTGAGCTTTTGTTTATAATGCCACTGCATTTCATCCTTTGGGTTCTTATGGCTTTTATGTGCGCCCAAATGCACAGGCTGGAGGCAAGCATTGAGTGCGTTCTGGTTTTACTTACCGAGGAAACATGAAATTTGAATTGAAGAAGAGATGGAGATCCATTGCCCCGCTTCAATTGAAAAACAAATCCACGGGGCGGTTTTGTTTATTTCCCAAATCAAAATCGGATAGCGCTGAATCAGGAAAAGCACCAGTTTATCTCAATGTATATGACTTGACTCCCATGAATGGCTATGTCTATTGGGCTGGCTTTGGAATTTTTCACTCTGGTGTTGAAGGTGAGCTTACGTTCTGGTTGCGCAATTCGTGTTCTATATTATCCGCCTAAAGTATGTTGTGTTAAATCTCAAGCTGAACTCTATCTCTGTTTGTTTTGCTTAATTCTATCAAGCTTTAGCGGTTCTGAAGTTTTGACGCGATACATTGTCAAATTACTATAACCTTGTTAATCTTCGTTCTATGTTGTTTCGATCGAGTGAAGTTCAGTTTTTCTGATAGTCCATATGCATTGTGCAGTTCATGGTGTAGAATATGCATTCGGCGCACATGACTATCCTACAAGTGGTGTTTTTGAGGTTGAACCTCGCCAATGCCCAGGGTTCAAGTTCAGAAAGTCGATATTAATCGGGACAACAGGCTTGGACCCTTCTCAGGTTCGAGAGTTTATGGAGCGCCATTCTTTGAGCTACAACGGTGATACATATCACCTGATTGTCAAGAACTGCAACCATTTCTGCAGGGATATTTGTCGCAGGCTCACCGGAAAATCAATTCCTAAATGGGTGAACCGACTGGCAAGAATTGGTATCCTTTCTTCACCCATTCTTTTCAGTTGTATTGGTTGCAATTGAGTTTCTTTAGTACTTCGTCAGGGCTTTTTTTGGGTCTAATGATCTTGTTTCGGTCGGGCGTGCTTCTGTATAGAGCTTGGAGTTTGAGTTTCTGGTCTTTTTTTGTATTTTCGGACATTGTGAAACATTGGCTTAGGTCATGCATGTTTTAAGGTCTTACCTGGGATCAAATCAAGATTCGAATTTCTAATTAACGATGGAAAAACACTGGTTTGCAAAGGTAAACTAACTCTACTGATATGTGGTAGGTTCAGTATGCAACTGCATACTTCCGGAATCTCTGAAGATTTCCGCGGTACAACACGACCCTAACTGCCAACCATACAACAGCGACAAGAGGAGCTTGAGAAGCGCCTTCGGATGCCTGTCATCTATCTCAATGCGGCAGAAGCAGTTATCTTCATCTTCGTTATTTCTACAGTCGCCCCTGAAAGGTTGCTTGCCACCATGGGAACTGCGAAGATCGTTGAATGGTTCGTTGAAAGAAAGGTGAGAAACTGTTCGGAAGACTTGCTCTTTACGCCCGCAATTGTAATTTGAATGTATCTACTATGATGACCTAGCAACTAGGGGAAAAAGTCTTCTCAGAATCGATACCAAGAGTGAGTCTGAATTTCCCTCGTCGCTCAGATTGTGTTCTCCCAGGTTTGTGGACTGATGCTTGTGACCGTTGTATCTATAGTTTGCAACAAATTCATGAAGGAATTGCTAAACAGTTCTACTCTTTTCAAAAAATATTTATGCAAAACCGCGCGAATTTGGTGTAGAGAGAGAGAGAGAGAGAAGCATTTTAGTAAAATCTACCTGTGTTAATTTGCACTAGAAAGGATCAGACTGAGATACATCATCACACATTAGCGCTATTTGGCTTTACCAAGATCAGAGCTTTATAATGGTGAAACAAAATCACAGCCAATATATATACCAGCCGAGCTCGTCGAGACAAATCGACTTCCGCCAACGCGTTCCCTCCTCCGTTAACTGAGAGAACATACAACAATCGGAAAACGCCCGCTTTAAGAATGCCAGCTTAAATCCACAGCACCATTTCAACTTACTCCGACCAAAAAATAATTCTTCTGCAGTCCATATCAGTTTTAATTTTTCCCTATAACAAATAGAATCATACATGAATATACAGATGACGATCCAAGTTAGCATTGGGAAAACAAACCTGCATGAACATGAAAGAGATGCTTCAGATCAACAGGTGCAAAGTTTCTTCTAAGGGGGTTGCAATGCATTTTTAACATGATGAAAATACAAATATTTCGAAGATTTTAGCGTTAAAGGGCACAGTTTCCATAAGCATGGAATTACAAGTTAATAATTGCACACCCCTCACTGTGGCTAGTGCAATCATGAACGAAAACTAGGAAACTCAACTGCGACTAGATATCATATGGGAGCGAGGCCCTGAATTTTATCAATCGTCTTTCTGATGCAAAACACTAGGACGGCTATTATTACCATTAAGAGCAGCATGATACACCCGCTTCTCGGCAAGTCCAATATCTGATAAAGTCATGTTGCCCTGTAAACAAAACAAAAACACATGGAATCAAGTTACAAACACCAGAAGCTCGCACGATTAATCTCTCTACCTAGTTGATGGTCACGCTCTGAAGCGAGAAAAAGCTTTAAACTTGCTTTCATAATATACTTTCGAGGGAAACATGTACCTCATTGGCCATCAATCTTCTGACATTACTAGCGTAGAGTTTTGGATCATCCTTTTCTTGTTGTGAGGGGTAATAAACAGGTAACCTCGTGACCTCTATGTGATTTACAAATTGACAGAGAAGAAATATCACATGGCGCACCTGAAAATAAAGTGAATGAGGTAAACCAAAATTAGAAGCCAGAAGACGGAAAGAGAAACAGTCCATATGCCAGACATATTGAATTCTTACTATTTGTATTATTTATAATTATCCTGCATGATATAGGTATTTTCTTTATAAGTGTTCATGGAAATTGGTTAAGAAACACTCACCCCAGATATCGAGTCCCATGCAGGACTAAATCTGTGGTAAGGATACCTAATAATCACTGGAAGAACTGGAGCTTTTGCCAGGAATGCTCCCGTCTTGAATGGCAGAAGAAAGTCTCCGTTTGTAGTAGTTCCCTCTGTAGAAAGATTAACGATAACTAAATACCAAGTAACAGTAGTATAAGCATCGCTTGCAACATAATGCACATCTGCTAACAAACGAAACACAAACCAGTTTCAGTGTGGATGAAAATTCATGTGTTCCCTTCCATGCACATTAGATTAATAAATGAAGATTTGAACATCAAGAACGAGGGCAACAGAAAACTCATTAATTGGGCTTTCTTATAATAGAGTGTTTAAAACTATAACCTGGGAAAAGCATTATTGGCGGGGCGGATTTATTCTGATGTGCTTCTTTAACTCTTTCAGTCACAGCACCTGCAAATAATATCCAATTATTAATCAAACAACATTGTCATACAAGTAACACAACTGAAAACACGTTATATAGTGTTCGTGTGTCATATCCACTTGTGATTGATCACAGTTTTCACCTCGCATACCGCAAGTAACGCAAGATTTATGATGTGCACCTTGAGAGTGATTAGAAAACTATCAAAAAACAGGGAGCACCCCAATTTATGTACCTGCAACTCCCTTGAAGTCGGATGACTTTGACTCTCGCTGAACATAGACACAACCGAGGCACTTGCTGTCAAAAACAACAATCGGAAATCGAACTCCATTAGCTCCCGTAAATATGATGGAGAGAAACTACAAATTTTCAGAAGTATGACGAAATTAAAGCAATCAAAAGCAAATGCAACCGACCTGATGAGGCCAACTAGAGGAAGTTTCGCCACCGATCTCTTCACCAACAAAATCCAGGATAACAGAAACTCAGAATCAACACATAGATAAAATTGGATCATCTTTCAATCAAAATTCATATAGAGTAGCAAACCTTGGCAACGAAGCTCGGAAACGAATTAGACATGTGATACAAGATATCCAAATACGAAACGTGATTCGATATGATCGCCCCTGGCCTTTCAGGCTCCTTCTCTTGGGCTCCATCTTTTCCCTAACCAAAAATTTAACATCAAAATTACCACTCAAAATGTCACGAAATCAATTTTCATGCTTTAGAGAGAGAAACAGAGAGAGAGAGAGAGAGAGAGTACCTGGGGTGCAGGTTTGGGTTCGGAATCCGATGGTATCCGATATGACTCGTTGATCCAATAGAAGCCAAAGACGAAGAGCATGGCTCTGGATAAGGCGCGGCCGCACTGGACTATCACGGCCTGACGCCAGCCCCCCATGTGCGCGTAATCCTCCTGCTCCTGCTCGTCGCGATTGGGGACTTTGAAGAGCGTGCAAATCCGGCAAATCAAGTAGTACAGCACCAACACCGTCATGGCCAGGACCACGCGTATCGGAACCAGAGTCACCAGCGCGAGCCCTAGTAGCACCTTCTCCTTCACCGGCAATTCGCCGCGCCCCATGGTGCCGTACACATCGCGTCGCACGTACGCCGCGCATTTCTTCTCTAGCTCCTGGAGCTCCTCGGCGGAGACGGAGGAGGCCGGGTCGGGTTTGAGGAGCGGGCGGTCGTCCTTGGACGCCGGACCGTCGTTGCGGTCCTGCTTGGCCGGTTTGGAATTGAGGCCTTTGAGTTCGGACTCCATCAGCAAAAGAAAAAGAAAAAAAACTAATTGGAAGGCGGTCCGAGTCCGGCGGGTTTTAGGGAATCTGGGGAAAGAGGAGTAAGGCGGACCGGCGGGTAGATTCTGGTTGCGAGGTGGATGGTCAGCCAAGTGGATAGTCGTGATACGATTTGGGCTTGCACTCTATATTGGCCCAGTTTCACAAAATATAATGGGTCAGGTTGGTTGAGTAGGTTTGGCCCATTACTCGATGCTATGGCCGAGTAGCTGATGGCAACCTTGTACAAGTATTACAAAACTTTCCCTTCCACTTTCCGAATTGGGGATGGAAATAACACTCCTCTCACAAACATTCCTTTCCCAATCAATTGTTTCACCAACCAAACGCAGTCTTACGGAAAACAATACAACAAACCATATCTAGTTTCTCTTATCACACGACTTGTATAAGACGCGAAACAGCAAAGTTGCAGATTGACAAAAGAATGTTTTGTGGAGTGAGATGATTGCGGGAGTGACAGTAACTATGTGAACCAAAAGGCAAGCGAACTATAGATTTCGGATGAATGGAGCGGGAACAAGGGGAGTCCTAAGGGATCTAAGGGATGATTTTCTGGGGCCCTAAGGGAGGATCTTCATCCTCGTCAATGTCAAATTTGACTTACGAAAATCATATTCTTCGACAAAAAATTTCGGCTATTTTACTCCTAACTACTCAACATTTCATGTTCAGGGACATTGTATATGTACACGACAGACCAAATGTGAAAGATTTCAAACAGACTTGAATTGGTAAGATTATTGGCATTCATCGCAAATGCTAAGATCCTAAACCAAGAGTTTTCGATCGTTGGTCTAACTGCTGTGAGGTTCACTTTCACATATTCAAATCTATCCAATTAAGTCCTTCATGTTAGGCACTACTAATAAGTTGTTGATCATTTCATTTGATTTTTTATCCATTATAAAATATGAACCGCACACTTTCAGATGCTCCAGTAAGAAATCATGAGTTTGAGTCAGAGACTCAGGGCAAAAGAGATAAAGAAAGATCTAGGAAGACTTGGAAAGAGACTTTAAGAGAAGACATGAAGTATTTGGAGCTCACAAAAGACTTGGTACTAAATCGAGAACAATGACGTTTTAGAATTCATATAGCTGACTCTACTAATAAACTTTGTTATTGTTTCAGAAAAAATAGCTTGCGAAAATCACTTAAAATAATTCAGAATGTGCTATAAAATAAATCCTTATTGACTACTGCCTGCAACAATCTGTATACAGTTTTATTCTCCTACAATTTGCAGCACAAACTCTAAACTCGATCAATTATCAATAACCAAATTAACAAAGAAAATGTCCAGTAACCATACCTTGTAAAAAGGCCATGAATCTCAGCAAGACACCCAATTCTTGTGAGTGCTAATCAGAGCCGATAACATCCCGGCCAGCGATACCGAAAGCGGCCCCAGGAACGGTCCGCCGCCGTCCCGGATGTCCGCCAACGCCATTAACGCATCCGCCGAATCTTGAACCACAGAGAGCCTCTTCATCATTCTCTTCTCACACAATTTACTCAACCTCTCCTTCTCTTCCTCGCACCCGTTCACCCTCGTGATCGCGATCTCAATGCTTGATTTCACGCACTTTTCGTCTTCCGAAATCCGATTCAAATCCCTAAATTTCAACGAAATGCTGCCGGCGTACCCGATGAACTCGGCCCAGGCGCTGATCTTCTGCAAATTCCGCGAGAGCTTCTTATCGATCAACCCCGATTTGACCAGCCAGACGAACTGTTCAACGAAAAAATACAGTCCCTCGCAGCCGTAGGCGATTAGTGCGAGTACGAGCTCCTGATTCGAATCGAATTTCGAGCTCCTCAAAGCGTTGACATCCTGGACGAACTTACCTAACCGGAAGGCCTTGCGACTGACGCCGACGCTCGACTCGAAGCTCTTGAGCCGCTGAGTTAGAGGCAGGGTTTCGGGGAGGGCGGAGGAGGCGAGGACGATCTTGGTGGCGTACCGAGATATCTTGATGAGCTTGTCGACGCCATCTCGCTTGGCGAGGTAGGCTTCGAGGTGGTTCAGGAAGTCCCTTGGCTTCGGCTTCGATGCAGGATTGTTAGGGTTTTTCTGGTTCAGTAGAGGAGTGGTGGTTGTTGAAGGTTTCGAGTCCATGGAAATGCAGAGCGCGAGCGAGAGAGAGAGAACCAGATACAGAATTGCCTAGTCGTATCAAGACGCTACCGTTTCCGCGGGAAACCGTTGTCCATGCAACCAATACGTCACTACTTGTATCACATCTTATTTATCGTGTATCATGCAATCAGAAATTATTTGATTTTTACTTAAAATTAAACACAAATAAAGTATATGACGAAAACTGATCGCACAATATACAATAACCAGCTAAAATATGAAAATTCCTAAAATTCCTATAAATTGGATCCGGAAAGATTCCTCTTCCCAGCTAGTTTTATGTTTTGCAGGCCGCCAAATATTGTTTATTTATTTATTTCACAGAGTTTTGTAGACTAGCTTTTGTTATAAGTAATTGGGCTGATTAGCTTTTGTGATGAGTAATTGGACCTACAAAGAGATCGTCGTAGATCATATCCAACTAATTAATTACAATTCGAGTTTTATGAGAAGTGATTTTCAGACGCTTGTTATTTTTACAATGCCCCTTTTGCATGTTTATGTCGGTGGTGGTTTCTTTAATTTGTGATGGATTTTACTTTCATGTCATGTCTAAGAAGTAATTTGTGAATTAGTTTACTTTCGTGAAATTTGGATGTGGTGAAATGCAATGCTACAACATATTTCTTTGAATTTGGTTGATGACACATAAATTATGTCCTTCACTGTAGGTCTTTTTCTAACAAAGAATGAGATGATTTGAACTTGTAACACAGTTTGTTAAAAAACAAACTTGTGTCGTGTTTGTATAGACAAAAAAGTTACTATTTACACACTTTAAACAAGTCACTGTACATTACTTTTTAGTAAAAAAGGCGATTGATTAATTTGTATGTGAATGACTGACGCTCTTTCGAAAAATGTCGAATTGATTAACTTACTTGGAAAAGCCTAGTGATTATCGGTGAGTAAAGTCCTTTTGTTATGTTGTGATGTTTTGTTTGTTTGGTTTGGCAGACATTGACTCGGCACTTGCAACTTGGCCGATGCAACACCCACCACTTGCCCATTACGTCGACCACATAGTCATGCATTGCCGACTCACCGGTTTACTTTTCCTCACTTTCGTCTTTTCATTTTCCCTCCATGTACTCTTTCCTCCAACTTTCCTCCATTTCAATGTCCAAGAATATCGTCAAACCACCATCCAGAATCTGCCTCATTGCACATTATCCAAGACCCTTGATTCCGAGAATTTTTTAATTTACTGAAAATACATTCCACAACATTAACAGTCTGTTTGATGAGCTGGATGAAATTAGGTTCTAGAAATAGAATTGGATTGACAGACTTTTAAGACAAAACTTCTAACCCATGTACAATGATAAATTAAATAACCTACTTTATCGTGGATTCATAATATGTATTATCCACTTACGTCCATCTCACATTTCTACCCAACGAACAACAGACTAAACTAATAGAATCATACATGAATATACAGATGACGACTAGTGCCATCATACGAAAACTAGGAAACTCAACTGTGACTAGATATATCATTAAGAGCAGCATGATACACCTGCTTCTCGGCAAGTCCAATATCTGATAGAGTCATGTTGCCCTGTAAACAAAACAAAAGCACACATGGAATCAAGTTACAAACACCAGGAGCTCGCACGATTCATATCTCTACCTAGTTGATGGTCACGTTCTCAAGCAAGAAAAAGCTTTAAACTCCGCTTTCAATATATACTTTCGGGGGGAAAGATGTACCTCATTGGCCATCAATCTTCTGACATTACTAGCGTAGAGTTTTGGATCATCCTTTTCTTCTTGTGAGGGGTAATAAACAGGTAACCTTGTGACCTCTATGTGATTTACAAATTGACAGAGAAGAAGTATCACGTGGTGAACCTGAAAATAAAGTAAATGAGGTAGTTCCCTCTGTAGAAAGATTAATGATAAAACAAATACCATGTAACAATGGTATAAGCATCGCTGACAATATTGTGCACGTCCGCTAACAAATGAATCGCAGAACAGTTTCAGCGTGGTTGAAAACTTGTGTTCCATTCCAAGCACATAAATTAATAAACGATGATTTGAACATCCAAGAACGAGGACAGCCGAAAACTCATTAATTGGTCTTTCTTATAATAGAGTGTTTAAAACTATAACCTGGGAAAATCATTATTGGCGGGGCGGATTTATTCTGATGTGCTTCTTTAACTCTTTCAGCCACAGCACCTGCAAATAATATCCAATTATTAATCAAACAACATTGTCATACAAGTAACACAACCGAAAACTCGTTATACAGTGTTCGTGTGTCATATCCACTCGTGATTGATCATAGTTTTCACCTTGCATACCGCAAATAACGCAAGATTTATGACGTGCACCTTGAGAGTGATCAGGAAACTATCAAAAACAGGGAGCATCCACAATCTATGTACATGCAACTCCCTTGAAGTCGGGTGACTTTGACTCTCGCTGAACATAGACACAACCGAAGCCCTTGCTGTCAAAAACAACAATCGTAACTTGAATTCCATTACCTCCCATAAATATGATGGAGAGAAACTACAGATTTTCAGAAGTATGACGAAATTAAAGCAAGCGGAAGCGAATGCAACCAACGTGATGAGGCCGAAGAGCATGGCTCCATAACACTTGATGTCCGCTACACCTTCGAAGAACCCGCTGTTCTTTTCACGACCAAACAGGTTCTTGAATACACGTTCGTTCATGAACCGGGAAAACGGTTTGTCAACAATTTAAAGAAAGGGCTGCAAATTAAAATAGGTACAAACTAAAAATATAAATATATGATACAAAATTTAGCTATAAATCCGATGGATAAGAATAAGGCAGGAAACGGTGGGGAGATTATACTACATTTCCTCATTGTTGACAAACCGTTTTCCGGTTCATGAACGCACGTGCATTCAAGAACCTGTTTGATCGTGAAAAGAACGGCGGGTTCTTCGAAGGTGTAGCGGACATCAAGTGTTATGGAGTTACAAGTGCTCCTGAAGCTGTTTGGGTTCGGAATCCGATGGTATCCGACATGGCTCGTTGATCCAATAGAAGCCAAAGACGAAGAGCATGGCTCTGGATAAGGTGCGGCCGCACTGGACAATCACGGTCCGCCGCCAGCCCCGCATGTGCGTAATCCTCCTGCTCCTTCGTCGCGATTGGGGATTTTGAAGAGTGTGCAAATCGTTCGTCGCGATTGGGGATTTTGAAGAGTGTGCAAATCGTTCGTCGCGATTGGGGATTTTGAAGAGTGTGCAAATCGTGCAAATCTGGCAAATCAAGAACAGCACCAACAGCGTCGTGGCCAGCACCACGCGTATCGGAACCAGAGTCACCATAGCGAGACCTAGCAGCACCTTCTCCTTCACCGGCAATTCACCGCGTCCCATGGTGCCGTACACATCGCGTCACACGTACGCCGCGCATTTCTTCTCTAGCTCCTGGAGCTCCTCGGCGGAGACGGAGGAGGCCGGGTCGGGTTTGAGGAGCGGGCGGTCGTCCTTGGACGCCGGACCGTCGTTGCGGTCCTGCTTGGCCGGTTTGGAATTGAGGCGTTTGAGTTCGGACTCCATCAGCCAAAAAAAAGGAAAAAGAAACACAAATTGGAAGGAGGTCCGAGTCCGGGGGGTAGATTCTGGTTGCGCGGGGGTGAGAGCTTGCTGCTGGTTAGGCACCACATATAAGTTGTCACTTCATTTGATTTTTTTATCATTTAGAAAATATGAACCACCGACTTTCACATGCTTCGGTTATAATGTGATTTTGAGTGAGAGAATCAGGACAAAAGATGTTGAAAAAGACTTTAAGAAAAAATATGAAGTATTTAGAGTTCATAATAAATTTGGCGCTAAACCAAACGCTATGACGTCATACCCGATTTCACTTAATGAATTAAGGCTTTGATGTTGTTGTAAAAAAAAAAAAAAAAAGCATGCAAAAATCACTTACGATAATTCAGAAGGTGCTATAAAAATTCTTATTCACCGCTGCCTGTAACAATCCGTATTGAGTTTTATTCCCCTATAATTTGCAGCACAAACTCTAAAACTGCTCAATTATTAATAACCAAATTAACAGAGAAAGTGTCCAGCAACCGTACCTTGTAAAATGGCCATGAATCTCAGCAAGACACCCAATTTTTGCGAGTGCTAATCAGAGCCGATAACATCCCCGCCAGCGATACCGAAAGCGGCCCCAGGAACGGTCCGCCGCCGTCCCGGATATCCGCCAACGCCATTAACGCATCCGCCGAATCTTGAACCACAGAGAGCCTCTTCATCATTTTCTTCTCACACAATTTACTCAACCTCTGCTTCTCTTCCTCGCACCCGTTCCCCCCCGTGATCGCGAACTCAATGCTCGATTTCACGCACTTATCGTCATCCGAGACCCAATTCAAATCCCTAAATTTCAACGAAATGCTGCCGGCGTACCCGATGAACTCGGCCCAGGCGCTGATCTTCTGCAAACTCCGCGAGTGCCTCTGGTATGATCTTTTCAAGAAAATTAACCTAGAAGTAAATGCAATGAGGAAATCAAAGATAAAAGTGCTGTCATATTTCTCATAGCTATCAAAGAGGCGCAACCTTCCAGATATGTAGTAGAATGAAATGGAAACCCTAAGAGCATCCCCAGCGTGGGGTTTAGCTCGGGGGACGGGCTCCAAAACGGAGGCCCGAGTGAAGGTGGACCAGCTCCAGCGTTGGGAAGCCGGGGGGAAGGGGAAGGCCCGAGGGCCAGGCCCGTGAGGAATTGACAGGCCTTGAGCCCGGGGTGGGAGTGACGCCATGCTGACGCCAGGGTGGCGTCAGCCTATTATTTAATTTTTTTTGTGTCAGGCGCGTGCACCCCACCCGCGCGTGGGGGCGCGTCCTGACACTTTAATCAGAAAAAAAAAAAGTTTTGTCTGTTACCGTTGGGAAGCCACGTGGCTTCCCACGGTACGTTAGATCCTAACGGTCACTTAATGTGGACCGTTAGATCTCAACGGTAAAAAATTTTAAAACTGTCAGATTTAATATCCACCGTTCGATCTGAGATCAACGGTGGATATTAAAATGCTTTATAAATTAAAAAATAAATGAAAAAATAGTTTAAAAAATCTGAAAAGTTACCGTTGTGACACGTGGCACAATCTGGAGCGTTGGAATTCAAATTTTTTTATATCCAACGGCAGAGATTAATTAATTGAATAAAAATTCAAAAAAAATGTAAAAAATTCAAAAAAATTCAAAAAAAAATGTAAAAAATTCAAAAAAATTCAAAAAAAAATGTAAAAAATTCAAAAAAATTCAAAAAAAAATCTGAAAAAAATTGTAAAAAAAAATGTTTTTACTTTTCTATAAATACCTTCTCATTATCATCTACCTTCACAACAATTTCATATTTTCTCAACCACTTTCAATCACATTCCTTTCTTTGTCTCAAAGTTTGAATCCATTTTTTTTCAACAAAATGACCACTGGTGCAGGTACGAATTGGTCGCTTATTGAAGATGTTGCGTTGTGTACTAGCTGGGTTGAAGTTACTCATAGTTCGCTTACGGGTAATGAGATGCAGTTGCGAGAAATGTGGAGTCTTATTCATACCAATTATCTTGAGAAAATTGGTGAGAAAAGAACCAAAGAATCGATGTCCAGTCGTTGGAAATTACTTAGCCAATCGTTTAGTACGTGGAGAGACGCTTTGGCACAAGCTAGTAATAATATTCGAAGTGGGGAAAATTACTCGGATATGGTAACAAGATATTATTATTTATTGTTTGTATTCTTTATTTGTTACGTACAAAATTTATTTATTTATTGTTACTTATTTGTTACATTATAATTATGTTGTTTGTTACATTATAATTATGTTATTGTTACTTATTTGTTACATTTATTTGTTACATTATAATTATGTTGTTTGTATTATTTATTTGTTACTTATTTTCATTAAAATTAATGTATATATATATATATATATATATTTGTTAATTATTTTCATTATTTACTAAACTTGAAGCCTTCTTATTTGCTTTGTTACTTATTTTCATTATCTTTGTTACTTATATATATATATATATATATATATATATATATATTTGCTAGTTACTTATTTTCATTATAATTATTTATTTGTATTATTTATTTGTTACTTATTTTTATTGTGTAGGAACTTCAAGCACAAGCTTGGTATGCTGCCAAAACCAAAGGCAAAAATAAATCATTCAACCGGTGGGAATGTTGGAATATTGTCAAAGATTGTCCTAAATTTAGAGTTGTGCCAGTTGGTCCAGAAGTGCACATGAACAGCACCCCTCTAAACTCTACACCCGATCATGTTCATGAAGATGATGCAGAAGAAGTGCCCGAAACGCCCCTCCCTGAACAAGCGTCGGGTTCGACCCGTTTTCCAATTAGGCCTCAAGGTAAGAAGGCTACAAAGAGAAAAGGGAGTGCTTCCAAGAACGATTATGCAAAGTTCATGGAAGAACTTACTCGCCAAGGTGAATTGACTTTGGCGAGGGAACTGGCGAAAGATGAGGCTGATAAGGCTGATAAGGCATCAAAAGCAGCAGCTGTTGAGAGAGAATTTTATGCTAATGAGAGAGAAAGAGAGCTACTTAGGCAAGAAAGGGAACATGTTAGAGAAGAAAGACGAGCTCAACAAGATCGTGAGATTATGAACATGTCTTTAGAAGGGAAGTCTCCAAATTCTAAATTTTTTTGGAAGTCAGAGAAAGCGGACGTGGTGCGAAGGAGGCGTGCAAGAGAAACAATAGCAAGCCAAGGTGGTTCTAGCACCGCAAGAGAAGATCATCCTAGCAGCACAAATTGGTTAAGTGATGATGAATAGAGTACTTTTGTAATCGGAGCCCATAATTTTCCAATCACTTTGGGTTGTAATTTATTATTTATTGTTTGTATTATGTATGTTGTTTCCATGTTCATGATATTTATTCAAATTAATTTGGTAAGTTATTTATATTAAGAATTAATTTGGTAAGTTATTTAATTTGGTAAGTTATTTATGTTGTTAAAAGTCCATTAAACATAAACATAAACATAAACATAAAACCTACTAAGAATTACATAAACATAAACATAAACAAAATTACATAAACATAAACATAAACATACTAAGAATTACATAAACTAAACATAAAAAATTACATAAAAAATTACATAAACATAAACATAAAAAATTACATAAACATAAACATAAACATATACTAAGAATTACATAAACATAAACATAAAAAAATTACATAAACATACCAAATAATAAAACACACCAAATAAAATAACATAAACATACCAAATTCAAAATAACACACTAAAATGAACTTAATTATCCTCAGCTTGTTTCAATGCCCACTGGTGCTCTATCAAGTCAATTTGTCGGGCATTGTGCATGTCTGGCATTTGAAATGCAGTATATCGTTGAATGAGCCTTTCATTGTAACGTCCATCCCTTTGTAATGGCTCGTGTTGCACGGGGTCATCGGTGGCGTCATGAGCACAATATATACGTGTTCTTGAATTGTTCATCGGGTCTGGCTCATATTCATCAACAGCTTCATAATCGTACTCATCTTCCACAATCATGTTGTGAAGAATGATGCACGTCATCATGATGGATCGAAGCGACTCTACATCAAACAATCTGGCCGCACCCCTGACGATCGCCCAGCGAGCTTGGAGGATACCAAAACAACGCTCCACATCCTTCCTGCACCCCTCTTGACAGCTTGCAAAGTGTTTTTCCTTCGCACTCCGCGGACGTGGCACTGTTTTGACAAATGTTGACCAGCGCGGGTAGATGCCGTCAGCTAGGTAGTATGGCCCGTCGTACATACGTCCGTTGACCTCATATGTAACTTTTGGTGCCTTTCCTTGCAGGACATCGTTGAACACTGGGGATTGGGCAAGGACGTTGATGTCATTTTGAGCTCCCGGGACCCCGAAAAAGGCGTGCCAAATCCATGTATCAAAAGATGCCACCGCCTCCAGAATGATACTTTTTGCCCCTTTTCTGTCCCCGTAAGCGCCTTGCCATGCACTTGGACAGTTTTTCCACGTCCAGTGCATACAATCAATGCTTCCAATCATCCCAGGAAAGCCACGCATCTCCGCCTTCTTCAACAGCCGCTCCAAGTCCATGTGTGTGGGTTTGCGGAGGTACTCAGCGGTGTAGATAGATTCGATTGCTCCGCAAAACCTCATCAGGGACTCAAGAATGGTTGATTGCCCCATCCTCGTTATCTCATCCACTTGGTCTGCAGATGCTCCATATGCAAGCATCCGCAAGGCAGCAGTAATTTTTTGCTCCGGCAGTAGACCCATAGCACCAAAAGCATCTTTTTTTTGCACAAAATAAGAATCATGGTTGCAAACAGCAATCATGATTTTGTTGAACAAATGTCGTTCCATTCTAAAACGACGTCTAAAGTACGTATCAGGGAATGCACTATTAGAAACAAAATAATCATCCAAGAGTTCCATACCTCGTCGTTGCCTGCTTCTATCAATGTTTCCGGAACGCCTGGGCCTGCAGATCTGAGCCGCAGCTTGGATGACTCGACGGGAATGTGAGGCTCTGCCCCTTCTTACGTCGTCATCTCTCATTTGACGCTCCTCATCTTCTTCCCTCTCATTTCTTACCCCCTGCTGATTGAACATTGATTCTGATTGGTTAAACAAGTCTTCCTCTTCTTGATTCAATTCCCACATCATCCTTGAGGAAGAAGAAGAAGACATTGAAAGAAAGAAACAGAAACTATGAATATTGAAACTGATTTTTGTGAATAAGGAAGCAGAAATTTTGAGATCAATGATAGAGATCTTGAGAATTTTGGTGTGAGATTTGTGAAGATGGATGGTGGATTATATAGAGGATTCAGAAAGGCTTAGGTTCTGCATAATGCCACGTGGCATGCCGTCATTCGTTAAAAATCTGATGGAAATCTATCATCCAAGATTGTTAACAGATTATGACACGTGGCATGCCGTCATTCGTTTAAAATCTGATGGAAATCTATCCTCAAAGATTGTGAACCGATTATGACACGTGGCGCGACGTGATTGGTTAATAATCTTATCAGAAATCCATATTATAATTATTTATTTTGTATTATTTAATAATACTTAGGATAATGACACGTGGCGCACCGACAACGATTAAAAATCTTATCCGATATTACATTTAAAATTATTTTGTATTAATTTTATAAATAAAAAAAATACTAATATTTTATTGCCTATTGCCAGGGCTATAGAAGTGTAACGGTGGAGATGCAAAATCTATTGCCAGGGCTACTTACTGTTCATTAAGGGCAATTACTGTTCATTAGGTGGATTGAATAGTGAATTGCCAGGGGGGAGGGCTCCAACGCTGGAGTTGCTCTAAGAGCAAGCCCAGCGTTGGGAAAAGATATGGGAAAAAATATACAGTATGCCAGCTAGATAATAGATATATCATATAAGGGTCTAATTGTAATTGTACGCATCAAATCCACCCCGCCGAGAACAGTGACACATGAAACACATTATGAATTATGGAATTGTGAGGAAGCTGCAGACGATATGCCACTTTGCCAACTCTTGCTAAAATCTTAAAAGGGCCATAATACCTTGAAAACTGAAATAGAAAGGAA